CCCTGAAACCTCACCCCGTCAAACCCTGAGCCCTCAACTCGAACGTTTCACATCCTATAGCCTAAATCGTACAACCTACAACCTTTGTCCTGGGTTGTCCGATCTGATTTGTCCGTATCATTGTCTGCATGAATTCGTGCCCTGCGTATACCCAAGCCGCAGCCAACCGTAATCTGAGCCGTGGATGTCCTGTGGTGATCTGTTTCCTTGACCTGGTTCGTGTTCGTGTTCTAGCAGATGTGATTCGTGAAGCATTCTAACTCCCTTTTCATTTTCTAACCTGATGTTGCGCCCCTAGACTACTGCCCGGTCGTCAATCCAAAGCTCACAAGCAGAGTGAACGGATGATTTAATCAATCTGCTCTGGAGCCTGCATCGAAGCTACCGATTGGCAGTTGGAGCTTTGCCGACCCGCCGTCTCAGAGAAGCACACCCAAATACTGGGCTTTCGGATACCTGGCAGCGTGTCGGGTTGCAGTGTCCGTTGAAGCCACGGGTCATCCTGCCTCTCAGCTAGTTCCGGCCAGTGTACCACGAAGCTGTCGGAGACCAGATAGGTGAGCTTTCCAGTCATGGACCTTTCCAACTGACCAGCCCCGTTGTACACATCTGTCGTGCCTTCTAATGCTACGACCAACGTGCCGAGGTGTTGCTTGGATTCTTATGGGATGAAACGGCACAACCACGCATCCATGCTCGGCTTGGACATCCGCTTATGCACCAGTCCTCCTCATGCGCATGGGCAAGAACCTACAGCCTTCCGCCGTCAACATGGGGCCAACGGGGCTGGTCCGGCTCAAGTTACTTTGACCAGCACGCCGCAGCTTGGGCCCCAACCCTGGATGCACCTTGTTTGCTATCTGGCTCAACCGTTGGGTTCCAGGACAGTCTGCCACCAGGGAAGCTGCTGCTCAACTTTTACGTCCGTGCCATAGCCGCTTTCCGGCAAAGTAGGTGGTGTCATCCGGAAGGAGACAAGAGCATGAACATGATGAGAAGTGCTGTCCGACTCGAGTGGCTCGATCTTCAAAAAGGACGCCATCTGGTAACCGTAGGAGAGATGATCCGTGTTCAGGTTTATCGGCTGAGACCCTGACAGTGACTTGACCCTGCATACGCTTTCGACCTCACATCATCCGAAGGGTCGCAGGCGGTCACTGTGATTCTCGCAGTCAACCCTGTGTGATAATTCCAAGGCTTCGGCAAATACAAGGGACAGACTTCGGAAAGCTACTAGCTCGAAGAACAGAGCAGCAGCCACCACCTTACGAAGAAAAACGGTGAAGAATTGAAGAGCTTGGCATAGCTTTGCATACTGGCTCAGGCTGCCTCCGAGCCCGAGGCTGGAATGCAAGTGCCCGGCCCGTTCACAAGTAGCACCTGAAGCTAAAGAGACCAGACTGACCGAAAATTGCTAACGGTTAGGTGCCTTCCCACCTGCGGGCGCAGCTTCCAAACGAGACCCAAGCAGGAGGCAAAGGCCTGCAAAGCTGCTGGGGACATTTCTTTCTCATGCATCTATAGAATCATGTTGCTTCTCGTCATTCATACACTTGTGGGTAAGTGGAGGGTGGCCTTCACGGTCGAAAACAGCGTCGATGTCCAGGATTGGCCAACCTGCATGTTCTGTCGAATCACGTGGAGTGCGCGATTCAATATCCTGTAATCTGCTGAGCGCTTCATGTAGTGCGCCCCGAAAGGCACTTCCCAGAAAAACAATCTGCCGTCGTGAAAAAGCGAGACATGATCGTCACTGCATGCGACAACATTGCACAGGCTTCCGAATGTAACCCAGCTCTCATCATGCCGCAACAAGCAAAATGCAAGCGAACACACACATAGTGGCATCAATCTGCACAGCGGTTTCTTTGCCTCGCTGGATGAATCCAGGCCACGTCTCTGCAACTATAGTAACTTGCAGACAAACACGAGCGTCGGCACCTCTCGGCTTCGTGGAATGGTGTGAAAGCGCTCGAGGTTTTCTGCCAAGTCAGGGCGCGTAGCCTGAACCTGCAAACAGCAGAAACACGTGCAAATTGACATGTGATGGCTATGACGACTGTGTCGTTGCGAGCATAGAGAGAGGTGTTGATATCGTTATGCTGGTCTCCATTTGTTTGAGATACACCAGCCAACTTGGTAGCCATGAACCTGGATACCACATGCTGCTCGCCTTCTTCAAGGATGTGGAGTCTGTGTCACCCAAGATGAAATCGCACCTGTACCTTTTCACGAGTTGAGACTGTCTGAAGTGCACGGCCAGGCAACTCTCGCTCGAACTCGCGTCCTTTTACCTACCCTATTACCCGCGGTCGACAAAAGCACACCCACATACTGAGTATTCACGAGGTGCAGAATGCATTCTTCGACCTCGACATCGAAATATCATTACGACCGGTCTGCTCGCAGTCCAACCGAAACAACCAGCTGCGAGTAATGCGCACTTGTCTTGGTCCAAGTCTTTCAGCAGTGCCAGCATCTCCTCAAGCAGATAAGATGCAAATAAGAGAGGAAGCACGGCGGGCATGTCATGCATGTTCCGCCCGAAATTAACGCAGATTGTCAGATTCTGCAATGAAGTTTGTCTACTCATGCAGCAGCACGCAGCGATGCTGTCCATCGTGTGACCTCCAGAGCCGAGCACGACTAGTGAGCGCAGTGGCAGTGGCCTCGAAATGGAGCATCGGAGCATTGACACTTCACATATGTATATATATATATATATAGATACATATATATATATATATATATATCTGTGTATATATATATATATATATATATATATATATGAGTGCTTGCAGGCCTAAGCCCTAAGCCCAAAGGCCCAAAGCAGCCTGCACTGGGGCTCGGACCTTCCGGCCCATCTCCGCCTGTCGATCGCAGCAGTCGCGACTCAAAAACCCCTCGAGACATCGCGCTTTCAGGCTTCCGGTTCCTGCTTTCCCTGCGATCCCAGGAGATGCGGTGAAACATCCACCTTGTCAATGCTGGGACATCTTGACGGCACTCGAAGCTGCTTTCTTCCGTTGTTCCGAGGCACCAGAGCACTCTTGCTGCCAGTGTCAGGCCCACGCACACCAACCTGAAACTTTCGGGTGAAAGGCATGAAAGTTGAGACGTGGACATCGATGTCACTCGTGCTGTCTGCCTGTGAAGGGGGCACTCTTGAGACCTGTGAAAGATGTATCCACCACGTCCGGAGGCTGCCACATCGGCACCTAGACTCCTAAGTCTCTAGATGCTGATGTGGCAGCGGCCCGGACCATGGACTGTTGAGTGCAGTGGCGAATGTGTGACGAGTGCGGGCTTCTTAACCATGGAGGATTTAGCAACGCGGAAGCTCGGCTGTTCGATCGTTGGAGGTCAAGAGACTTTTCCGCTGATTGATATAGGCTTTTCTTTCGAGATCTTTCGAGTGCAGCAGTGGGGCTTTCCATGTTCCTGTCGGAGCAAGTGCTAGGGAGCAAGCACGACAGCTAGCATAGCTTCAGGTCATCGCCATGAGCAGCACTCTGGCAATCTGGGTATGCACTCTGTTAACCAAAATCTGCTGCATCCAGCTCTATCCGGTGCTGCCACATCCAGAAGCGACGAGCCATCTCAGGCTTAGCAATGCCTGCAACAGTCTGTAGCTAGCGGTGCTTCTCTGAATCTGTGCCGGTAATGAGTGGCCGCTGGTCTATGGGCTCTATCAATCTGTGCCTAGCCACGAGCGAGCGAGCATGCAAGTAGAAATCATAGTCGTTGTACCTTGCAGCACGTCCTCGCAGAGAGCAGTTGACCCAAGAGGATGTGCACTTCGCAGCCGATTTCCACTTGGGATTAATAAATTCACCGTCTATGTCGTGAGCGGAAGCTCTCGCTGTACATAACAACGTCACTTGCCGATTGCCGACACTCACTGATTCCAGAGAGCTGGGCCGGGCGAGCGACTGTAAGAATACTTTGTCGACTGCGCTTTAGCGGCAGTTAAATGGAATACGGATGTGAGACAGTCTTAGGCGAGGCTGTTCATTGATGTGGCTTCAGTCGCCGAGACAGTGAAAGTCAACATCTGGGTGATCCATACGGCCACATGGTGACACAGTCTCTTTGTCGAAAGTTCTGTCACGATATGACGACGGATTACAGCACACCCTTTCAGATCATGAACAGACTCGACCACTAGCATTGAGTTACAAGTCCCTCTCGAGCGCCAGGACGCAGAGTTTGCATCAGGTTTTGATGCCGATCCACATCGTAGTCTTTTGGCACCTGGGACGGACCACTACCTTGAAACCAGCAGTCATCAGCAGCCGAACATGTGAACGGCCTGAGGCGGGAGGTTCGGAAAAGTGAAGAAGCCAAGGCCTTCCAAGGTCGAAACCAAGTCATGAATGAAGCTCCATGAATCTGCTGCCCCCGAAAAAAGCAACCAGATTGCCACAGTTGTCAACTCGCTTGACGATGCGTGTGAGCGGATAGCACCGGGCGTGTGGACGGTACAGAACAAGCGCTCCACGCAATTTCGCGACGCAGCTATGAGGCTGCAAACCTCGATTTTTGATCTTTTCGTCGAAACCCACGCGTTCCCGGGTCGTCCAACCGCCGATTTGTAAAGGCAGGCGCAGGCTCGGTGTTACGGAGTCCAAGTTTGCTATTCCCCATCGCCGCTGCAGCTCTGTTACACAACGGGCGGGAGCAAAGTGCAACAGGAGCCTACTTGTGGACGGCCTCTGGCTGCAGGACCAGTGCTAAACACTACCGGGCTTGTGCATGCCTGCGCTGCTTTACCGTGCTGCAGCAAGCAGACGTATGGTCACCACTGAACTGGCTAGATGATTTGCGCTGGCTCACAATTGGAAGTTGAACCGCCAGTTATACGATGCCTTGATGGATCATCCGGTAGCTTCTGGCGCAGGTTTCTGCGCTGCCTGGCATCAGACCCCGCGAACAAGGAGGACTTTGCAGGCTCTTGCAAAGTGTCGATGCAGTATAGATCGGTTTGTGCCTCCGCCTCCGACTTGACACCAGTGCCCTCAGCCGCTTCAACTCCAGCTGCCTGGATTCCATCGCCTGTCCCCTCTGCCACTGCTGCCACTGCAGTTGCTGCTGCTTCTTCACCTTCTGCTGCTTTGCCTGCTTCTGCAGCACCGTCTGCCTCACCCGTCTCCGCAGCTGGCTGCTTTGGATCTTCTGGCTTTTCTTGCTGCTGTGCCGTATTTTCCGTGGGAGGCTCAGGTGCATCAGCGGTAGCTGGGCTTTCTCCACTCTCTGTTGGAGAATCTGCAGCTGCCTGCGTCGCACTGGAGCCTGCCTCGCCTGTCGCTGCGGCTTCTCCATCTGCCTCTGCTGCTGGAGCTGCTGCTGCTGCTGCAGCACCCTCAGCGACGACCTCACCTGTCTCTGCCGACTCTGCAGACGGCTGTGTCGCTGCTTCTGGGTTCGTCTCTGTCGCTTCCTTTTGTTCGCCGGTTGCTTCTGTCTTTTGCTCCTCCTGTGCTGGATCGTGTGTGGCAGGCTGCTCAACCGATGGCCCAGGTGCATCAGCGGTAGCTGGGATTTCTCCACTCTCTGTTGGAGAATCTGCAGCTGCCTGCGTCGCACTGGAGCCTGCCTCGCCTGTCACCGCGGCTTCTCCATCTGCTTCTGCTGCTGGGGCTGCTGCTGCAGCACCCTCAGCGACGACCTCACCGGTCTCTGCCGACTCTGCAGCAGGCTGTGTCGCTGCTTCTGGGTTCGTCTCTGTCGCTTCCTTTTGTTCGCCGGTTGCTTCTGTCTTTTGCTCCTCCTGTGCTGGATCGTGTGTGGCAGGCTGCTCAACCGATGGCCCAGGTGCATCAGCGGTAGCTGGGATTTCTCCACTCTCTGTTGGAGAATCTGCAGCTGCCTGCGTCGCACTGGAGCCTGCCTCGCCTGTCACCGCGGCTTCTCCATCTGCTTCTGCTGCTGGGGCTGCTGCTGCAGCACCCTCTGCGACGACCTCACCGGTCTCTGCCGACTCTGCAGCAGGCTGTGTCGCTGCTTCTGGGTTCGTCTCTGTCGCTTCCTTTTGTTCGCCGTCGCCTGTGGTTTCAGCTTGCGGCTGTTGTTGCTGAGGTACTGTCGCGAGTGTCGCTGTTGGAGGACCCGCGAATGCTTCTGCATCGCCAGCTTCAGGTTGTGCGTTTTGCACTTCCTTGTTGGACTCATCTGCAGTAACATCTCCGGCATCTCCTGACCGAGATGGCACAGAACTCTGGAGCCTGAATCAGCACACAGTCGATTTCGCTCTGGTCACGGCTCCTGCAGCTCGCTTCTTGGCATCACTGCCCGCCTGAGCTAGCTTGTGCTAGAGCACTCTGCGAAACTGTCAAGATATCTTCATGGATACCAAGGAGTGCCAAGGCCAGCGCGGTGTTTCGAGTCTTACCAGCTATCCTCGACCTCATCAAAGCACTCATCGCAGGAAAGTCTCGGGCCCTGAAGATGGGCCTCGCATCTTGCCGCCTCGGTGACAGCATGACATTTTGCCTGCCAGAGCTCATCGAAGCCGCCCGAAGCCCGAGGCGACAGGCGGTCTGCTATCCGATGCTATCCATAATTAGGTTAACTTGGGAAAGGAGGCACACTCTTTCGTCTTCAGAAAACCCTTTCCACGCACTGATGCCTGTCGCGCGCTGCCGTAGCATCACTGTTTCCTTCAGCGCGCTCTTCCCTTGGAGCGCCTTGTTGCGACAACGCTTCAGCATCAAAGCTCATGATGTTCATGAAGCGACAGCCGATAAAGCCGCACGATCATATTTGAGGCTGAGTCGATCATAGCCATGCAAAGAAAATGCATGCAAAGCGAGAAACCGGGTCACAGGCGACGGATGGAGGAGCCGACCGGACGTTTCGGTTCGTGTGCCTGCCGATATTCAGCTAAAGCCGACTGTGCGCTGTATGCCAGATCCATACGAGGCTGTCAAACAGCTGAAAGGGAAAAGCTGGCATCACAAACGCGGCACACTTAATTCGGGTGTTCGCCCCGTAGCGAAGCTACGACCCCAAGTCAGCCACAAATATCTCGCTGAAGAATGATGGGCAGATGCTCTAAGGAAGGCAAGACCAAGCGACCATTCAGTCAAGTAACAACGCGCGCGTTCCCTGCCTCCAAGGACTGAGTGGGCTGTGCGGGCAAAGACTCTGCGGGCGGAGGCTGCGTGGGCATGGTGCCGCTCACCGACCTCCGGTGACAGATAACCCCCCACGAGACTGGGCTTCGGTGACCACGCTCCGGCAAGAGTAGATGCGCATCTTGGACATAGAACTTAGGCACGTTCGATGTTGCATCTGCATGCTCGCAGGATGGCGAAGTCACAGGCCCTGGCTTCAGGAGATGATCCTGGATTACATCAGGAGTCATATACCTCGCAACGTGCGTATTACAGGACCAATTGTGGCAACTTGGCTCCTGCCTGTTGACCCGTTCCCGACGTGCAGAGGCCAACTGCTCCTGAAGTTCTGTCAGTCCCACTGCTTGTACGTAGCCCATTCAACAGTTCGTGCCAGCAGTGGTTGAATGCAGCAGCCTGCTCCAGGGCAACCATCTCCTGCCATTCGGAAGACCACATACCCGTGCGTCGTGTTGCTGTACAGGGATTTCACGGCTTACGGATGTTTATAGGTTGCAGTGTGTCCAAACTCCAGACCCACAAACGAGCAGAGCCCTGGGCACATCTGGAGGCCAAGCAGACACGAAGGGCATTTGGGCCAATGTTTTCGGTGACAGAACTGGAGCTCAACTTATCCGTAGCAGAGGGCTCCAGTCGTGGAGCGCCTTCTCGGCCTTCTCTCGCCGATGCAGCTCAGCGGCTTTGCGTGCCAACTCTCGCCGATAGGCCTGGCCCACTGGCTTCAAAGCGGAGCATTGCGAGAAGCTGGGAAGCTAGGGTCGGGCATGCCTCCACATGCGGCAAGGTCTTCTGAACCCTTTCCATTCGTTCCTCGAAGAATGCAGTCACGTATTCAACGTGCGATGTGTCGCCGGCCATGTTGGGAAACGAATCCGACAGATCTCTCAAGTCCTTCTCCTCCAGAGTGCGTATTTCTTCCTCCTCCTTAGCCCTCCTCACCAACACACAGATGTGATGCAAGCAATGCGGCCTCTCTGTCCGAAATAGTATGACGAAATACAGCCAAAATGTCCATACTGAGGCTCCTCTTCTTCTGTCTCATGTGATGCCGAACACGCTGCTGCGCATCTTGCTGAGCCAGATGATTAGGAGGCTCGTCCTGCAATGGCATGTCGTGTTTCCTTCACCAGGCTGCGATCGCAATGAGCCTCGCCGTGCGCGGCTCGAACTGGAGAAGGTGACCGTGCCTGGCAGGTACAAAGCGAATGTTTGCCCTGTGAGCAGGGGCCCGTCAATGACCTTTTCTCTTCCAGGTCGGACCATCCCTCTGCCGCGCTTGTGCACCTTGGCAGTCAGATACGCTCATCCGTTTGCTGATTCTTTCTCTTCGTCTCTCCTTCTCGTTCCCTCTCTCGAGGGTCATGGCTAGCTCTTTGCTCGCGTTCGAGGCCTTTTCTGTCGATTCTGTGCCAAGTGCATCCGCCAGCCAGTGCAAGCAAGCATGTAAACAATTTCGCAAACAATTTGGAAGTTGTTTATCTTTTGCTTGATGCTTGGCGGAGTGTGGCCCGTGACCATCATGATACCGGTTTCTACGACTGCATGTACGGCCAAACATGCAAAGCCTCGCTCGATGTGATACAATACCCCAGAATGACAGTTCTCGGACAGCTCCCGATAGGTTGAATCCAGTCCTCATATTCGAGGCCCTCGCCGGCGCAGCAATTAAAAATGACATCAGTCTCCAACCCAGCGTCGCGGATCAAAGACACCGTAGTGGTATCGAACGAAGAGCGAACTGGAACTAGCAGTAAGCGAAGCTTGTTCTTGGCATGAGCTGAGCTAGAGTTGATACTTGTTGCCACCGAGGCCAGGTATGGCGGTCGGTCGGTGTGTGTGTGTGTGTGTGCGTGTGGTTCCAGCTGGTGAGATAACCAAGATTGAGACTTTTGGGTTCGTTGACATACACCTGTCCTTAGCGGTTGAAGAACTTTCCCAGCAGAATGCTCCACCTCATTAGAATCATCTGCTCGCATTCTTGCAGTTGCTTTGCTTCAGGTCTTTTTTGGCTCTTTTGTCCCTACCCTCTTCAGTGATGCTGAGCTCGGGCGACAGGGCAGTCCCCCCAGCCAGCAAAGGAAAGCAAAGGACTGCTACATCTCACTCCCGCTCTCGTCCACATTTCTCACTCGCTTTGCTGTGAAGCGTTTCTGTCTCCAAGCAAGTGTACTGCTCGATGGACCGCAGCGATGAAGTTCTCATGAAAGCGCTTTCGGCCTCCAGAGACTGAGTGGGCGTGGAACCGTTCTCGGACCTGAAACAGGAAGCATTGGCAGAGTCTGACAGCTGTTGTAACCCCTTGCACGAGGCCCATGCTTCAAGAAGTTCTCCTGGATGACCTCAGGCTTTATATACCTTGCGATCGGAGGCACAAGACTGCTCTGGATCGATTGTGTTTCAACTTGGCTCCTGCCTGTTGACCCGTTCCCGACGTGCAGAGGTCAACTGCTCCTGAAGTTCTGTCTGCCCCGCTGCTTTGCACGAAGCCCTTCGACAGTTCTTCCCAGTAGTCGGTCAATGCCCCAGCCTGCTCTAGGGCAACCATCTCCTGCCATTCGGAAGCTCACTTACCCGTGCAGGCTCTGAGACTTCTGCGGTAGGACGAAGGTTTGACCAACTCCCTGTTTCGTCGAAGACAGGCCCCCACTCCCCAATAGAATCCTAACAAATAGATTAAAGTGGTGTCATTTTAAGATGCGGCTTAAAATACCCCACTGGGAAGGCCAAGCGAATCGCACTTTTTGGTACTCCGCTACTCCGCAAGACGCCTTAAGACAAGAAAGGTCCAGTAGGTCAAAAAATTGGGCCTCCCGATACATAGACGTTGGCACTGCGTTTGTCCCACAGTTTGCTGTCGCTGCCAGATCGTTGCAGCACGCAGTTTCTAGCCAGAACCAAACGAACATGGAAGCTTGAGCCGGACGATGAACTTCACGACCGTCCGTGTCGTAAATTTCTTACCATGCCGGGCTCCTTCTCGGCCTTTTCTCGCCGGTGCAACTCTGCGGCCTTTCGCGCCAGCTCGTGGCGGTAGGCCTGGGAACTAGAGTACGGCCGAACTTTGGGGGCGCTCAAACTGCATGTCTGCCTCCACATGCGGAAGGGTCTTCTGAACGCGCTCCGCACGCTCCTTGTGGACCGATGCGTAGCTCGCATGTATTCCTCTCTCCAGCAATCAAGCACAAGTCCTTCTCCTCCAACATGCGCATGTCCTCCTCTTCCCTAGCCTTCCTTGTCGAGGCAAGCACTGCCCAGTCACGTGGAGAGCAGCAAGAGCACCAGCCAGAGAATGCAACACAGCTGGCCACTCCTCCTCTTCTGCTTCATGTGATGCCGAACTCGCTGCTGTGCATCTTGCTGAGGCATGTAGCTCGGGGGCTCCTTGTGACCACCCGATTTACGAGACGGCTCAGGGTTAGTGGCGACTTTTAATGTTTTGACACTCGCACGGGATGGTGCCTCGTTGTGCACTGCTCTCTGTGGAGAGGGTGACCGCGCCTTGGACTTGAAAACACAGCAAGTCCTATCAAGGAAGGCTAGGCTGGCCCGGGAGTCCACACCTCGTCCGAATGCAGAGGGCTTCGGGATGCGTGACCACGGCGCCCCGGAGAGTGCAGCAGTGTCCCTGCGAGGCAAAATAACTAGACACGGAATGAGGGCAGTCACGCGGGCTTCTCCAAGCTTCGGGTAGCTGTCTGCGGGTGCCTGCAGTGCCTGTGTCTTTGTCTTGGCCTACCTGCAGGGAGAGAAGCGCGGGACCACTTGGATTCACGGCCTTTCTATGCCCTTCTCATATTATCGCTCTCCATCGCTCTCCTCCCCGACCTGACGCAGCAGCCGCAAACGAGGCAGCGAGATCACGGCCTGTTGGAACAGCCGCAAGGCACCAACATCTAAGCAACAGAAAGCATGGCCTCATTGCCGGATGCTTTCGATGGCTCCTGCAACAAGAAAGTGCTCGAAGAGGGAACAAAGCTTGACGGGCCTTACATCTCAGGCCCACTTGTTCTGCTCCCTCCCTGATTTGTTCTGGAGATGCACTGTTCTCCCTTCTCCTCGCAACTACGTACTCTCTGCATGCCACTTAGCTGGCCAGCGTCTTTCGCTGTTGTTAGTTTTGTCACGGGATGAAAGGTGTCTTGGCTGGTAGGTAAAAATTTTGATGCATCGAAGAACTCATAGCTGCCTGCGGAAATCCCGTCTCCTGATGAAGCCCTCTGGCCCCATGCAAGTCGAGCTTTGGGAGCATCACCTGCAGACCGGGGCAGAGCAGGTTGCCTGTTCTAAAGGGCGTCTGCGGTCATATTGCTGCGAGCTTCGCTCTGAGAGGACTGCTCGAACTCAGCAGGAGCCGGGAAACATGTTGAAGTTGAGTTACTGTGATCGTGACTGGCTTCAGACATAGTAGTCATAAGTGTGCAAATGTGAGTCCCACCGTCATGCGGCAGGTTTAGTCTGGAGCTGGCGTAGTGGCGTAGTGAATGATGCTCTCAAGGTCTCGGGGCTGCGAGGCTGACTCTTCTGAGGAGGCTACATCTGACCGCGCTCTTTGAGTGGCTGCATTTAAGCCGTGCGGCGGACTGATGCGGCAACATGGATCCCGGTGGTCACGAACTGTTCAGGTACGTCCAGGCTTCAAACGGTCTGTGCACTTTCCTGGTTTTCACCTCATGGCTGCGTGCTTTGCAACATGTCAGACACAGCAGCTCTGTTGGCCGCAAAACTCACTAACGAGTTATGGCGGCCCTTTGGGAACATAACCCTTTGCAATGGTTGCGACGACATATTTTGATGGGTCTCTAAGCGTTGTGTGCTTCTCTGCCACAGATTCCAGGAGCTGAGAGGCATGCGACGAGGGAATCGTGAGAAGAGCTTTCACTGCTTCATCCGAAAGCTGAAGCCCTATTGACTCAGCTTTTAACATTCCAGGTGACTTGATCAGCTCCGCAGCAGCAGCTTCTGCCTCCGCCGCAGAGAACTCCTTGGGTAAAAATGGCGCCTCCTGGCTCGCCGGGCCGAAGGAGCCGTTGTAGCCCGGGCCCGGCAGACCAAAGCCGGGCCCATATCCGCCATATCCCATAGCGCCAGACAGTCCAGGTGGGTGCTGAAATCTGGTGTCGCCATTCGGGTGCCAGCCTCCTTTGGCATAAAATCGGCCGTCTCCTGAGCCAGCGCAGCCAGCTCCTATGTGATCTGGAGCTCCGGGCGCTGAAAGTCCACCCATGCCCAAGTGCTCATGCCTGCAGTGGTCGCCGTACTTGCACCAGCCTGACTTAGAAAAAAACTGGCAAACCTCCCCGGACTTCGCAGTCGGTTGTGGCAGTTGTGGCTGCATGTCTGGCGAAAGCGAATGTGCATAGCGACAGGCGGCCCCGTATTTACACCAGCCGGCCTTAGCAAAGAACTGGCAGGGTTCACTCTGATCTCTTGGCCCGAGGCCAACCTGGACCTCGCCGCTGCCCATGCCCGATTGTGACTGAGGCCCAGCAAGGTGTTGATACCTGCAGTTGTCGCCAAACTGGCACCAACCGGCCTTGGCAAAGAACTTGCAGGCTTCTGATGGATCTGGTGGACCACCCGGCCTACCTCCCTTTGGAGTGTCAGGTCCCGGGATGTGGACGTGTCTGCATCCGTCACCCCATTTGCACCAGCCTGTCTTGACAAAGAACTGGCAAACCTCGCCCGTCTCTGCACCGGAAGACAGGGCTCCACCGGCATATGGCTCTGATCTCACATTACTGAATCTCCCTTGCAATGGGCCAAACGACATCTCAGCAGGGGGGGGCTGAGCTGGTCGCTAGACTCTAGACTCGCCTGCTAACCTTCTACATGTCTCGAGCCGTCTCTTTTGGCTCCAACCGCGGGATCTTGCTGCGCAGGACGGTGGGACGCGGTTGGACTTTCGGGTGAGAGACTCGCCGTTGCTCAGCTACATCCGGCTTGACTACATCAGTTCTCCCGTTTCTACATCTCCGAGAACTTCAGATGGTCACTCTCATGACCGCCACGGCATTTTCTGAGCCCCTCGATTGACATGTAAGGAGTTCCTGATCCGAAGTCTGAATTCACGCCAGAGCCAGGAGCCATGATTTCATGCACAAAGAAATTCCTTGAGCAACTGTTCAGCCCACGATCGTGCGCAGCGTTTTACTCTCATCGCTTAGCGAAGCGATCCAAGCATGTCGTGAAGGCCACGGAGACTGGAAGATCCGGAGATGCCCTGCCAACATAGATTTTCCGGACTCCTCTGCAGCAGGACACACCGGCAAGTGAGCCTTCAAAAGTGCGCTGGTCTTCCTGTCGGCATCGGCCTCGCTGCCGGTGCACTCGCGACATCTTCACCGGCTCTAAGACTCTCAGTCGAAGACCCCTCGCCTCGAGGGTCTGCTTGTTCCAGCCAGGGCCCAAAGCCTTCGAGAGTCCATCTGCTGCTTCCTGACCGGCGCATGCTCGACCGCGACCGCGCATGCCGAAGAAAGGCTCGTTGCCTGCATGTAGGGATCGTCGTCGTCCATGTCCATGCTTCCGCCGCTCACACTGAGCAAGGAGTCTCAAGGAGTATGACTGTGCTCTGGCACATGTTCGGGCCTCGGCTTCTGAGACTCCTTCGATGGCGCCGACCCGCTGTCGTGCGTCATCATTGTGCGCATTTGCTCATGCAGGTAGGCCTGGCAGGGAAACCCTTGGGATGAGTGGCGTCGGCGTAGCTAGCTTCCCTGAACCGCGCCTCGTTGAAGTGAGGCCGGGTGACCCCATGTGCCTCGCGCTGTCATGCCAAAATATCAGGTGCACAGGCGCAGATGCCTGTGGCCGCATATGCACACACAGGCAGACAGACAGGTTGTATACAGAACCACACATATCATATCATATACGCACACAGACAGACATATACACATACTTTGGTTATACTATACGCATACTTCGCAGAGAGAGCGAGAGGCTGAATGCGAGAGAGACCGAGATATTTGGGCGCACATGTGCAAACAGCGAATCACAGAGAGAGCGCATTCGTGTGGCATGGGTGCATACCTGTCCATGCATTTGCATGCACGAGATGTTGTGCGTGCGAGTGGGTGTCGGTCGACCGAAAATCCTGTAGCCATAAAACTGCTTAGGATTGGAAACCAGACGGGTGAGTCGGAAAGCAGCGATCCGGAAACTCAGAACGGCTGATTCGAAAAGCAGACCGGGAACCATGCATGGCTGATTCGGAAAGCAGGATGTTCCTGGGAGTGGATGCACGGCAGCATGGATTTATTATCGTTTAAGCATGGATGCTCCTGGTTTTGGATGCAGGCAAGCATAGACGTCATCATTGGCTTGCCAGGCGCAGTTTTCACTGCGTGCCAAGGTTCGATGCGCGCCGGTTGCCGATGCGCGGTTGTATGTGCGAGCCGGTTTCCTGCCCCGCAGTTTCTTGGTGCGTGTGTCCGTGTGCGCGACATCCTGGGCAAAGGATTGAAATTCCAAAGCAGGGGGTGCCAGGGGTTTACAGAAGATTTGCAAAGAACGAAGACCTTTCTGCTTTCCTGTGATATCAACTTGGGACAGCAAGTTTAGGCACCTGCAGTGCATTGTCAAATGGCAAGACGCAAAGTCCAAACCTCAAAGCAGAAGAGAAAGGACTGCAAGTCGGTTCTGACGTGCCAACCGATGAGTAGCTTCGGCTGTCTCGGCGGTCAATCTCAACGGGTGTTTGGGTGGGGCTCGGGGTGAGTGCACTTGTGGGTGTGCAGGGAAGGCGGTGAATCAAAAACATGCTGGATAAGAAGCTACGCAACTGCACGCAGACAGTGCGCAAAATTACTTGTGAAGACACTGATCAAGAAGGTCTGTCTGTCCACACAAACATGCATCATCGACTGTCCATGCAGGTTGGTTCTGTATTCCGCACACACTGCTGCGCTTAGGTGGGTGAACACGAGAACTCGTCAGGTAAGTCCAGCGCTACACCCAGCAGCGCAAGCAGACCGACAACCCGGCCGAACATGATGCCTGTTTGCAAAAGTGGACTGCTCGGATCAGCTCAGACTTTATTTATTACACCACACAGAGTAACGCGTTGCTGACTCCATGTCGCCTGCCAGGAGCACTGCCGGGTGCCTCTTCGTTCCACTGACGTCTTGAGCCAATGCCGAAGGGAAGCCCGCACCCGAACATAAAGTCTTCTCGGAAGGAGCCAACTTCTCATGTGTTAAAGTCACTTCTGCACATGGATGCACATGGTCAGAGTAAGAGAAGTCCTGCATGAGGCTCTTCTCAGGGCTGCAAGGTCTGCCGAAAGACTGTCCTTACTGCCGCCACTGCAGCTGCAACTTTCTACGGCATACTCTTACTCTCACTCCTACTCGGGCTCCTTCTCCGATTCCCACTCCGACTACGAGACGACGACGACTACTACTCCTACTACAACTACTACTACAACTACAACTACAACTACAACTACAACTACAACTACTACTACTACTACTACTACTACTACTACTACTACTACTACTACTACTACTACTACTACTCATACTACTCCTACTTACTACTCCTACTACTTCTGCACCTACGCCTACTCCTGCTGCCACTGCGGTATACTGCCGCTGCTGCCACTGCTGCTGCTGTTGCTGTTGCCGCTCCGGCTCCTGCTTCTCCTGCTGCTTAAAACAATACTGGAATACAGTATTTTTAATTACAAGGCACCACTAGTACTGAAACTAAGTACATGGTGTCTCCGACGATGCGATCGAGGAGATAGGCAATAGAAACATCAACCAACGCCAATCCCAGAAGTGCGCTCTATCTTCGAGGCAACCAACCCCAAGCCAATTGGATTGAACCAGTGCTCGGCAAACTCGCAGTGAACCTCTCAGCTGTTGCAAAGCATCTGGGAAGTTCGATTTGTCTAGCACTGTCACGCTGCAGCAGACGAGTTCTCGTGAAATCATCGCGGGCTTCTGGGCAGAGGTTGCAGGCAGCTGCACGAATTGTAGTCACTTTCAGTGGCAACCACAACTAGCACCACATGTAATCCACGAGACCGTTGCCTGTGGCAACAACATTGGATCGAAGAATTACTGTATGAAGCCGTTCTCATAATGCGACAAGAATGAGTCAAGTCGCATCCGTCCTACGCATAGGTTGGTTAGGTTGGTTGCCCTGCCAACCAAGTCTCCTCGTCTCCTGCCCTCCCCGAACCCCAGTCTCAATCTCGCGGCGCAGAAAGACCAACAGGGGACACGACTGTGCAGATAGCTTGACTGAGTCTACATTATCCGAAATGGCGCTATATATCCAGGTACATCCGAAATGACGTCGGAAAGCCACAAGTGCGGCAACCCGGTGCACTTCAGCAACAAGTCACCCAAATGTGCCGGTCTTATTCTTTCGTATAACTCGGGATGAGGGAGCTGTAACTAAGGATGGGTGAAGCGGTTCTGTTTTGTCCATTTTATTCATGTACGCACTCGTTGCGGTCGAGATCGCGCCTTCGCCGGAGCTTGAACTTGACAGTGACAGCATGCTGCGATCCCCGTCTGCGCGAGTTGCAAATGCTCGGTACACTTGTTGACGTTGTCCGTTTCGTAGGTCGGCTATGCGCTGAGTGCTGCAGTGAGACAGGTCGGCAGTTGCGAAGGTCTGAGACTGACAGCTCGACGTAATGGATCACCTCGCCCTCGGAATTAGCTCCCCCATGCCTGCACAGCATCCATCCACTCCTGTCACGAGGCTCTGAGACTCAACAAGGCTCATGCACGTGTGGCCGTGATGCTTGAATGAACATGACATGCTCCTTGGTGGTATCGTGGTTGCGGCCATGACCTGAGAGCACAGCGGCGAGCATGCCATAACCATCCATACCCCCCTGGCGACAGCAGCCTCCAACTAGAAACATCTTCGTCGCACAAACAACAATGTTGCCACCACAGCCCTGCGACAGATCAGAGAGCATCTGAGCCCCACCCGAGCAAATCGCGGTGCGGTGTCTATATCGCCCAGCTCCAGGGCAGAATCGTAACCAAACTGGCAAGCCTCCAGCTTGTAGCTTTTCCTTGCAACTTGTGCCGGGAGAAAGCAAGAAGGGGTACCCTGTGCAGCTTACAAAGTCTCTAGTAACGCGTTCTTAACTTGGCGGGACAAGACTCATCGCAAAATCTTCCTCCTTATAGAGCTTGAGTAGCTTCTTGGCTATACGCAGCTTCCTTGCCGAATTTCTGCTCGAGTACAGTAGTGCAGAGAGCTCTCCCATCCGAAGTCTTCTTTTGTCACTCGCAGAATGCAAACGCATGGAGCATTTGCTGCAGCAGCAGCGAAACTGCCAGTTGTCCTGCAACATCTGCTGCCGCACTTGTCGAGGCTCTCGAATGTCAATATAAGATATGCATAGCTCCTCGCCCTCACTAATGGCCGTCTGCGCATAAATTTCCATTTGCTGGTCACGCTCGTTCCAACTATAGTCGCAGTTTGCATTACAAGAGTGGTTTAAGCGACTTAAGTTCATGCAGACTGCCTTTGTATTGGAGCTACGACCTGCTATTTCACACTCTATGCCATTTGTCTCGATAATGCCACGGAGTGTTTTGCGGCCCCTGGAAGACCACGCATCTTCCAAACTCATGATTTCATCTTTCACTGTTGACGGCTTCCCTTGAAATTCTTCCTTCACCTTCCGCATGCTCTGGCTGGAGTCTGTCTCGAATGTCAGCTGAGGTGTCTCAGCAAATACCAAATCGCCAGCCTCCAGGCTGAGTTTTGCAATGACGCCGAGTCCCTTGCCATCGACCTCCTCGATGCCATACCTGGGCGCGGACGTGAGCTTTCGTGCTGCTATGTCGCCATGCAAACCGCCGGAAGGAATCCCTCTGCGCTGGCCTTCGTTCATCTCCATGCTCTGTCGCTTTGGGTCCAGCACTCAGCTGTTTTCTGCCAGATCTCCTTGTGACGAGGAGGCCTTCACAAGAGCATTGAAGGGGCGGGGACGGACTGTTTCGGATGGGGGACACATCTACAATGTACAGCACATGTCTGCCTGGTAAGGTCAACGCTGATTGCCAGCAACCAGGCCAACGACGCTTGCCAGGGGCTGCCGGTGGAGGTCGAACGCCAGGTGCGAAGTTACATCGTGTCGTTGCAGAGGGCAAAGGTTGCTTGACCACGCCATCTATCATTCGGCACAAGGAGCAAGGTTACTCGACGTGGTCTGCAGTAGATTCTACGATGCCAGAGTGACAAAGTATGCAACTGGACAGCTGAGAGTTGATGACCTTCTTTGGCTAACTCGAATGCCGAGGAACCATCACGGGCATGAGGGGGGATCGCATGCCCATTATTGAATCAAAGGTCCACAGCCCACAGATGCCCACAGCTTGCACAGACGAATTTTCTAGCTCACGCAAAAGACTTTGGCTCTGCTTCGAACTTCCTGCAGAAGATGCAAGAGCCAGGGCAGTCAGGCTGACCCTTGATGGGACACACGACTGAGCGACTGTAATGCCGCTGTCAGAGGCCAGAGGTTTTCGGCACAAATAAGCCATACATAGTTAGTACGCGTTTGCCGCAGTGTCGAGTTGAAGGGGAAGAACGACGTCGACTAACCTCCGCTGGATGCCTGTGCAGCTGCATCAGGTCTTCCTGATGCGGCCACGTGCCCACACACGCTTTATCTTGCGTGCAGCTACATGCCAGCACACAGAAGCATTGGAAATGATGGCGCGGTGAAACAGGGCCAAGCTGTCCGTTAAGAGCTTCCTCGGCACCATCACCCTGCCGGACGAGATCAACTCTAGCATGCACGTTTCAGACTTCGGTGTCATGTAGGTGGGCGATGATATGTCATGTTATGTTTAAGTGGTGCAGGCGCATCTTGTACACACTACAGCATGTGTCGGATCCCTGAGAGCTTCCACTCGCATGCAGGTTTGAAGCCGGAGTCTTTTGGCTTCGGAAGCGTCCACCCGGCCTACGCAGCCTTCGCTGCGGCAGGCTGGCTTGGAAATCCTCGTCTTGCCCAGAAGTCTTTCTTCCAGTCCCAGGATGTTCCGTGCAAGTCATCCAGCCATCCCATGGCGCCATAATTCACGTTGAACTTTTCCTGTCAGCATTCGTCAAGAGAATTCTCGTAAACTCACAATCCCAAGCAGGATTCCCTGAGTGCAGGCGAAATGCATGATGAAAATCGTGGTAGTTGGGCTGCGCCTCGGCCTGGCGTGAGAGCGACGCTTGAGATAAGGCCATCATATAGACTCCAGATGTGGACAGGGCGGCAGTACGTTCAATGAGAAGAAGTCTATCCAAGGCCATCTGATGCCGCAATGGTGTGTCTGCGTCGCCATGACTGCGAAGGCCATCCAAACCACCTCAACCCGCAAACGCTACTGTGCAAGAAAGTCTCCACTAGATGAAAGAAGCTCTCAGTGCAAAACACCAGTGAAGGCGTTGGTCCGAATTGCAGCTAGTCCCGCTCCAAGCGGCCTGGGGATTCACCGAAATGGTCTGACAGTCTCGAGGGCCTGAAGCCCTCGGTGCTGAGATCGCGACATGAGATCGGAAACAAAGAATTCCAAGGGATGGCAGTAGATTGCAGCCAATCCCATTGGCGCCTCGCGGCAAAGGCCGTATGTCTATGTATATCCTGTGTAAAATATGTAGCTCAGGTACAGTCACGACATAAAACAACGGCAGTCGGAAAAGGAGTATCACTCTCTGCAGACAGCGTGAATGTAAACAGACAGTGATCTCACAGGTGATTCCCTTCGTGGACAGGACTCGTCGAAGGTATGCAATCTTTCTTCCACGGATGGCAGCGCAGTATTCTGAACGTTTCGGGACAACGACGAACCCAAACACTCCGGGGTCTTTGTGCCCTGCATGCGCTTGTGTTCCCAGGAAAGCAAGAAAACCAGCCAGCCTTGAATTCATGGTGGATCTTGTGGATATGCCTCCAGGATGCAATTAGGTGCCGCAGACGATACTGCCCGTGCATCCAAGTGGGTGTGCGGCCCGCATAAGCTTTCGGGAATCATACGCTGCCAGTCTGTGGGTCTGTACGTGTGCAAGACCCTGGGTATCTTGCACAAGTGACGCACCTGTACAAGAACTTGTTGGCATGCATTAGCCAGTGGCCGTAGAAGAACAGTACCTGTCAACGGAAAGTCGTGGCCAGATGCGGCCCTTGAGACAAACAAGAACGGAAGCCCGTCAGCGCCTCGTTCACAATAACACCAAATCCTGGCAAGGATGGCAAGTTCGTAGTTGGACATTCAACGAGCGCGGGCTGTGGGCCTATGTGAACAAACATCTCCCATGGCCCTGGTAGAACGGACGGCATTCCTCGAGTGGAACCCGAGTGCAAAAGTCGAGATCTTTCAGGCGTCGTGGGCTTAGCTGCCACTTTGGTCCAGCTACCGGACGGATTCGGGCTTCAGGCCGTCATGTGCCCGTCAACCAATATGGACAGCACAACATCCAATTGTACAAACTATGGTTGCGACGAAGCTGCGTAGTCGCTGCCACACAGGGATCAAGGCGGCAAGCAGCAACGGCAACACCTTTCAGTCCAAGTCATTCGAGTCCCAGGGACGTGCACGCATCAGAATGCCACATCCCCAAGCACCTGCCATACAGCAACCAGACCCCCTGAACACCAAATGTAGCGACAGGCGCAACGAAGCTCGTCCTTGCCAAGTTTTTCCTTAAGAAGCACGAGCAGGACAACTGTAGCTGACGGGGAAGCTTTCCTGGATTTGCAGCAAGGCTCCAGAGAGCCGACATTGCCGGTCTGCTTGATGACCTGCCATGTATGACTTCAATAGGCAAGTGCGACCCTCAACCTCTCCAAATCGCAGGAGACACTTTAACGTCTGGATGCGATAGTCCCCAATCAACTGTGGGAAGCGCATTTCCACCTTGCTTAGAAAGCAAGCATTATCGAGCTGCTCTCTTCCATTGCTGGTCTCAGCTTCACGCTGCAAGCAGCAGCGATCCGTTGATGAAATAAGTCACCACGAACATTGCCTGGTTTCAGTAATTGGCGCTTGCATGAGAATGCAGATTTGTCTTGTCTCCAGGACATCTTGATACAAGGCAGTTTCCATGTTAACACGCACGGTCAGTCCCAATGGAACCAGATCTCGCGGTTGGTGGTTGAAGGTTTGGCTCTCGTTGCCGGCACAATGCGATATTGCAGGGCCGGGTTCGAGGGGCAAAAGGTGAGAACCTGCGAGCCGCTGATGCATCTTTCTGGGAATGAGAATGAGAACCGACCACGACCTTTGCCGAAACTGTCTTCCTCCCTTTACGCTTTGGGCTAGGGCTGCTGTGTTGTGCATCTGGCTGTTGCCGGTAATCACAGCAGGTGTGCCGCTGACACAGCGCATATGAAGAAAAGCTCAGTGCATCGCCCATAATGCCAAGGCGACTGTTACGCCCTGTCCAGTGGGATCAACCTCATCCCGTCTCAATGAAGCGCACATTTTTTACTTCGTAAGGCATAGTAGCTGCCATCCTTTATGGGGGCTTCTGCAGAGCAGACGCTCGACTGCTCAGGCGCCAGCGCTGGGTATCGCCTCGGCCGCAGAGCGAGCAACGAAGGCGCCCTTCTTCTTGCAGGAGCAGCTCTCCCCCGAGCTTCGGACCAGCTTGGGCATGGTTTCTATGATACCCAGCCTCTCAGAAGCGCTTAGCTGGGATCTTGCGTTCATGGCTTCAGCCGAGGTGCCAGAGGCTCTCTGGTGGTGACCAGACCATGACGGCGGCAAGAAGGATGACGAGCGGGCTGGGCTCCGGGGCCTTCAAGCGCAGCAAAGACTCGCAGAACCAAATGGAAAAGGCGCCGGGCCTTGCTCAGCAGCACCAGCAACATCAGCTTGGCGAACCAGGTTCCTTCCACAGCCTGCAAGCTGCAAAGCACGGCAAATTTGACGACACTCTGTGGGCAGCGAGGGCCTCATGCACTGGCATCAGGAGCTCCTTGATGCGGCCCTCCATAAGGATGACGCAGAAGAGACTCCCGAGCACGCTGCTGGCCGCAGCGACATTGAAGCCAAAGCTCCTGCAAAGCTGTGCCGCTGGTCATTCGGCTTGCAATGCCTTGCAAACATAGTCCTCCCCATCAGCAGACCCACGCGATCTACGAATCGGGGCTTCTTTGTCGACACTGAGCCGAATTGCAAAGCCGACGCACTCCAAACAAGGCCCGGCGAACCACAGCAGGACAGAGCAAATGTCATGCCAGGTGGTTGCAGAAGCAGCCTGACAGTACGTCATTCTCAAACAAAGACACTGAAAATCACCAAGTTCGGAGCGCGGGTGAGGATGGGAGGTCTGCTCGCACACTTCTTGACCGTGCTTTATGGCTTCGTCATCGCCACACAAGACCCAAGCGCAGGTATTCTGCAGTTGGGCCCCGCCGTGGCGGTGAGACGTTCAGAGCGAAGTCGAAACTTCTGTGAGTTGGAGTTGCCTGCCCAAGTGCGAGAGCACGATTGCCAGAGGTTCGCGTGAGGCAGAGCTTGTTCAGTTCGGCTGCCACCAGATCATCAACAGCTGTTTTGCGCCGAAGTGTCGTGTCAAAAAGTGCGACAGACATGCTGAGTCTCGTCCGCAAAATCTTCTTCAAGAAGCTGCAGGCAAACTTAAAGTCAGTTGGAAGGAGCCGGATCACCATCCGATCTTGAACTGTTCCCTGTGTCTTTGCGACTGGAGCTCGCCTGCGCCTGTACCTGTACTCCGCCTATAACTGCACTTGCATACAGAGGAAGACATACCCACATCTGCATGAGACGGTCATGTATATGAAAGAGAGGAAGAAAGCCGCCACAAGTCGAGATGGTGATGATGATGAGTTGAGCAAACTGATGGTTTCATGCTTTATCTGTCATTGCACGTGGTTGCATATATGGTCATAGTGACAGTGACCACTTATGCACACTCACACCCTTACACGTCGAGAGGTGCGCTTATCAGATCAAACAACATGGCTTGGAGCACAATAGCGGCGGGACGAACTCGCCATGTGTGCAGTCTAGAAAGACTAGGCTTGATTATCCTGTCGTTGCAGTACATTGTGCAAGCAGCTACAGTCGATCCACAGCCCGCTGTTCTGGACCCTTCGCCACCGGTCGCAACACAGGTTAGAGAAGCTTGCAGGGTGGAGCAGGCTGGGATCCAGCACTGCTTCACTTGCTCATGCGACGTGGAATCCACGTGAGAGAACTGGAGCGCAGTCGAGATTCCCGGCTGTTGCAGAGAAGTGGACTTTGTTGACCAAGCAGCTACCCATTGCACCATGGCATCTCCAGTAAAAGTCTGAAGCTGATGGCATCTATACGATTAGCGTATTCAGTGTCTTCAGCAAAGACCTTGCACTCGCTGCTGGTCAGAGAGTTCGGCACTCTGTGCTAACAGTTTGGCCCTTCGCGCAATACTCTGATGGGCCGGCAGCCAAGAGTCCCGTATGGCTTCTGTAACACCGGTCATGCCGCAGCGGCTGAGGCTGGCCCTTCTCTGCCATCTGACACCTTGATTGTCGTCAAGTGCGGCAAACATGAGACTGAGCTTTGGCATGCTGCATGAATCCTTTGCCAGCCTGCAGGTCTACAGAGTCTACTGCAGTTGGATTCAGCTAAACCGCACCCTGCACAAAAGTCCCCAGCCCAACTTTACATCACTGATACCGGGCGTGGCCTGAAAAGCACCAACAGCCGCAAGTGATGAACTACACAACTCCTGTTTTGTCAATTGAGCGGCACCTTCAGCGCAGCTACACAGGCTACACATGCAGCCCGGCGCAATGCGTCCCGAGCAAGCCAGTCCACCTTGAGACCCTTCGAATTGTCGCAGTCAAAAGTTGCATAGTTGAACGAAGCTTGTAAAGCTAATGCGAAGCATGTCTCGCGGCATCTGAACAACAAGTCGCCTTCGCGGCTTTGGCCGCCACATGCTCCCCGCGATTCCCCGCGTCTGTACTGTTGAAATGCTGACTTGATCAGCCCATAGCCTGCAACATGCACATGAAGTCATCAACGTCAGCTGCTTTCTTCCCACCCTTTGCCTCTCTAAGCAGCCTTCGCTGCCGTAGGCCTGCTGGGAAGGCTTCTCCTTCCCGCGAAGTCCTCAAGGAAATGCAAGGCCTCATATCACGCCAACGCAGAATCTATGTATGGTTCGTTCGGAATCTGTATCTGGCCGCGCTGACTGGCCCAGAGTCCTTCTTCCAGTCCCAAGAAGTGCCGTGCAACTCATCCAACCAGCCCATGGCTCCGTAGTTCACATTGAACTTCTCCTAAGAACAGACCAGACATCTCAGCGATAGGAAAGGAAGGGCGGCAAGGACAGCGCCGTGCAGGCCCGTGCAGCCGAGGCACATGATGAAAGTCATGAAAGTTCGGCTGCGCTTCGGCCTCACCACGTACTGAATGCTTGTCGGGGAGGCTCTGCCACAAATCAAGTCGCACCTGAAAGGAGAAGAAGTCAATCCAAGGCCACCGGATGCCACAGTGGTGTGTCTGCGTTGCCATAACTGCAAAGGCCATCCACAGCACCTTGCGCACATTCGCCAACGCTCACGCTTCCACGCGATCTGAAAGCCCTCAGGACGTCACACCAGTGAAGGCGTTCGTCCCTACGGCAACAAGGCCAGCTCCAAGCGGCCTAAGCACGGACAGCTTGAGGCACACATACCATGGGCCTCCAACCTTTCACCAAATCGCATACATGCTCTTGCTCTGTCGTGCTATGGAAAATGCAATATGTTGATCTACGTCCCACACATCAGATCCGCTGCGAAGAACTCAACTGGGTGGCAATAGATCGCTGCGAGGCCCATGGGTGCCTCGTGCAAGTTGCGCACGCAACTGGACTTCTTGCAACCAGAGCTGCTTCAACCTGCTGACAGGCACGTCCTTGTGTCGGTAGCACGCTGCACAGATCGCAAAGCAACAGTCCAACAACGTCTGGCAAATGTATGGAGGCCTTAAACTCGTGGTGGATCTTGTGGATGTGCCTCACGACTCACGACATGGACAGTATGCTGCTCTGCCATGTGCGCGGGTGAAGAAGGCGCACTTATACAAGAACTTGTTGGCATGGAAGAGCCAGTGCCCGTAGAAGAAGAGAACCTGCCCCAGCTGCGGACGGCAGAAGATGTGGCTCATTCGTTTTCGGCGGCAAGCTACTGAGCCCGTCAAGCTAAGAAAGTCACAGAGCCGGCGGCTGTTGGCTGAAACTGGGGAGCCGCAGACTTGTAGCTGTACCCGCTACATCCCTAGACACAAGTTACAATTCTGCTCTCGACGCGAGTGGGGCTCGCGTAGCCTTCGGCCGTAAGGAGGAGCAAAAATGATACCACGAAAGCAGACAGTGAAGCGGAGATGAAGGAGCAACTGCCTGAAGAAAGCAAACAACCGAAACCAGAAGCGCAAAGCAACATCGAAGAGGAAACTAGAAGCCAGAAGGAGATCGGAGGGAACAGGGCCTCGCCTGGCCCACACCTTCAGGAAACTCGGCCCTTCTTTGGATCAAAGATGCTCAATGCAGGGGCTGAGTGCTCCGGTGTTGTGCCTCGTTCACGATGACGCCGAATCCTGAACAGGTTTGATGAAGTCGAGAAGGCTGAATGCCCTCGAGAAATGAGGGAAGCGCCTATGTGAGTGAACATCTCCCACGGACCCGGCAAGGCAGTGGTCACTCCTCGGACAAGTGCACAGACCCTGGTGTGCTGCAGCTGCCTTGCCACCGGTCAGGTAGTAGATACTTTTTGCTATGATATTTCGACTCCCTCGTTTCTCGCATCCGGCCAGCATAGATGCCACCAGCTTCCCCTATGATGCTGAGAGCTGCAGCCAAGTTTCGCAAGCGCTGCCAGCAAGGGATCAACAAAGCCAATAGCACAGGCAGTACCTCAGAACTCAAGGAGCTTCAGACTTTGAGCACGCTCTGTCGACCCGGGCACCACGAAGCTCGTCATCGCAAGGTTCTTCCTCGGATGGGCACAGTGTGGTTCCCGAGTCAACGACGTCCAAAGCAGAGGCCGCTGCCACAGCACGGACATCGGCGGCCTGCTGGATGACCTGCCACCCGCACACAAATCCTTGCGAGTAGACGAAGACTTGTGACGCAAGATTCGCGCGCTTCAGTATCTGGATGCGATAGTTCTCAACCAAGCGTGGGCATAAAGTCTCAACCTTCAAGCGCCGTGTTTGTGCACACGGAAGACGGTAAAGGGTCTTCTGGGGATTGTGCCGCAAGCAGCAGGAGACCGTTGATGAAGTAAGTCAACACGAACATCGCCTCACTGCCATCTGGTATTCAACCTAAACACATCCTGAAAGCCAGCACATGTGAGGTGGCCCGTGGCTCACACTGCTAATTACTGTAAGACCCTTGCATATCCTTGACGGAGGCTTGCGCTCATCAGCATCCACTACGTTCTTATGTTCTGAGCAACTCGCCCACAGCGCCACTGCCACCGTGACGCCCTGCCCCGTGGGATCCACCTGCTAGCCAGATGTAAGCAGAACTTGCGAGCAAAGCAGTCACCGTTGATAGTGTCTCCAGTCTCGAACTTTGATCTCGCACTCTGGCATGAAACGAGACGGGGGCCTTGGGAATTGCCTGGCAGTGTCACCAGCTTTCGAAGGATGGTTGGTGCGAATTCATCAAGTGAGTCATGGACCAGCTTTGGCATGACTTCCACGATTTGCATCCTCAGCTGCAAAGCTTACAATGCAGTCTGCACTTGACGGCTAGGGCCAGGTCCTGATCCAAAAGTTGAGATGCCGAGGTGCCAGAGGCTCTCTGGTGGTGACCAGACCATGACGGCGGCAAGAAGGATGACGAGCGGGCTGGGCTCCGGGGCCTTCAAGCGCAGCACAGACTCGCAGAACCAAATGGACAAGGCGCCGGGCCTTGCTCAGCAGCACCAGCAACATCAGCTTGGCGAACCAGGTTCCTTCCACAGCCTGCAAGCTGCAAAGCACGGCAAATTTGACGACACTCTGTGGGCAGCGAGGGCCTCATGCACTGGCATCAGGAGCTCCTTGATGCGGCCCTCCATAAGGATGACACAGAACAGACTCCCAAGCACGCTGCTGGCCGCAGCGACATTGAAGCCAAAGCTCCTGCAATCGAGCCACTGCACGACCTCTATCCCCGGATGCTTTGGCCGGCATGATCAATTGCTGGCTGGCCTTCCCATCGAAGGAAATGGACCACAATGCTACGTGGGGACTGTCTAGGCCAACGGGCTATTTTGAGATTTTGGGCCGCGATGAGACCGACCGACAAGTGATCAAGTGTTCGTCAAACCCATCAAAACAGAGCGTGCTGCACTCTGCCATAATGCTGAGCAATGCTGAGCTTCGAGCCTGGCACTTTGGTCCTTGGCATCCATCTCTTGGAGGCGAGACAGCCCGTTCAACGGAGAGCCACCAGTTGCACGGCTTGGGCGCACACTGCGCTCGTCATTTCCCGACTTGCACGGGAGCTCTGCTTCGCTGAGAGCTGCCTCTGAGCTTCAGAACTCGCATGTGCTTGGATCATCGCGGGATCTGCGGCGACGTGGGACGTGTCGCACATGCCGCTCTGCCTCCTTCTTTGCGCAGTGAATCCCATTATGCCTGCGGAGCTTCCTAGTCTGCTCTCTGCTCAAATAAAGAGTCGCTTCAAGCCACTGCATGCCCCGGCCTCGCATCGAGTAGAAACCGCACATGGGGGCCCCTGGCTCCGCCACGGGCGTTTCTGGCCTTGTCAGACACACAAGAACCATAATTGCCTCGACGAATGGCTCACGTTAGAGTCAAATCTTGGCGCGGTTGTGAAGCTGCTCCTGATGGACTATACATTTCAGCTCTCGCTTGCAGTCCAGACATGTCAGACGGTCTTCCTGACCCCTCGGCATCCCCCCTGTGAAGAACGGTGCACACAAGGCTGAGCCAAAGAAGCGCACGCGACTGATCAAGAATATGATGCTTCCGTGCGCTGCTGAGAGTGTGCCCTTGCACGCGCATGCGTCATAGGTGCATTTTTGTAAGCTGCTTCTCACCGATCCCCTTCAGCACACGGTTGAATGTGTTCATTGCAAAGAGGCATCATACTCGTATTTGCATACAAGCAAAATGTAAGCCCCGGGCTGTCTGCAACTCCGGTTGGACACATGTGGCCTTAACGACTGAGAGGTGCAGACGATGGTACGAGTACAAGCATGATTTATTGCGGGGATGCTGGATTGGGCGAAGAAATGCGAAGAATGAGGGCACCACGGCCTGCTGAACGCAACTCTTTCGGTGTGGCCCACGCTCGCTCAGCGCTGATTCCTCCCGAAGGGGTTGTCACATTGAGCAAACGATGAAAAGCAAGCATGACATGACCTGGGATTCGGAGGTCTGTTGTTGAACTGGAAGGCGCAAAGCCCGGACACCGCCGCACCTGTTCACATGACATGCAGTCCTGCGGCGCTTCGCAAGCTTCTGAGCCCTGTTCACAACAATGCTGAGACAAAGACTTGCGCACCAGGCGCTGGTGATCTAATGGTAGAACAACCTCGACTCAATTCGCAGGCCAAAAGGACTCGTCAAGAGAATCTCACGCATTGCTTCCAATTGCAAGGACTTGGCGTCTTCAGATAGATTTGCAAATCGCTTGGGCAAGAGTTGAACCCTTGCCTCAGCTCATCTTACGCAGTGGCGAAGGCGGTGGAAAGCATACATGCTGCTTCATGACGCTGGCTTCTCCAGGAAGCTTGGTGCCCAGGCAAGTGGGCTTGTGGAAGGGCTTGTGTCGCTCATGCTGGAAGAGGTATCCTCAAATCGAGCATTTATGCCACGAGGTTTCAATCGATGCTTCTTTCCACATGTTCTCAGTCTGGTCCTGCATCGCATCCGACGTCTCGGAATCTTGATCCTGTTGATCTCTAGATCTCTCAGGTCTTCAGATGTCAAATCCTCACAGCTATCAGCGATCTCTGCAGTGTGGCTCCAGCCACGGGATGTCACGCACCAGGGCCGCCGCCACACCCGTTGAGCTGCCTGCTTGCCGGGTGTACTGGTGTGTTGTCTTGATCACCGAAATGTACCACCACCAAGAAATTGGCCGATCTCGTCGGCATGCTAGCCTGCTAAATCGGAAATTTCGCTATGTGTCAGTCTTAGTTGAGCAGGCTGATGCATCAGTGCTGCATGCTCCTGTATAACACAGCGAAGCTAGCCCAAAAGTTCAGCGAAGCTAGCCCAGAAGTTCATGTTGCTGCTGCTGGTCAGAAAGTGCACCTGTGGTTGTCATCGAATTCTGACGTGATGCCGGAGACTGGCTTCCTGCAGGCTGCTTTCAGGACATGATTTTCCAAGACTTTTCTCAGACTGCTGTCTCCTTGCACCTGATGCGCGGGCCAGATCCTGCCCATCAATGCAGTCCCGGATTGCCTACCGGAGTGTCCCACCCGATCTTGCGAGTCGCCACTCCGAAATGTGACAAAAGCCCGCTGTCCTGCGGTGCACTTTGAAGAAGAGATCCTGGTCGATGCCGCTCCGAGTTCCTGCGGCCATGCTGAGTCTGCAGAGTTCTCGTTCAGGCGCAGATGGGGAGCCACGGCGACGATTTTAGGGCAGAGGGTTTAGGATGGACCTAGGGTTTAGGTTTTACGCGGAGGTGCATTTTTGGATTAACTGCATCAGGAAGCATAGAAGATGTTCTGTGTTCTACGGCTCTGTGTCTGCTGGCATTGAGTCGTACAATGGTGCACCAGAAGGCGACCCCTTCAGTCTCGCGGCCATGGCCGCAGTGTGCTTCTGGGCTGATCGATGGTGCAGGCACGAATCGGTTGCCTTTGAGAGCTACGTTGACAATTGGTCATGGTCACCGTCGACACGGGCTGGGCTGAGCCACGCCCTACCATGCGCTGTCCACCTTCTGAGGGATCTCTCATTGCCGATTGATGTGGGCAAGTCCTACCTGTGGGCCACGCAACGGACCGACCGGGTCTGGCTCCGAAACAATCTTGCTGGTTTGTTCCCCGGCCTTCCCCCGCCTGGTTTAGTCACTGAGGTTAGGGACTTGGGGGTTGCTTTTAAGTTTGATGCTTGTGCGCACGCCACCAGCCGTAATCACCGCATCACTGACGGCCACCAGCGACTTGCCAGACTGCAGCAGCAGCCAAGTCCGGCGCTAAACAAGGCGTACATCGTGCAGGCTTCTGTGTGGCCGGCATGCCTGTTCGGCTCGGAAGGCCATGTCCACACTGTGGCGGAGTTCCAGAAGTTGAGAGGCGCTGCGGCCCGTGCCATTGTGGGCTCCTACAAGGTGCTATCGCCGCACTTGACGTTTGCTGCCCTTGCGTGCAAGGCCATGGACCCAGAGTTGTACTGCTTGTACCAGAAGCTTGCGGCTTTTCGCCGATGTTGCATGCTGGAGCCGGACACCGCCCTTAGCGTTCTGCAACTTGCGTTGGCTCATGGCACCTCGCGTGTGCACGGGCCGGCCACTGCCCTCAGGGTTGCCTTGAACAGGGTTGGGCTCACGCTGACTGATGATGCTTGTCTTAAAGGGCTGGACAACACGAGGGTGTCCCTGAGTCAGTGTAGCACTTCGGCTCTCCGGGATTTGCTCTTGCGTAGCTGGGCTATTGTGGCCAATGACAACACTCGGCACCGAAATGGACTCCAGCAGATGGCGCCCATTCTGTCCACGATCACTGTGAGTTTGCTGGAGGGCCATGGCGTTGGTGCGCAGGCCGTCCTACTGCGCCATGTCACTGGCTCCTTCTCTTCTGAGGCGGCCAAGGCTCTTTGGGATGCTGAGAGTTCCGGCGCGTGTCCACTTTGTGGCGCGAAGCAAACTAAGGAACATAAGATCTTGCACTGCCCGGCGCTAGCGGACGTTCGTGCTGCTTGGCTCCCGTATCTGGATACTGCCTTTCGATTGTGGCCAGAATGGATACACTGCCCCGCAGCCACTTACCCAAAGGACCTGGAGGTTCCCCAGCTCGTTTTCCACACGCGAAGCTTGCCGCTGCCGCGAGTTGACTTCAGCAGATGGCCTGTTCCAGGCGAACGAGGCTTCCTCCGCCTCTTCACTGATGGGTCGTGCAGCCATCCGGATCTACCTCTGGCCTCTCGAGCCACGGATACCGAGATACCTGAGATCCTGGCTGATTGGAGGCGTACACAACGGGCCCCGCACCAGCTGGCCGTGATCTGCCAGGGTTTAGTCCCCGGAGCTCAATCTATTAACAGAGCCGAGCTCTGTGCTGTGATTCAGGCGCTGAGGGCTGCTCAGCACTCTGGTTTCGAGGATGTTGAGATTTGGACGGACAGTCAGTATGCTATCACATGTTGGCAGGCGGCGGCTGAAGGCCGTGTTGGAGGCCACCCCGACCTTTCCTTCTGGCTACTGCGTTTGTACCGCCCTTCGGTGCGACTCTGCAAGATTGCTTCACACCAAAGACTGGAGGACCTCTGGGGCATTCCGTGCTGGCTTGCAGCCGGCAACGAAACCGCGGATGTTGCGGCGAAGGCGGCGCTCCAGGATGAGTACCAGTTTGTTGTCGAGGGATTGGACTCCGCTGCAGGGCAGCTGAAAGAACAGCGTGATCTTTTGCGACTGGTGTGGAAATATTTGCTGCAATTGTCGGACACTGAGAATACAAGGATCAAGAAACTTCGCCAGCAGGAGGCTGTGGCGCTCATTCAGGCCGTCCCGCTGGAACGCACCGGCTCTTTGGCCAAATGGTTGGCGTTGAACGAGGGTCTGTTCGTGACGTGGGAGCTCCCGCCCCCGTCACGAGAGACTCTCCTTGCCTGTTCCTGGCCACCATGGTACACATTGCCCATCTGGTCTTGGGCGCGTCGCCTCAAGTGGCGTGCCACCGAACCAGTTAACAGATGTGTTCCCGGTGTCTCCTATCTTGAGCTCCTTGTTGACTTCGTGCTCACTACAGGTGTTTTGCCACCGGACCAACTTGCTGCAGCTGGCCGCGACGACCGGGCGCCACGACAGTGGCACCGTACTTTCTCCGTGCGTACATTGGTGCACAATCTGGTTGAAGCGGTTAGTCAACTTGAACGACTTTCTGGTCATCAGTTGTGGGGCAGTCGACGGAAGAAGGTTTTTTCGCTGCGAACATTGCAAGTTGAACATCCCCGCCATGGTCTTTTACATCGTCCTCACCTACGCCAGGCTGAGGAGGTTGGCCGGGTGCTGTGCGAGACTCTACATCACGATACAGTGGAAGTACTGCAGCGGCAGGTTCAAGAGTACACTGGCCCAGTGTTTCACGACGCGGAGCTCCAGAAGACCTGGTCCTCCCTTACGCGCGCTAATCGAGCGGCGCTCTCTTTTTCCCTGCGGAAATCTCGCAGGTGATGGCATCCGAAGTCAGGACATAAGGTGCGGCGTCGCTTCTGCAGGCCCGCGCCTTCTCTCCCACCAGTTAAAGGTTTAGGTTTTACGATTTTTGGCTTAGGCCTTCGGGTTCAGGGTTCAACGTTCAGGGTTTAGTGTTCAGGTTTCTACTTTTTTGGGGTCTAGGGTTCGGGACTCAGGTTTCACAGATGAGGGTTCGTCATCAGGGATCGCATCTGCGATTGGAGATCGGTGGGCAGCGCTCAGCCACTCTCGCCCGTGGTTCGCATTCAGGTAGCTCTGAAACTACAGAGTTTCGGGTTTAAGGGTTGAGGGTTTAGAGTTTTAGGGTTTAGGGTTTGGGGTTTAGTTTAGGGATCGGGGTTTTGGGCTTTAAGGTTTACTGCATTGGCTACAGTTTTAGGCTTTAGGGGTTTCCGTTTCAATGTCGAGTGTTTAGGGTTAGACTTGAAGGCTTACTGTTTATGTAAATAAACATGAGAGCCTAGGCTTTGAGGGTCGCAGACATAGCCTAAGCCCGAAATTTAAACATCCCCAAACCCTCAACATGACTAAACCCTAAACATCCCGAAACCCTAAACATCCCCGAACCAACAACATCCCAGAACCCGCAGCCCTGAAAGCTGAACCCGAGTCTAGGTGTGGGTTTCCAGGAGTGTAGGGTTTGGGGTGTACAGGAAGTGAGGTCCTAGGGTCTTGGGTCTTGGGTTGTAAGGATGCTGTTCAAGATTCAGGGTTTGGGCTTTAGGGTTCAAGGTGCATGCTGCATCATGCTTCTGACATTTCAAAGGCAGGAGGAATGGAAACGACAAGTTCCACAAGTCGCCATGGAGTGATCACTACCGTATGCGACGATCACCAGTGAACATTGCTGCTGTCGCCGCCAAACTCAGGGCGGCCCCAGGTTACAACAGCTCCATCCTCCGAAACTGCAGCAAATGCGAAACGAGAAGCTTTGATCCGTTGCACCTTACTCAGATGTGGTTGGACAAGGCTGCTATCGCCGCCATAGGTAGGGTCGCCCCAAGTGACAACAGATCCGTCCTCCAAAACTGCCGCAAATGCACAATAAGAAGCTTTGATCAGATGCACCTTGCTCAGCAGTGGTTGGACCAGGCTGCTATCACCGCCATAGGTAGAGCCGCCCCAAGTGACAACAGATCCATCCTTCAAAACTGCAGCAAAGGCAAAACGAGAAGCTTTGATCTGTTGCACATTCTTCAGCTGCGGTTGGACCAGGCTGCTGTCGCCGCCAGAGGTAGAGCTACCCCAAGTGACAACAGATCCATCCTTCAAAACTGCAGCAAATGCGCCGTCAGAAGCTTTGATCTTTTGCACATTCTGCAGCTGCGGTTGGACCAGGCTGCTATCGCCACCAGAGGTAGGGCTACCCCAAGTGACAACAGATCCATCCTCCAAAACTGCAGCAAATGCGCCATCAGAAGCTTTGATCCGTTTCGCCTTTTTCAACTGCGGTTGGACAAGGCTGCTATCACTGCCAAAACGGCGGTGGCCCCAGGTGACAACAGATCCATCCTCCAAAGCTGCAGCGAATGCGCTACCAGAAGCGTTGATCTGATGCACCTTTCTCAGCCGCCGTTGGACCAGGCTGCTATCACCACCTCTATCAGGGTCGCCCCAAGTAACAACAGATCCATCCCCCAAAACTGCAGCAAATGCGCCGTCAGAAGCTTTGATGTGTTGCACATTCTTCAGCTGCGGTTGGACCAGGCTGCTGTCGCCGCCAGAGGTAGAGCTACCCCAAGTGACAACAGATCCATCCTCCAAAACTGCAGCAAATGCTTCCTCGGAAGCTTTGATCTGTTTCACCTTTTGCAGCTGGGATTGGACCAGGCTGCTATCGCCGCCGTGGGTAGGGTGGCCCCAAGTGACAACAGATCCATCGCCAAGAACTGCCACAAATGCTAAGGAACGCTTGCTGCTGTACACTTGAACTGTCTGCAGGACTAGTTGTAGGTCATCATCTGCTCGCAGGCCTGCAGCCTCCACAGTTGAAGATCCCTCCAGACTGTCACTCCCTCTAAACAGCCTGCTCCGGCCCACGCCGAGCTTGATCTGGGCTTCCTGCGTCAAGTCGTCCAGGGAAGATCCAGGATCCACGTCCAAAGAGATCTCTCGGCCGTTCAAGAGCGTGACGCGAAGCCGGACAGACATTCTCGACTTCTTGCTGATCGGAGAACGGCACTATGCTGACAATATCCTGAACATCTGGAAGCTTAACCTTGCATAATGCATATTCCTGAAGACATCAGACCTTGGCAATCACGCATGCCTTCAATGAAAGTTGATGAACGAAAATGAAGGACCAGCTGTAATTGATCTGTAACACCATGTAACACCTTCGATAAGGCAGGCAAAATTGAAATTCAACCGGTGGTCCTCGACTAGTGACAATGTCTGTCTATGATGCTTTCAACCAGAGTTTAGAATCGATGGTTCCGTGTCTTCACCGTCATTGCTTGGGGGGTATAGGTTTTGGGGTTTGGGGTTTGAAGTTTAGGGCTCAGGGTTTTGGGGTTGTTGAGGTTTTGGGGGTTGAGGGCTTGCGGTTTAAGGTTAGGGTGTAGGGCCTAGAAGCTCTACGGGCTGGCCTTGGGGCTGTGGAGCGTTAACACCTCAAGGTTCCAAGGGTACAGGGTTTTGGGTTAATATCTCGAGGCGCAATGGGTATAATTAGGTTTCAAGGCTTAGGGTTTAGGGGGTAGGGTTTAGTGTTTTGGATTTCGAGGCTCTAGGGTCTTCGTTCCAGGAACTCACGATCGTATTCTGAGGAGCCGTAAGACCCGGGGCGTAGAATTGAGGGTTCCGGATACAGGCTTAGGGTTTGGGGTTAGGTTTTGGGTTTAGGAATTAGAATTTAGGGTTCAGGATTTAAGGATTAAGGTTTAGAGTTAAAGGTTTAGGGTTTGGGGTTTAGAGTTCAAGCCTCCGGGCCTCCCTCCCGCTATTCGCAACCATGCACGTAGCACGTCAGCAGTCCTCCGTTCAGGTCCACGATCGCCCAGCCAACGTGATGTAAACGCTCGCGCGATTTTTGGGAAACTCCATGGCCTGGTGCCTCGGCTGCCTTGTGAATAGCTGGCTGCGTGACAGCATCGCAAGACACCTGCAGCTGCAGCCAGGCCGTGAGCTTGGTCATAACTGTTGTGACAGTTGTGCGTGTGGTTGCAAAAAATCGGAGATGCTGTGACTCGACTGCCAAACTGGCACGGAACACTGGCGAGGCATCAAGTGGTGTATCGACTTAGCTGGTTGTGCCGCCATTTCGCAAAAAAAAAAAAGATGCCAAGACTGAAAAGGTAAGCTCTGTGAGGTTGGTACAAATAAGAATCAGAACTATACTAAACCATGCTACAAAGAAGGAGTCATGAGTCATACTGCGTTATTACTTTCCATGTCATCTTCGAACCGAACAAACACAGAAATGACATCACATCGAGCAGTCACACAAACACTGGACGCGCGCAGGGACGCTGCAGATTCGCGCGCTGGACGGCAGGTTCGCGCTTGGGAAACTAAGCCGCATGCAGCTTCAAAGACAAACCCAAGCAAATTTACACCCTGACCCAAAAATACTACACATCCGTAACTCTCCCTAGGCCCTTGAGAGCCTATTGCCCGTCGGGCTTTGTGCAGATTGTGCCCAAGCGTCACTCAACACACATATTGGCTGGTTGCTTGAAGTTTGAGGATCTGGCATCGGAAAGATTTGTGAGTCCTTTCGGCAATAGTTGAGCTCTTGCCTCAGCCCATCGAGGATGGTGTCCATGCTGCTTCATGACGCTGGCTTCGGAAGCTTGGTGCCCAGGCAAGCGGGCTTGTCGACGGGCTGGAGTGGCTCATGCTGGAGGGGGAATCCTCAAATCGATACTGTATGCCACCATGCTGCTTTAAAGTGTACCGATGATTAAAAGGTAACGCCCTACTCAGCACCGAATGGGCCAAAGCATTCATATCTACCCTGCGACTCAGGCGTACCGCTCCGCTATCCGAACAGCCGTATCACGCACGAGCAAAAAGAAGCAGACGACGGCCACAATATGTCTTGTCCTGCATCTCGCCCTGCGTGTCATCACCGTCACGATCCTGCTTCTCTCAATATGACAAAAGTTCAGATATCCATGCATGCGTGGTTTCCCATTTCCGTAATGTGGCTCCAGCCAAGGGATGTCCCGCAATGGAGGGATCGACATGTCGAGGCCGCTACCTGCAAGAGCAGCTCCCAGCAATCAGGCTTTACAGGGCCCGCACTGCACTGGCAAGTACCCAGCCATGCCTGAGGTTATGGAATTAGCCGAAGCAGAGGCGCTCCTGAAATCTGAAACTGCCCATGCCATGATTTCTCATCCTTGCTGCAAAGCGTACAAACTGGTGCCAAAGACGGCAAAACCGAGGCAGAAATGCCGGGGAAGCCGCTCGAGACTTTCTGGGTAGCATCCTTGCACCAAAGTCTGCAGATGCATCCGTGTCAGTCTGCGGACGCAGGCAGAATTGACAGAAGTCCTGTCGCACGAGAGCCCCGAGTCTTGTGGTGGACTTCGAAAAACTCTCGCCGAATTGGCCGTCCGGATCCTCACATAGTGAATTTGTGCAATAAAACTCCTTTGTTAAAGATCGCCCGTGGTTAAATGGGCAGAGGACTTGGTTTCGTCAACTCGTCAACCCACAAATACGGAATGAAGTCCCATGACCGTGCCATGCATGCCTTGCTTACTGAGTCACTCAGTAAAGCAAACTGTTGTCACGGTTTCTCAGGCTGCTGACGACCAGTTCTCGAACTGCTAACCTGCCTAATTCACCAGCCGCAAGGTCCTGAAAAGCTGCTGTGAATTTCCAACCGCTCGAAGCTGCAGGTGGAGCCCTGACATGGACTCGGCCAGAGTTGCTGTTGCCATGGATCCCATGAGACCTTTCGATGCGCCTCAGGGGCATCTGAGAGGCCGTCACTTCCGCTCCAAGCCATTCCGTCGCGCAGTTGCATCGACCTGCAGGGAAAAACTAGCAAAGCAAAAAGACGGCCGTCTCGCATCACCCGCGAGGCCATGAACAGACAAGGCAAGCAAGCTGCCTGTGGTCTGCGCAAATGCCATGCATGGCACCAGGTCCAATTCCGTTCGAGGATGTGGCTTTAGTCAGATATGTCACGGGAATGACACTGATCATGTGGCTGTTGTTCCAGTGATTGTAGCGGCCTCAGCCTTTGCCCATATCTCGGCTCGTCTGCACATGAAATGTTAAGGGATGGCATATGGCATCATACTTCATCAAACAACTGCGCTCTCCTGTTTGCCGGCCCCTCGCTTGACCACTGCGGCCAGGACTTTGGCTTCACGCTTTGCACAGTCAACCGCTCAAGCTGATCAGCAGCCTCGTCCGGCAGCTCTCGCAGGTCACCACGCTCCAAGAAAGCAAATGGCTCCTGCGAAGGAGGGTGCGTCAGAGGTGACGAGTCTGCCATCAGCCCTCTGCTTTTGAATTATTGGCAGTTCGATCGTCTGGGCTTAGCCTTAGCTTCTCCTTGTCGCCAGAAGTCGCCATCATGTGGTCCCACTCTTTCGAGTGCCTCAGCTCTCGGCCGTCATGCCAACTCCTCGAGCGGCCACCCATCGCCCACCCGGACTCGGCACACCGAAATGCTGTCCTCTCTGGGTTATGGGCCAGTTTGCGCACCCTCGATGTCACTACACGAAAGGCCGGTGTATGGTGAGAAGGGCGTGACCTGAGGCAACGAACTGTTCGGATTCAACTGTTTCCGGTACCGTAAATTTCGCACCGGTGGATTGGATGACTTAACTTGATCTTCAAGGAGTTTGACAATTGTCTCATCCAAGACTTGGGCTGTGTGGGTGTCGTAGATGTTGATCGGCACATGCCCCTTGTACCTGCACGGCCCCATGCACTCGCGCAATCAAACTTTGCAGTTTACGGCACGGACCCTGGAAAGCTGCCGACTGTTAAAGGATACCCGACCACAACAGGCAGGGGTTGGTCTAGAAAGCTGCGCAGATGCATATCTTGGGGAACGAGAAGCAACCAGGTTGGGTTCCAGAGCTGTCGGGCCAGGGTGCACTCTGCATCGGCACGTGCGCATGGACAACGAATGCAAGTGGAAACGGTAGGGCTGCGAATGGCTACAACGACAACGCTGAGAGAAGCACACAAAGTGGCGACACTTCTTTTCCTGGCCTCTGTGGCACCGCCCCCGGAATGTCAGCACGGATCAAGGATGCCTGCGCCCAAGTCGCCATGTTTTCAGCACGATCGTAATGTGCGCAAAAGCAGCACCATACAAGAAACAGCCCTGGCAGAACTTCCATATTCGGTGGCTCTGCATATCCAGGACTTCATCTCGAGGAAGACCACATGATAGCACACGAGAGATGCCTGGGGCTCTCCGTTGTCGCGATGCAAGACCTGACATCGGATCTTAGGCTTCTCGAAGCACGGGACCCGAAGCACACAGCTGGGGCTCTGGACTCTCGGAGTGGATCCAGACACAGGTCCCACCTGCAACAGAAAGGAACCGATCTCAATTTAAAGCAACCGAAGTTACAGATCTGCAGCCTGGCTGGGAGCAAGGGGGTTCCCTTCCGTCTCACGATAGAAAGGGTGCGTAGTTCTGGTATGAACCTCTGCAAGACATTGACACAAGTACAATTGTCGATGATTGCTGGACTTGCATTCCTGCCACATGGCAATTCTTGCAGAATTGCATCGCATCCGTGTATAGGCCATGTGCGGCAACTTTTTTGTGAAAGCCATACGAATTCATCTTCGGGAAAGCTCTCCAACCGCCCGATAGAGGGCCGCAAGCTCCTCTTCCGTGCGAGGTGCGCTGGAAGGCATCCTGCCACAACACGTGATGCAAACGCGTTGTGCCGTGCGGTCAGGCAGTGCAAAGCAAATGCTTCGGTAGTTGCACAACTCAGCATCTGTCCCTGAAGGCGCCATGGTCAGCATAACCTGTCAACGAGACTTGCCCCTTTCAGCTTTCCAGGAAAGCAGCCCTCAGCAAATCCCGCTTGATTGCATTGCGGGTCTTTTGCAAACTTATTTAAAGAATCAGATGTACTCAGCTCGGCGACAAAACATACAACAACTGGTCAGGGTGAGGACGTTGGCGAACAGGTGGTGGAGACATGTGGCCACAATGGAGGTTGGGCCTTTGATGCCGACGTGGCTGAAGCCGGTGAAACCTTTCCTGTAGCTTCCTTCGACACGGGCGTCGTAGCACCACCTCGTCGACTCATCGACCAATGCAACAAGCAGATGGCCAGGAATGTCCCGAGTTTCAGACTGTTGCCAGACACCTGTACCGTATCTCAGGTATCTCTCATGAAGTCATCTCATGTCAAGTCGATGGGGACCACACGCAGCCTTATCAAAGAGCTCTTTTTTGGCGTCCTCGTCCATTTTGGAGAGGTTCGCTCGACCTCGAGCTTCTTGATTACTAGCTGTGATATGCCAACTTCAGGTCGGCCACATTCTGGAGTCTTGAGCTCACGGCTCCTGAGCCCTGCGAACCAAGTTTCGAACTCGCGTCGAACTTTGACCTGCACACTGCTGCCGGCAGCAGCCTTTCCCGTATTTCCTGACTGGCCTGATTCTGCTCAAGAAGCCGCTGGATGCCTTCCACGTCGCTTTTTACGCGACGCCTGATGCTGCACTTTTGGACTCACAGGCAGCTGCAAGGGATCTCACTCAACGAACAACTTGATATGGCCAAGCTTGGCACAGCTCGCCCTTCTTCTCGCCATACTGGCACATCAGGCGCTCAATCTCTGCCACCTCGCAGCAAGGTGCAATGTCGGCGCTGGGTACGTGGCATGTGTCACAACGCTGTGACAAGCCTAGCCCTAGCCTCTGCCAGTTCTTCTGGACCGTCTTCCACAGGCGCTGAATCGTCGTAGCCAGCAGCTGTCATGGCCTCGATCTTGCAAGAGCTGCAGCTGCAGATACTTGCCCAAGACTTCACATGACTTTGTTCTAGACTTGGCACGTTGGCCTCTGTGACTGTGAGACTCTGCCATCTGGTCCTGGTACAGGCTCAAGCTTCGTGACTCAGTGTCAAACCCGCTCTGTCCGCAGTCTCAACAGCCTGGTCTTGACCTTTCCATGGGTGCACGAAAGCTGGTATATTCACCGAGGCCGTGTCTGCAAAACAACTCATGATCGGGGCTTTGGGTTCAGCCACTAGCGAGGTCAGCGTGTTGAAAGCTTTATGTGTCGTTCCTGCCACGGGAAAGACGTCACACGTCACCGTTGACTGGACAATGCCAGGGAGCAAATTGCACAGATGTTTCGTGCTTCTGTTCTGTTGTTCATCATGTTCTGATCCAGTTGAGGTTTGATATCATGTGCTGCATCGTTTCCACAGCTGCAAACACATGTCATCCAGTGCAGCTGTGACGACTCATGTGATACGTCTGTCTGTGACGAAATATTTGCACATGTCGTTTAAGCCAAGCTTGTACAACCTTGATGTATGACAACGTCGCTCTCTGCAGTGCGGCTGTGGCATATGTCCAGATACTGACTGCAGCGATGCACGGTTCTGAGCTTCAGTTCCCTCAGTACCGGTCTTCAGCGACCGGCCCTCTCTGTCTTCGGCCACTGGCCAAAGCATAACTGTGTGAAAACATAATGGGAAACACTCCTGTATGTTTTGCCGTCTATTCGGGTTTGAGTATTTCAGTGTGGCAACAGGCAACTCCCGGCAGACCGGAGTAGCAACAGTTGACCACACACGGCTCCCTGCCAAATGTTATCAAACGAGGTCTCTGCCACTGGCAACACGGATCTACGCGATGTGCCAAAGCCCCATACTTGTTCTTTAAATGGATAGCATTGCAGTCGACGTGACAACTTGCAACTGCTGCTCTTGGCTTCGTGCAGAATCGATTTCTGCCTTCATCTGGACTGCCTGCATGCGGAATGCAACCAGCCGCATCGAGCACAGCAGAGCGTCAGGGTAGATCATGCATCAGGCATGGGTATTAGACTTGTCGTGAAACCCATTCGAGACCCCTTCCTGCCGGTCGGGTCATCGGGTCATGGGCTGGCCTCCTTGCCCAAAGCTTGTGCTTGCTCAATCCTTGCTTTCAGCAGCGCCTGGCAACGCCAGGGGAGTAAAGAGTCTGCAGGCGACAATGGTAATGTTCACATGGCCTTGTTCTCTTGGAATGCCTCTGGCGGTCTGTACACTTTTTGCCAGAAAACCTGGCCAAGAATGGAACTTGAAGTTCAGCTGTGCAGCCTGTTTGCTGGCACTGTTTTCTTGACAGATTCTCTGGACAAGAAACAAGACTAACAGCACTGCCTCCAATGCCTTCTGCTTGTCTAGAAGAAGCTCAGCTGCTTCGTTTGGTGGTGGCGCCGTCGCTTGCGGAAGTCTCCGCTTGTCTGGTCTGTCCTTCCATGTATGCTCACAAGCATCCCTGCAGAGGTCCAAGCTTTTGACTGAAAAGAGTTGATGCTTGCTGCAGCATCATGGCCTGTTGAGATTGCTTTGCAGGCTCCACGGCTGGAGGAGCGCTTCTACTTCCAGAGGCAGGCTGCGCACCTTCCTGCACCGCACCGAGCGGTCAGCCATGGACGGAACATCACAGGACAACTGAAAGTCTGGCCACCTCAGGCCGGCTGCTGGCAGACTCCTCAGTTCAAGTTCAAGCAGGAAGAGCAGCGATTTGAGCAGGGATTCACGATGAGGCTCCAGGACTTTGCTCTGAAAACTCTCGTAGCCCCATTAGGCTCCAAGTCAGACAGAATCCCCTGAGGGTACCGCCTTCTGCGGGGAAAGCGCTCCAGCTGCTGGTGTTGGTCCAGGTGGTGAGGCTGCAATGAATGGCCGGGAGGTCTCACCGCGCCTCTTCAGACTCCAGCCTACTCCGGTACAAGCACGGGTTGCCTACGCACACCTTTTCTGAAGTCACAGTCAGGCACGGGCATGTAACTGGTCCAGCACAGGCGATGATACCCGAGCAGGATGCTACATCAGGAAAACTAGTACGGGCAGTGGAGGGGTTGAGGGAACCCTCACGAAGCTTCGTGCTAACTGCCTGCCAGAGCTCCTATCGCAGCAGCCACAATGTTCGATTCTGCTTTTCGCCCTTAGTCCTCCCATAACCTCATATTTTGCTATGAACCGATATGTCACAGTTATGTCATGTGGTTCTTCCCGCCACATTCCACAGTTTCCAAAAGATCATGAAAGCAACACATTTCTGAGGATGTGCAAAAGACAAGGTTGTCGACGAAATATACTGACTCACACTAGGGCTCAAGCTGCTTCGTGAGCATTTTCACCATCACCGCGATTTCCTGACAGAAGTGCGACCCTTCAGACAGAATCTAGAATCGATGGTGATACATGGACTTATCATTTGCGACCAATGTTGCAGCGTCCTGGTCACGCTGAGCAACCTCGGAAGGACAGAGGCTGCAACATGTCGAGTCCGGGCTGCCAGAACAGAGACCTCAAAACCCTTCAGCAGGCAAGAAGCCTCTAACTTCAGCTTCTTGATTTCAGACTCCAGTGCAGCAACATGTCCTTCGAAAGTCACTATCATACCTGTTCGTCTGCTAGAGCCGTGGCTGAAAGAAAAGACGTGCGGCTCTCCTGTGTCGGAGTCGGACCCTTGCTGGCCTGAAAGTCAGGCAGGGAGATATGGCCGACAACAACTCAACTCAGATGCACCAGAAGCTTCACCTTCCCCCTCCAGACACATGTCTCGCAGAATGCGAAACGAAGCGCGGAGCCTGTCACACGTCTAATTGCACGAGATGCGTGAGGCTTCTCGATTTACGTGATGGCCCCAACCTCTCAACGGAGCCACACATGAACGGCTCCTCAGACTTCACACCTCGTGGGGCTAGCCGATATGCAGCTGTCACAAGCCACAAGCCTCCATTCTTGGGCCATGGCCCTTAGAGACGTACTGCTGAACAAGAGCTCTGCACTGGTCAAGCGCATCCGCGGTCAAAGCCTGGATTCTTTCGGCGCGGGGCGACCCGACACAGCACCCGCCACTCCCTTCCCCGCTGCCTCGGATTCCTGGCCGTCCTTGCTGGCACGAGCAACCTTCACCTTGCCAGGTGGGCATAAAACGGTGGAGCCAGGAAGCCTGTGTTTGAGCTCAGGCAATACCGGAATTCGCCAGAGACCCTAGTTGGTGCCACGGCGCAGAGTCACTGATCATGTCTTCGGTTGTGAGTCTCACGAACTCTCTGCGAGGTTTCTTTGATACGACTTACTTATATAAAAGCGAAGAAAGAACCTGCAATGCGCTATGCGCTTGCCGCAGAGTCAAGGTGGTTAGGCCTCTTCCTTGAGCTCTGCGACCTCCTTTTTCAGTCTGGATATGAGCAGGCTCGGGTCGAGTTCCTGCCGCCATCTGTGCCAGGAGTACTGAAGCCGGCAGTTCAAGGCAGCACGCAAAGCAATCCAAGTTCCTCGTTTACCCGGGCATTGTTGGTGATCTGAGCGACTCGTTGAGCAAAGCCTTGCAACAAGGCTTTGGGCCAAGATTCTTCAGACCAGCTTGTATTGCAGGCATGCAGCGGCATGTGGAGATAGACTCCGGGATGTTAGATGCCTGCAGGCCACATCATCTGGGTTCTTCCCACACCGAAATTTGAAGGGGGGTGCGCCTCTGCAGCAATACAGCCGACCATGGTTGTTCGACCTGGTTTCCCCCAAAAAAGTCCGCTTCCCATGTAGGATTGGTGCATGTATAGGGTTGCGAGTTCCTGGGATTGCAGCAATTGCCACCCAGCGAGTCGCGAAGAACACTGGTCATCATGGAGTCACGGTATGGTACATGTGCCTTCCCGGAGTAAGCAAAGACCGTGTCAACGCTGCCGAGCATTGTTCTCTCACACTGCAGCCTGCACGCCCTTCGATCGAGAATGCAAAGCCACGATGACCCTCTCCAAGTAGTGCAGGGATAGGTTAATGGCCTGAGCGACTGCACAAACATCACATGCAGCGGTATTTGTCGATAGCGCGGTTCGAAGCTCCGCCTTCGCTTCTTGCAAAAGCTTCCCGTCCACTCCGGTTTGCGAGACCTCAGCTGCGTGCCAGAGCTGCTTTTGCTTTTCCAGATGTATTCGTGGAGGGACTGGCCCGCTCGCTGCCTGCTAGGTCGACCAGGTGCAGCTTGGAACGTCGTACCACCTTGGAGGGGGAGGAAGATACCCTCATGTGCAATCCTGCCAGCGCAGAAGCACAAAGCAATCTCGGCTGCAAGCGTCACTTCCTGCTTGTGTGGAGTCGACCCAAATAATGAACAAACAGTGCGATCGCGTACTCGCATCGTTCATTGGAGTCTCCTCAAGGGAAGAGTCAGAAAGAGCGGGCTGGGGCAAGTAAAACCTGGGGCCGGAGCAGCAACAACACGGTTTGTGTCGCCCAGGAACAGCAGATTCAACGCATCCTGCGAGAGCCGCAAGAACAACGCGTGGAGATCGGTAATCGCTGCTGACAAACACTTCAACAGAATCCCGAAACATGCTCTCATGCATGCACACACACACACACGATCACACACGCACGCACAGTGACACTTGTATCAGACAGTTCGTAGCCACAATTGGAAGCATGGCATGATCCAGACCTCCTCTGATGCCGCAAGGTTAACCGACAGGTTGCGAAGGTGCATGTTGCCATCTTCATCCTGCATCAGAAGTTGTGCCTCACCCTTGTTCAGGCTGAGCAGACCATGCCTCGCGCAGCGCCACCTTTGGCAAATCTTCAAGACGCCGGACCTGGCTGGAAAAAGGCAAACTCGATCAGCTTGTTCATGCCCAGCTTCGTCCGAGTCAGGCACACTGTCATCACGCAGCAGGTCATAGCCGCTGTCCTGTCACAGAGAGTAGTCTGCCGAAACTGTTGCAGACCATTGCCGGAGCTCTCCGACTCCTGGTAGATTTCCAGGTAGGATATGTACATGCGGTACTGGGCTGGCCCTTTGCGGAATGCCTCGCTCAAGCATTGGCCGCTGGGTGTTGACCGCCATCCCCTCGAAATCCCCGAGAGCCTCGAACATGAGCCTGATTGTTCGAGGAATCAGGCCACGGTCTTCGTAGTTCGAAGCACCGCCCGTGATGGTGAAGGTCTTGCCACTGCCTCGAAAAAGTCGTGCGTTCTTTCGAAGGCACCCATCCGCTCAAGTGCAAATGCCAGACCTGTTTGACCATAGGCGAAGATGGTTCCGTTGACGCCTTGAAGAACATCCTGAAACATCCGAGGCAGTAAGTCAGATCAGATCAAACCGGCAGACAGATGGAAAGCAGCATCACTTGCGGAAAATGCAGGCCTCTATGACCGGCTTGGCAATGACATCCAAGACGTCCTGCTGCTTGATCTGCATACCAAGAACCTGGCGTGCAACCAGTAGCTGACAGTGGAGATACAGGGACAAAGCCAGCATTCAGGGCGCCGAGCTCCGTCGAACTGGAAAGAATGAGCTGCTTTTTGGTTGTTCACATCATAATCTGGCCTCGTTGCTGAAGGCTAAATGGTTCGTCTGCAGAGGGAGCGATTCAGAGTCTCCGGCGAAGTCTTCTCATGCTCGAACACCAAAGTCTTCCTCTCCTCATCAACCTCACATGCCAGGGGCATGGGCCCCAGGGGAAGCAGATCTTGGAGCCAATCCTTCTCTCAACTGTCAACTGCTCTCCCCTCTCCGGACAAGGCCTTGCCTTGAAGCCTGGAGCTGGTCGTCCAGGACGCACGCGGATGAACACCTTGAAAAAAGCAAAAGCTTACCAGCTTTGACTGGCCTTATGGCCTTGACCGCAGATATGCAGGGACGGCACTTTGATGTTGGACGCCATCCATCACAGGCCTGGACAGGGACCAGACGATGAAAGCACACACCAAAGTGGCAGTGAGAGGCAAAGGCAGAGAGAGGCGAGGCATGGCCAGGCCATGGCGGCATCATCATTGCATCTCGACAGCAAAGTACCATGTCTGGTCGTTGCGGTTTGCAAGGTTAGGCTTCGGCATAGTATCCCATTCGTGGCATGGGCCGACCATCATACTTTGGTGTTCAGACTACTCAGACGGCTTTTGGAGCAACCTGCGAAAGAGAGCTGGTACACGATTGATCAAGTATGGCACTCATTGACATTCAGCGATGGTGTTGAGAAGTCTGGGGCTTGGACTTTGTAGTCTGGGGCCAAAGAGCTGTTGCCAGTACTAACGTACTTGCTAGACAGTATCCTTTCTCCTGAACGTTCCAATGTCCTGCACGCAAGACACCAGAGGACGCTACGTTCTTCGTGATTCTTACAGCATTGGGAAGACCTCAGTCAGCAGCACAGTGGCTCCTCAACGTTTCCCGTGGCGTTGTCACATTGACTCTGTTTCTGATGTTGGGCTGGGACATCCTCGGCTTCTTCTGCTTCAGCCGACTGCACGCGTGAACATGCGGCCATAGCGGGGCAATCTGGTGGCAGACGAGTCACTCAACGTCATGACCTTCTGCAGGATTATACGTGTAGTCCTGGGATGGGCTCATTCAGACGTCTAACCACAGCTGCGGAAAGGGCAGTAGAAGGCTGCAAACATCTAGCGCAGAAAGTCCCTCATCGGTATTCGCGACGATGATGTGCCCTGGAACTGCGGAGGCACACCATGGCACAACACCAGAGCAATCAAGAAGAACATATGTTGCAGCCAACCTTGAAGCTCATGGTGTCTCGCTGATGCAGCTCGTGAGTGCGCGTAGAGTTTGGTGGTGGTGTATCCATGGGGGCCGACTGCAGAGTGTACCTTGCAGCAGTCATCATATCCGCCGAGGCCGCAGGCCGAGGCGTATTGGGGGTTAACTCAGGTTCTCTCCACCTAATCCTCCTCCCTGCAGTCCGAAAGTTTGGAACCCGCTTTTTGAGTTCATTTCCCACCCCCCCGCCCGGCCCCCCTTTATTTTACCTGTTTTTTCCGCCCTCCCCCCGCGCCCCCCCCAACCCCCTTTTCCTGATCTTTGTCTGGGCCCCCTTGTTCTCCCCTGTCCCAACAACGAAGCCATGAAAAAGAACGGTGGCGAAAACTGCTTTGTTATAGGCGAGAATGCCAAGGCCCATGGCATGCCCAAATGCTTAGCTGCAACCCGGCAAAAGCCAAAACCAGTGTTGAGCCACCCCGGTACGGCATCAGGCAAGTCGAGCATGCAGATGATCATGGGTGCTGGGAAGACCTCAGTGGTCTCTCCATTGCCACTTGGCACAGCTGGGGAAAAGTCCCCAACAGCCGCCCCTCCGCTGCCCCGCCCTCCGTCCTTGCCCCCCTCCATCCAGCTTCTGCATCCGCTCTGCTCTTTCACATTCTGTCACCGTGCTGGTCTCCGGCAAGCCGAGGCGGGCTGCGTAGCGTTAAAACTAAGTCGAGATTCCTGTGCCAAGATGTGCTGTGCCGGAACCGACAGAAGCAAACATGCGCGCCTCGGAGTCAACGGATTGGTTTGCCGCGTTGTTTTGAAGACTTTGGCCTTTCAGCAGATTCAAGCAAATGCGCTTGCAGATGCTTGCAGCACCGGACAGGGCTTGGTCACGGTCGTTGCTGACGCTTCGTGTTGCTGTTATTGTTGGTAACCGTGATGGCAGCTAGTCTCCATCGTCCTCGTCACCCGGTGACAACGGTGGCGGCGAAGGTGGTGCTGGTGGTTGCCGTGGTGCTGCTTCCAATGTCGGTGGCAGTGTTGCTGGTGGCCGTTGCCGTTGCATGGTGGGACGGCGGGCAGTGGCGTGCGGTGGGCATCGTGGGGATGGTTTGAGTTGAAAATGGTGACGACAGTGCTAAACATTGACGATCACGATGGATATTGCTACGGCGACATGTCGATGCAAGAGTCGAGGTTCCGACCTGAGAGCTGCTGAGTATGCTTAGTGGCTTAGTGCCGCAGTACTTGGCAGAATGTGCCACAAAAACGTCGGAAGCATTGATCTGGAACGCTTCCGGCCTTCGGCTGCGCCCCATCCACGTCGTGGGTTGTCAAGGATAAATCTTGTTGCTTTTCGATTGAAGGATAGCTGCTCCTGGCCACAGATCCTTTGATGAAGTCCTTCAGGCATCGTGAACTTGGAGACACTCTCGCGACTGCATTGAGTCAATATCCACTCTGCAGCCTTGTGAGCCGGCCCTTCGAGATGCAGACTCTGTGTCATAAACCTCAGTAATATGACACAATGACATCCTTCTGCGCCATAACGCACCGCGTCTGCACAGTTCCAGGTTGTCGGCGATGGCACAGCTCCGCGTATATCACTCGCCAGCAGCGCCTGACAAGAAAAGGCCGAAGGAGCTAAATTTACCATCCCTGATGGGCAGCCTGCTGGTAGTCTTTCTCACACGAAATTTTGCCACGGGGAACGTCCTTGGGCCTCACGACGTTCATGGACCTCAGAAGCCATCATCGCTCAAACAGTATCTGGTGTGCTCCAGCCGTAATGGCTGCGCACACAAGTCTGCATGCTTATAAGAGCAATCACACCCTATCCAACCATCCATGTAGATTCACACTTCAAAACGACATGCAGGGGAACCTGGCAGGACATTCTCGGGGCAGCACATTCCGTCGGCTCGAGATGGAAAAGGCATTGGCTTGCCATCATCTGATGGATGATGGAGCATTTTGAGGCCCTGAGCATGGGGTTGCAGGTAAAGCAAGGCAGAACAAGCAGATGTTGCGGAGAACCAGCATCCGTTACAGGACCCTGTGCTGGCAGCTGCAGCAAATCCCCGAACTCGCCTGCGGTGGGACCGCATATCCATGTGTCGTCAACGTCATGTCGTGGCCAGTGCTAGTCGAGACACTCGATCGCCGGATGTCGAATGCTTATGCGTGGCTGCATGTGCATGCCTGGTCAATGCTTGCTCTGAAACACAACTGCTTGAAACCTAGTGGAATTAGCTGCTGCACACAAGACCATGTCAATGTGAAGCCGAAGACTGTACTGAGCATGACGCAGCAAGCAACGGCAGGCGCTTTTCGAAGGCTTCCGCTCAGGCTCACTGGTTTTCGGAATCTTGCAGCACTTAGTTGCAAGAGTCACGAACTGGCTGCAGCACGGCACTTCCAACAGCCCATTGCGGCATCTTAGCAAAGCAAGGAGAGTAGTTCCCGTGAGCGGCCAGCTACACAGCTATGCCGATGTGACAGTGTGCATTGGTTGACTGTACAAGAGGGCGGCTGCCCGTGCCTTGGGTGTATTCACCGGACCATGGCCGGGGAGGGGCCGTCTACGCAAAATGCTGCGTTCCATACTGACAGTTTTAAGGTTGCCTGTCCCTCTCTCTCTCTACCCATCCTTTTTCTTTCTCTCGTTTGATCCTTCGTGTGTTTCCTTCCTTCCTCTTCTTCTGCACGGGACCGTCATGGACCCGTTACAATTCATCGCGCTTCTTGATTGCAGCACATATGTCCCTAAACCCTGCACTCTCGCTCTGCGCGGGCGTGCTTCAGGTCTCGTCGGCGTCGGACTGTGAGCTGACCGGTATTGTCGATACCGAAATCCTCTAAACTCTGTGCTTGTCCCCATCGCTCTCTTCTTCTTCGTCTTCTTTGTCTCGCTTCTAGGTTCTCCTCCTTACTTTGGACGTGCTGCAGTAGTAAGAACCAGTCCAATGCGGAATTCCACGAGCTTATTGTAGACAGTAACTTAAAGGCGCAGTCTCTGGAAGGGGTGTGGCCCTGCCTTCACTCTGAATCCACCCAGCCTATGCTGTGCTCTCTGCCACGAACCGCGACAAGCGCATCACTTGCTGGGAGAATTGTCTGACCACGCACCCTCCTCCGCAGCTATAGTTTCATTTGCAAAGGCCACATGACATGATGGTTCTGTATTCATGGAATGTCCTCCTCCAGAATGCTCAATCCACGAGCTGCAGAGGCCTTTTCGAATGCATTCTTCATGAGTTGGGAGTTGCTTTAGGATTTTCTCCGCGTCAGTGGCTGAATACGAAGCTTTCGGCCTCGGCAGTGGTTTTCTCCTTCCAGATTTTGACAATGCTCTAATCGGGCGCAGGATCGAGATCTGCTCACTCCGGCATGGCTGCGAGCTCCTCACCCCTCTTCTTCAAGTACTGCAGGAGCTCCGTCTTCAACTGACTTCCGGTCGCTCCGGAAAGTGTCAGTGCCTTCGGTGTCACGGCTCGGAGTAACTGCAGACTACACAAAGGCAGGCATTCGCATGCCGCATGCATCCAGGGCCTCCGGGTGGCGGCCCTTGGGGAGACCAAACCTTTGCAAAGCACTTACTGCCATCCAAAGAGACTACCAGTAGCCGCCAGCCGCCAGTCTGAGTCGGCAGCATGCTTGTGGTCCGTGAGACCAACTTGTGCACCCGAAGGAGTTCCTGCACATCGCTCGTGCAATCGATCTACCCGCCTTACCTGGTATTACCTTTGTAAAATTTGTAATGCTCGCATGTCGTCCTCGCTCTGAGGTATGTGTCGGGAAGGTGCCAGAGCTCGTGGCGCATGTCTGCAGTGCGAAGGATTCGGCACCACGACATACCACGACAAGCTCCATCAAAGGCGAGTGAACTCTCGCACAAACTGCTCTGCATCCGGCCGTAGAGAGCCAATGTGCGGATTTCCTGGCGATGCAGCTTCCAGCTGAACTAGCATCAAGAAGTGTGGAGCATACTCTTTGGTACGAGTTTGGCTGGTGACAGCTAGATGACACTCTGTCCGGCATCGAGACGCCAGCAATCACGTGCACTATGAAGGGACTCACCTTGGGTCGCAGACATCTTTGAACCCTAAAGCATGAACGCCGTTCCCTCTGTTGGTCATGCCTTGCACTCGACGGATGCGTAAGGTTGAAACCACTGAGGCAACTCTCCACTTCATCCCTGCCACGCACGTCTGGTGACCTGAAAGAACCACACTGGCACCGGCATCAGGAGCACAAGAATAGAGATGTAGCCGGGCTATCGGCGCAGAAGACAGCGAGCTGGAGCTGACCGAGCATACAATTTTGCTTCAACAGACTGCTGATGGCCATATCGACTTATGGATCCTACTTGCGGCTTACAGATCGGTCCACGTGCTGCTGTCCCCAGCAGTCCTGCGCTCCGAGGTTCCGCGCTGCTCCGGAGACATGAGGCCCCTCCAAGGAAGCTGAATGGCAAGGACTTGCCTTTTCGTCTCTCATCGGCAAGCCTTTCCAAGTCCAACTCTGAGTCCGTTTCGCCGAAGTGCTCGTCCTGTTCTTGCATTGAAACGAGGCACTTATCAGATAGATGAGTGCTTTCAACATGGTTCTTCTAGAGGCCATGGCAGTTGGTGGGTGCCACGGACGGAGTGGACATGAAGTAGTGATGGGCAAGGCAGGGCCAACGATGGGATTGCCGAACGCCTAATAAGGAGAAGGCATTGCTGATGTCTGCAGTTTGAACTGGCTTTTGATGCCTTTGCTTGACACATGCATCCCAACCAGATGAGGGAGAAAGCGGCCATCCTCCTTGATTGGACCAAAGTCCTTGCACACACAAGGTTCACAGCCCCCTTGTGGCAAGTTCTAAGCAGCCGCTCTTCGGCTGTTGACTCAGCCCGCCGCAGAGTGGTGCCTGCATCAACGTGTGGCTTCTGTCATACCGACTGTGCCAACATTACTACAGTAGTTGAGTCTTGGCATGCTTTGCCCCTTCAAGACACAGACCTCAGCACAAGCACCAATCCGTCAAAAGCTCACCCTGAAACACCGTGGCTCTTGTTACTCTTGTTTCAGGCGTGATTTCCGACAACACTGACAGTATGATAGCACCACTTACAATTGTACAACCTACAATGTACCATACCGCAATATAGTGTGTACTGATTAGTTATCGAATACAGCAGGACTATGGCAGCGCAACACATGTTCGATACTTCAGCCTGTCACACCCCCGCGAAGGTCACGGATCCAGTGGTGCGCATCTCGAAGTTTCCCGCTGGACGGAAGCCCATGGCCTTGTCCTTTGAGCTCGTTGCTTGATTTTCTGGCTTCGATTCAGCCTGCTCATCCAAAGGTGACATCACATAACATGGCTTCCAGGACACGGTCACAGCCACCTGGCCTAATTCCTTCCATCAAGGAGAAGAAGTAAGCAGCATAGATTTTGGCATCGACGAACACCTTCCACCTCAGGCCGTGAAGCATCCGCAACGACGCAGTCATCCGCAAAGACCACATGCATCCGAGCACCGCACTGCAGTTTTTCCAGGAACATTGATTCTAATCGGTACAGCGCACCGCATTTGTAGCGAATGCCTGGCGATGCTTGCTGCTTCCATGTGTTCGATTGGCAAGAGTACAGAGGCCAAAAGCCTGCAACTTCCAGAAGGCATTCTTCAAAGTCAGCGTTCCAGGGATGAATGTCCTCCCATACCTCGCCAGCATCGTTCAAACAGACGTTAGGAGCGTCTGACACTCTCCTGAATCTGGCCTTGGATGCAATCAGCAATCCAGCTGTGACAAGCGAGCGCCAGTTACCAACCGTCAGAACGGTGTCGGTCTGAGTCGAAGCCCCCAGTGTTCACAGCGCCACATAAAGCCATTTCTTACGCTTGGGGTTTCAAGAGCCTGCTCAATCAAGCGCTCAATGTAGATGGCGCAAAGAACAACTACCTCGGCCAGGCTTGATGTGCAGGTTCACTTCCCGCACACCACTGGCATCCCGCCTGCTTGCAAAAATACAAGGAATCGGAAATGTCGTTCAGAAAGGTCAATACGGCCTCATGGGACCTGTCGAGCAAGAACAACCAACCCTGAAAAGCTAAGCTTCCTGAGCCACTTCATGCGGCTTTTGCAGGGCACCATGGCACCAAGCGTCCGACAACTCCGGCTTCTTTTTTCTACGCGGACAGCAACACCACCTTCGACGCAGGAAGTGGTCCTGCAACCGAGTTGCGTCTTGGAATGAGGATTGTCACCTATTCCAATCTACCGACAGAATTACTCAACCTGGGTTGCCGACGAAGCAGTACAAACTTGATCCCGGGAATATGCTTCAAGGGTTTTCGGGTGTTGCATGCCTGTGGGAATCAATATCAGCCGTGCTTTCATCGCCTTTGGTGTGCATCTGGTCTTTGTGTCATGCATGCACCTTTTGCGTGTTACGGCCTCATCAGTGAACGGGCGTTTTTCATGCCAAGACCGTCTTGACATCATCTTGTCAGCCGCAAATTGATTCGTCACCGACAGTCTGGAGATTCAAGATACTCGAAGAGCGATGCAAACGGAACGGAATGCGCACACCGACCTTTCTACACTACTGCCTGCACTACACTCTCACACCACGTGTGCCTCCCAGTCTACCCAGATCTACGTAACCCGCAGAGGCAAGAATGCAGCCTCTCCTACTTCATTTTCCCCTGCCCGGAGCTACCGGAAGCCTGGGCTTGTTTTCCCGTGTACAGGTTTGTGCTATCAAGCTATTGCAGTGGGAGTGGGTTCCCTGCTGCTCCGGCATACCGCAGGTTGCGTGTGGGATCGACCGACTGACACGGGGGCGCCCAGCTGGCAAAGCAGCCGGAGCATGCTACTACCGGTGCACCTGGTGCATGCGGCTGCTGCCGACGCAGACTTGGACAAAAGGACGCCGCACAGGCTCAAACGACGGGGGATGCTGCGACGCACGATGTGCCAGTGAGGTCGGGACCTCGCGAAGAAGAACCGTGTCGGTCGCTTGCCCCGTTTTTAAAGAGATGACGCTCCGACAAAGGCTGCTAGCGCTCGACAGCAAAGCACCGTCCACTGCGGGACGATACTGAGTTCTTTGTATCACTTCGTAGGAGCCGGCAGTGTCTGCGCAGGCCTCACCATCTACACAGAGCTAGAGGCAGCAGATTGCAGGAGGGCCGATCCGTCGCGGTCACCCCTCAAATGAAGATCGGGGGCGAATGAGCCGCAAGGAGATGGCACAACTACAAACTTCTGAATTGAATCGTGGCGCTACTCCCAAGACACCAATGCCGGAGGAGGTAACCCTCCGGCTGACCTTGAGCGAGTCTCGCTGCTCAATAAGGCGGCCCGTGCGTGTCCATGCTGGTGTCGACCCGCCAAGCAGTCTTTCGGTCGCGATTTTCCGCATAAGTACACGTTGATGTTGACAACAAGTGAATTGAATCAAACTCACCCGGGCTTGGTGCCTCGTGGAACTCGTCGTCATTCTTTGACAGGGCCTGACAAGGCACAGGTTCAAACCATTGAGATACATCGCCTACATGTTCCGTTGCTGACAGTCAGAAGCTCGTCAAGGAAAACAAGCTCAATTGCGGTGGGGTAGGCTATCTTGGGCTCAGTCGAAACCATAATGTATTAGCAGTTCACGAAAAGCCTCCGCTTTCTCCCTTCCCTCTTCCACGTAGCGGCAGACGAGTGTTGCCACCTCGCAGATAGAGCAGAGAGAGCCATCGACAGCATGGGCATGGAACCGTTTTGTGGCGTTGAGGGTTGGCCTGCCCGCTGATGGCGTGTGTCGTCTGCTCTTCGGTGACGAACCGTGGGTCAAGGCTCTCCCCATCCCAAACGTGCCTCGACAGACAGGAAGGTAACAAGAAGTCTGCTGGCCTCACGGAACGCGACCCCTTCCTAGTGCCCGTGGAGCGGAGAGTGATCTCGCCGTCGATGAAGTCTCTGGTTTTTCTGGGCTTTCCGGCCTGACAGCTAGCAATCAAAGCACCAAACTCCGCTGCGCGACAGTTGAGAATTTCTCGTTGCAGGGTTGCCTTGAAGCTGGCTGGGGCTGATGGCAGGCTACCCCCACTTCGAGGAGGCTGCGTGCTCAACCAGCTGCCTCAGCGCTTTGTGGAGCAAACTCCAGGCTCGCTCAAAGAAGGGTTCCGGCCTGCACCTTCTGGCTTGAAGGCCTGGGCGGGTCCCACACGAAGGAGGGCCCTCGCACCCCTCCAAGTCTTACACCGGCTCTCCTCTGCCTGCTACCGACCGTATCTGAGGAAACAGTATGACGGGGTAGAAGCAACAACAAAATTCTTCGTCGGGGTATCGCCGGCTTCCGCGTTCCGTCCATCAGTTTCAGGCTTTTTGTTGATGCTGATCGATCTTCTAGCTATCGCTAGGGACGCTTCTGAACTTGTTCCACAAATCGTCGAGAGAGTTTCAAGTCCAGACACACGACTCAGCCCCCATTCGCCAGGGAGGTCGCCAAGCGATTCTGCTCTAAGTCTCTAAGTCCTCCTGGGACAAATGCAACTCGTTTCCGCAAACGACTGTGCAGAGGTGGACTGCTGGGCCGAGCGGTGGATTTTGCAGTAGGGGGTGTTGGCTAGGTTCTTTTGGCTAAAAAGTTGGTCCGAGCCGTGGCCGTGGTTTGTGCCACGTAGCTAGGGCAAAAACAGTACCAGTGCAACAACCTCAGGTAACCAACCAGCGACCCGCCACCCGGACACAATAGACATCCACGCACGACAACAATCCGGCGCAAGCATGGCCGGCCCTCAGGGCGGCATCACTCGAAGTCTGCCTTCGCAAAAATAATTGCGCAACATGTGTCTCGCCTTGCTTTGGGGCCTTGTTCATGTCTAGAATACGCTTAACAAGTTTGCTGGGGGGGCTGAGGATGCTGAGGCAGGCTCTGGACAGTGAATCGTCAGCGGAAGCAGCGGCTGTTTCAACCTCAGCGATTTCAGGCAACAGTGAAGGGTCTTCGTACATGCCTTGCAGATCCTTGCGGTGCAGTTTCATGGGGTACCGGTTTTTGCTTAGTGTGGAACTACCATGCATTCTTCCGGGGCTTATTCATTCCGCGGTGCGTTTGCGGGCGAAATCTATAGAGGATCAGGAACCTACCCCAAAACCCTTTACAGTACTCGAAAGGGAACCTTAAACCCAAAGTGACCCCCCAACCCTGACCCTCAAACCTAATTCCAATACCTCTCAATAGAACCGTTAGCCCTCACCCCGAACCCTACAAGCCAAGTCCCCAAGCCTAAAAACCGAATCTGGACCACGTTACACCGAGTTACAATAATTACCCGGAAAAGAACCCTACATCCCGGGCCCCCCAGTACGCATCTGAACCCCGAATCCTCCCAAAGCCTACTTAACCCTACTACTACGTACTTGCCACCTCAACCCGTTGCCAGACCCCGAACCAAGGTTCAGGGGTTTCAAGGGTGTCATATTCACCTCACCGGAGAATGGTCGCGAGAGGGAAGGGGGGGGGCCACTGAAGCCAGTGCCACATTACATGCGGAACCGTGGAATCTGTAGCATACCGTTCTGATAGTCGTCTGACAGCCGCCTTCTTCGATCGTGCACGGCAGCGCATGTAGAATGTGGGGGTGGCAGCACTGGCTCACTTGCTGCTTGCTTTGTTTTGGAGGGGGCGGCCGTTGTCGAAGTTTCTCAGGAGCGTGCTCTTGAGACGACAAACCCCTTGAAGGCTTCGCCCCCATAACCTCGGCACGTCAGCTACGGGCTCTGCGGTCAGCAAAATTCTGGCCGCAAGCAAATCCCGAGGTCGCGGCTGCCCCTCGTTTCAGATAAACTTGTGTCTGGCTATTTGGAAGCTCGAGCAACAGCGGCCCATGTACTTCAAAGTGCCCCATCAATAGCTGCAATCGCCTAGCAGGCCTGTCCTCCAAGGGTCCGACTTGAGACTCTTCACTGCTTGCACTGCTTAACATCGTAGCTTTTGCAAGCTGGCGGATGCTGGCAATGCAGCGTCGTGCATCTCTGCAAGACTCTGCAATGCAAAGCTAAGAGCCGAATTTTGCTTCCACCGTGAAACAACGTTAACGGATAAGGAGCCCTCCCAGACAAGCCGGAAGCAAAGGCCGTGCAATGCGGCAGATGTGTTCCGCACTTTCACGACCCATGTGTACAGGGTGCGTGTCTGCATCACGTACACAACACTATATGTACAGTCGGGGATCGACTTGAGCATGGCGTCAAGCTCGGCGGTGGGTTGAGACCTAGTCAAGCAAGTGAGACTCCTCCAAGAAAATGTAAACCTGTCTGAGCTGTGGATGAGCTTACATTGACTTCTGCCCGAAGCTGCCTCTTGGACAAACTATATTGCCCGACGAAAGCATCTCTATGCGGCTACGCATAAGCTGCATCAGTGCGGGCCTGTTGCAGCAGCTGTGCTGCTTCGGCCTTCTCAGGCCCGCTGAGTGGTGACTGGGCAGAGGAGACCTGACATGGATGAACGCGGGACAGTGTACGTCCTGTGCAGAATTTGAGGTGCTCTAAAGGATGATCTTACTGAGGATCTGTCCTTTTGGAGAGCAGAAACGAGATCCTCAACTTGCGAGGCCGTGAAGTGGATGCCCTGGTTCAGAGCCTCACAAGCATCAACATCTGAGTGCCGTAGTGACAATCGCATAATGTTCTTCTCATGGGCATGCTGGGAAGTTCGCAGATCGCTGGAACATTCCTTCCCTCTCTGGTGTTGCATGCCACATTCCTCTACTCTCCGACATGTTCCTGGATGCAGCATCCGCCTGCCACAGCCATGAGAAGATCTGCTCGATACTGGTGGCTGCTGGGTCCTCAATTGTCTCGGCTGTCGATGTCTACACTCTGCTTGGGAGATCCCGGGTCATCAAGAGAGTTTGGTTGCAAGCTGACTCTGTATCCGCAAGTCGGAACAGACCATAACAGACCTTCGCCGGTGACGAGAGGATGTGTATGAGCCGCCGGATCCTCAATTGCGCGATTATGCCTTCTCCTCAAGCACACACCACTTGACTGTGCCGCAGGCAGTCTGGAGTTGCTCTCAGCATCCAGTCGATCCACGATCGGGCCTTCAGGCGTTCGACGTTAATTCCACAGATCCGACATTCACATATGTCCGTGCAACAAATCGGGATCTAGTGCTGAATATTAACGGCATGCCGTGCTGGATTGAAGGCCTGTGTGCTTCATGAGTCGGAGCAAGCATGTTTCTTCAGGCTCAGCGATGACCTGACCGCGAAAACATTGAAGTTTTTTCAAATGTCCGTTCAGCTCGACGTGCTTCTCCAGGACCCGGCCTGCTTGTAAGCCTCTAGGAAGCGTCTTTCGGAACAGAGCTCCATCACAGAATCCCAGAGTTGTCCGCCAGCTTTCCTTGTCAACTGCCGGAAGTGTTCCGTAGACTGCCCATCAGCTGAATCCCGCAGCTAAGTCTTTGCTGACTTTCGGATGTCCGTTTCAGTTTGAGCAGAGCATCTGAGACGAGGCCTTTGTCGCTGAGCCTGCGTCAACCTGAGGCATGGAACAATCATTATCGTCGATTGCAGCGCTGCAAGCTGCAAAGGAATCTGGTGTCACCGCACCTTCGCACGGCCAAGCGCCTCGACAGACAGTCTAGCAGCAAGAAGCAGCACCAGCAAGTGCTTTAACAGTAACTGTCAACAGGGAAGAAGCTCTCTCAGGCTTCTCTGTTCAGATGTTCTCACATGCTCATATGTGCAGTGTGCCCTGGCGAAAACTGCGGCGAAAGGCTGAGTGGGCTTGCTAAAGGTCGCTCGCTGCTGCTGCCAGCCAGAGCGCCGCCGGCCCCAACCGCCGCTGCCTCAGAGACAGCATGCCCATGCTGTGCCTGAACCCGAACCGCTCGCAGAGCTGAGCCGCGCACACCGTCTGCAGCTGGACCGGGGATGCGAGTGGCCTTACAGATCCCAGTCTACAAACAAATCTACTCAAACACTGGCCACTGGTCGTCACATCCACCTGGCCACCTGGCCTCGGCTCCGTCTTTCCAATCGGCTGCCCACCTGCACTGTACAAGTTGTACCATGTTACCAGCGCATGCATTCGGCTTCTTATCTTTGTGCGACTTGTGGCAAATAATTTCGGGCTCAGCTTGGAGTGCCAACAAGCAAGATCACGCCTTTTTGCGGTATTGCCAGAACCTGTCCCGGCATCCTGCCGTGCAGGTGCAGACTGGCAAGTGTCTTGCTTGGCAAAAATGTCCAAAACATAGCAAATGTCCTCTGCCGTCCAGGCCTGAAAGGAGGTCCAGGATGGGCGGAAACTGCAACAAACACTTCGCTGAAATCTGACCTGCTTCGCGGGCTTCACGCTGCTGCTGGATGATGCCTGCCAGAGTCAAGCGAGATGGACATTGCTGTCACAGCAAAACCTTTATGCTCACAACCTCCCTACTCTGTCTCGTGTCCAGCAGCACTTGCAAGCAGGACCGGCAAAGTGGCCCAACATCTCGCCCCATGTACACCCGGCAGGCCGTGCTGATGAAGGCGTCAGTGAGCAAGATCTGCTTCTCCAACTCCTGCTCCTTGTCAGACCACTTGCAGACTCATAAGGCTCGTTGACAAGCTCCTAGCCATTCACCTCCGGAGGCTTGATTCTCTTGACGACTGGCAGATCACAGCGAACGGGTGTACCAGGTACTTGCCACCGACCACTCACTTCAAGCTGATGACAGAGACGACGACGAAATCGAACATCGTGAAGATCGCCATCTTAAAAAACAACACAACCTGTGTAAGCGAAGGCAACCGGTGGTTGCATCAAGCACGCTCTCATGAGTCGCTTCCCCCAATCCGCCACGGCCGAGGCGTTAGGCTCGGTTTCCGTGGGACCATGCAAATCGTATCAGATCGGCTATTTGCTTTCGAAATTTTGGAGCAAGATTGACTGGTGGTGTAGGCAGGAGAACCTGTCATTGTCACAGTTTTGTCGCAGTTTGGCCTCGAAGTTTGGAAATGCGTCCCATACTCCGAATGCGATTTTGGGATCTGATACCCTTTCGGCCCCGCCACGCCCTTTCCGCCCCTCTCCTTCCCTTTCCTTCCGTTGCTCGCACCGCTTGTAGCAGCTGCAGACACGAGTAACACAGCTCGAGACCGGCTGAGAGGCGGCTTTTGCGCTAGCGGTTTTATACACATTCAGCTCCTGCTGCTCGAGCTGCTGCTGATGCTCATTGAGCATTTGGTCGTTCTGTTCCAGTCGCTGATCCTCGAAAGCAGAAGGACAAGCTACATGAGCTGATGTTAGGATAAGTGGGAGCCTGCTGCTGGATCTGCAGCTGCTGCTCCTGAGACGTGTTCATCTACGTCTAGGAAGCGCCATGCAAGAGAGCAGCTCAGCTCCTGGAGTTGCTGGTCCTGCATCCGAGGGGCTGAACAAAACAGAACTCCTCCCCTGCAAGTGGCTCGCAAGCTGTCCATCTGCGTCAACTCGTCTTCCTGCTGAGCAATGCGTTCCTCCATGAGTTGCATCTGCTGCTCCTGCCCACAGAGCCAAACTATCTTTGCGCTCCACTAACCCTTGCAACCGAATAGCTTCCACTGTAAGGCCTGCGTCTCTATCCTCTGCTGCTGAGTGGCGATAAGCTCGCCTTGGCCTTAGATTGTTCACAGTGGCCTTTCCTGCGGAGAGGTGACGCAGCCTACGGTCACAAGCTCAAAGGCAGGCACCTTCGCAGGTTCGAACCAGCTGCTGCAGCCTGCACTGACATCCGGCCATGCAGCGTGCCACAACGGTCTGGCATCCCTTCCAGCGCCTTTCGGTCATTTGCCTGTCGGAGCGTCGCTTCTCGTCCTCTGGTAACGTGGAAGGAGACGGGAGGGACGGCGGGGACAGCAAGGGGAAGAGAGCAACGGCAACTGAGGTCAGTCCTCCAAGACGGCGAGGCGTTGGCTCAAAGCCTCGATGTGTGACAGGAGGGTGGTCGTCTCCTCACAGCCGATCACAGCTGTAAGCTTCATTCGTTGCTTTCGTTCAGATGAATGATCCGTCCTCTTGATCACTAGCAGCAGGCCTGCCAGAGTCTTCAGCTGCTCGTGCAGTGGTAACGGACGGTGCTTAATGCCGGGCACAGAGCTGCAACCACGTGTTATAGTGACTGGTACTGCGCAGTCCAGTTTCCTGGTTTCGAGCCCGGGAGCACGGCCTGTGTGGAGGTGCGGCCGAGGCAAGATGCTCCGAGCGCCCCGAGGGATCTTCCCACCTCAAGACCGGACTTGGGGAAGGCCGCGCTCACAAGCTGACCAGATTGGGTGCCCGGCCAAGGCGCTGGACCTGCCTGCGATTTAACAGGCCGTCTTCGCGAGGAGAAATACACGTAGCAAATCAGGACGGCTATGTCGCTCGACTCTTGGTGCCGAGCATCTGTCTCGGGAGCCTCTGTGGACGCCTGCCATTTACCCATCGCACTTGCAAACAAAAAGCACTTGTTGAAACCGAGGCAGCGAGGAGCTGCTCTGCACTCTCAACCAATCACGCAGTCGCTCGCTCGCTCGCTCAGTCACAGGAGACCGCTCCGCAGTCTGTGTACCACAACGATCTCACTCACCCATCTAGCCACCCACCCACCTACTACAACAATAACACGTTGTCTGCATGTCGTTTGTAAGTGCGCGGTGTCGCTTTTGTTGAGTTTCTGACTTCCTTCATCACTGTCTACTCTGGTCACAAAGATCGTTTAGTTTAGTACTTCAGATAAAGTTCCACATGTAGGGCCGAAGCTTCCTTCGGCCCTCAAAGGCTGCCGGCTGCAAGTCCACAATCACACGAGCCATCGCAATGCCTGCACTTGCGATGCCCGAATCAACTGGCCTGGTGAGACCGAACATCCTCTGCAAGGTGAGGTGATGCCTTGGCCGGCAGTGGACATCAGTGAACTTTGGCTTCGCTGTGAAGTGAACCTTACGCTGAGACCGCTGCGTCAGAGACCTCATGCTGCGCTGGCCTGACATGATGCAATCGTGGGCAGCCTCTCGAGGTCGGGACGAGACTGGGCCACAGGCGCAGAGGTCGGGGACTGCGATGGATTAACATCAGCACCTCTCTAAAAGCTCCCACAGCACGTGCAGTCCGGGGAGTTGAAAACGCGTTGCCTGCCGCATCTACCCCCTCTGGAGCATCGGATGTCTTCGAACCTTGCTTGACCGGGCCACAGTGAACGCGTACAATAAACAAGAAATCAGGGACTGGCCAGACTGAAATGTCTTAGCCCATTGTCCAGGTTGCACAAAGATTCAGCCCTCCAGCTCCAGCCCTCAGGAAGTGCAGCAGAGTACTCGGAAGGCAGCAGCACAGGCAGAGGCAGAAGCAGCAGCGGGTTGGGGGTTGGGGGTTGAGGATTGGAGGGTTGAAAAGGTTGGAGGGTTGAAGGGGTTGGAGGGCTGGATTGGAGGGTTGGTGGGGTTGGAGGCCTGGACCGTCGGAGGGCTAAAGAACTGGAGGGTTGGAGCTGGAGGTATTTAGAAATCTACACAGACCCTCAGCCAACCTCAAACTTTCAAAGGCCAGAAATGCGGGAATTAACAAGTTTTTAGGGTCGAACCCAACGCATGCCCGTTTCTTGTCGAAAGCATCCGCCGTAGCAGCCCAGATATATATATATATATATATATATATGGACCAATGACTGCCACAAGTCCATGGCTCGATCTCGCTGCCCTGCTCCTGGGCTTTGAATCCTCGCAGGCATGCTGCACAACTACGATCATCTTCGAGCAACTGTGGAACGTCCTCAGTTTCTTCCAACCTGTTGCTGGCTGGCATGGCTGGCACGGGCTTCCTCAGCGGTAGCAACTTCACAGGATGCAGGGCATTCCGAAAGCTCCCCGTGAGATTTTTTAAGATTCACATCTAAACCAGGTGGGTATGCTCCAAGCTCGAAGTCTGCAAGTGCAACTCTGCATACGACAGCAGCTTCCGAGCACTTGACTTTCTTGCTCTTGTGGCAACGCCAGTGCCTGCCTGAGCATGCATTGGCAGTTCCCATGTTTATCTTCCCCGCCTGGGAATGTGCCCCAATACTTGAACGTCTACTTGGCACTTTCAAGCGACTCTTCCGAATCACGACCACCTGAGAAATCCAAGAAACAAAGTCTCACGCATTTACAATTATCAAGTCGAATCACAAGCACTACATGCTGGAAACTCAAGGATTGACATCAATTGCTCTTCAAGCAAAGAGCACAGGTTCGTGAATCATAGAATCAACATGATCATGCCTGATTGCGTTGCCGCTCGCGTAGGGACAAGACTATGTAAACGCCGGCAATGGCTAAACCTCGGATCAAACGAGATCCTCGATCCTGGTGCACAAATTCGAGTAACGCCCGAGCAACGCGGGAACGGTCCACCCCGGTTTCGGCCTCAGCGGAGTTCGTCCGCTGCCCGCCGTTTCCTGGGCCTGCTCGCTGCAATGCTGTCAAGGGATCCCCTTATGTTTAAAGGGATGGGAACCCCTTACTAAGCTCTGACTATGGCAATGAACGGCTTAGGATCGGGGTTGCCTGGGCCTGTGTCCACGAAGTGGGCCTCCAGGCAGCGCGAAGAAAACGAGCCGTCCAGCTTTTGACTGGTGCCGGCCTTGGCTGGCTCCAGAACCGCGACATCGTACTCGGCCGCTCCCGCCACACCTACACACAACGAAGACTTGCCCGCTGTGACCCTGTGGGCTTTGCTTGCGGGGCAAACTGCAACACATCGGCTCTGCAAGCGAAAGTGACCAGCCTGGGTCAGACTCGTCCTGCCATAGCCACAGCAGCACGTAGCTCGGCAATTGCACACAAGACGATTCGGGCCTTGGCATGCACCGGAGATTCCTGGACTGCTGGCAGATCCTGACAGAGCGCAAAAGGAAACGCACTAGATTCACTTCATGTGCTTGAAAGGGCAGTCACTTGGCAACCACCATCCGGAGTCTACAAGCCGCATGGCGTGCTCCCATCTCCTCCATCACATCGCCTTCGCGAGCCAAGCCTGGCACAATGTCAGGTGAAATGGCGAAATTGGTCCTCGAAACTGTCGGCCTCGTGTCTCGCTTCCTGAACTGATAAGCCTGTCCTGGCAAGATACTCTACTTAAGTGGAGGCTGGGAACCTAACTCTACTTTCAGGATTAGACAGTGAAGCATCACGAAACGTATGCAATGCAAACTAAGGAACTGACATAAGTGCCGCCGTTGTCTAGAAGTCAAGCTTGCATCGACAGTAGGAACACACAACTGTGCAACTTCCTAGATAGTTGAGGGTTCCTAGCCGTCTCTGTTAGTTCATGAAGTAAGTCTGAATAAACTCTGAAGTCAGGGATACATGGTGGATAGTTGCTGCTTCCCCATGTCCTTCCAAGAGCTTCGGAGACTCTTCCCGGGGGGAACATCATGAGCTTTTAAAGCCCCTTCCGACTGCGATCCGGTTAGCTCCCGTTAGTACCTGTGGAGAGAGTGGGGAGGCTCTGGCTGGGGAGATCAAAGTGGGTCCCTTATAAGCCCCCGCTTTCATCCCTACTCCCCCCGGGTCTTCCCTCCGAAAGCTGGCGCCAGCTGCCGAGGCCACAGCCGGGAGGATCGGGTCTGCATTCGACTTTTTTGGAGAGGGGTGTGCAGTAAACCCCGCAAAGTTGGAAACCTGATTAAGGCCAAACAGTGCTGGGATTCCTTATACGGAAAGGCATAACACTGCTGATTCCAGCTGCACCGAACTCGTCCTCCACCCCAGCCATACCAGGCATGCCAACGACGACGTCTTCAAAGTCGTCGCTTGCCGCTGGGTGCTGGTTGGCCTCAGCAACGATCTGCAACACACGTGGGTTGACGGCTACCTGAACGAAGAGGTTTCCAAGCTCATGACCGATTGGAAAAAACTTGAGTTTGCTGGCTGGCTGAAGATGGACACACGCTCGCGCTTCGGCCTCTCAATCTGCTCACAGCAATGCAGTTCTGTCACATCCCTGGCACCGGCCTGGGTTTCTTGGTGGTGCTGAGGTCAGCGTTGCTCAGTGCGTTCTTGACTGCAATGTTTCGAGCCACCTGCGCAAACAGAGCGAGAGACCTCTTCACGAAAGCACCCGCAAAATAGGAGGATTCAAACTATGAAAGGACAGGTTCTTCAAGCAGTGCATTTTACGAACTAACGACCTTTCGTGGACAAGGCCATGGCTCTGGGATGTCGGATCCTGTCCAATCCCCTCGGCCCTCGGCTTGGAACTTGGAGAAGAGTTTAAGTATCCTTGGGGTGAGTTCCTTCAACTCCTAAAGACTTTCTGCGGATCCCTGACCTTCTATTGTGCGGGCATTCCTGCACCATACATATCATACATCGACCCATGGACCCGTGTGAAAGGGCGATTCTTTGTTTCGATTGAACTTCGTCGCAGCTGCACGCTTGCCCTTGCCTTCTCCGCAGCAGCTTCCTGGAGCCTGCTGCCGCTCACTATCACGTCAATTCTACAGAACAAGCTGTGAACAAAGCTCCGCTGCTTTGTTGGATGCAAACACACTGCACTGCTTGCGGTGCTTTGGCAGCGGCCTCTCTTGCTTATCGACGCCTCGGTCTTCCTGCGCCATGCATGATACGTGTGTGAGACATCGATATGCGCCGATGAGGGGATTCAAGCACGCAAGACAGCCCAAGCAAAACACAGTTTAGTTACTGTTCATCATGCCCGAATGACGCAGATTCAAGCAAGAGATGAGCCCTCATGTAGCATGATTGCGGGAATCCTCCAGCTTGGCATCCGCAAACGGGTCACGCATGTCGCGTTCCCGCGTGGCGGTGCGGACCTGGCATGGCAAGTCACGGTTCGCACGTGGCAAACATATCGTGAAGCTCGAAATGGTGCATGCCAAGAACAGGTCGGCAAGGGTCAGCATCCCGTCTGAAGGGAGCAAGAACTTGACCATAAGGTTGCGTGTGCGAACTGTACATATGTTTGCAGGAGCAATGGTGCATGTAAACATACCAGCAGCTCATTCCTTGCCTGCCTGGGACCTGCCAGAATCCGTTGGCAGGTGCAATTAGAACATGTAAATGTCACGCTGCAGCTGCACAAGCAGTGCAATGCAGTGCACATGTCTCACCCAGCCTTCGCTCAGCCGGACCTGCGCTGCTCGGGAATCAAAGCTTGAAAAGCCTCTCTTCTTGAGCCTGGTCTCGGTCGGGCAAAGGGCTGGTCGACCTCAGCTTCTGTAGAGTTTAAGACAGCTTAAGTCTTAAAGCGTCACTAAAAGCCTTCAGCAGTTCAAAGGTGCTCCAGGGCTCTCGCCGAAGAGAGACTCCAGAGTTCCGGTGCCATGTTGCCTGAGGGGTGTAATTACTCTGTTTCGACTTCCGAAGACACACGCACGCCGGCACATCCCACCGCACCTCTCGCTCTGCATTGGGAGCCTGTGCCTCGCTTCAGGTCAAGGCCGTGCGAAGGTTGACAGTGTTGCATGCAGCCAACCAGGCCCCTGACAGCGCAAGGGCTGCTGGATCGCAGCGGCCTAACATGTTTCATGCCCAACAGACGCAGAGGTGGCGAATCTGCATCAGCTTGCAGACCTGTCGCTCCTCTCTCCTTCGCATGACTGCTTTTGTGCTTGAAGCGTGGCGCTGCTTTCCCACAGTCCGTGACCTCTGCTCCTTCAAGCCCTTGGCTTGAACTTAGGCAATCTTTGGCGAATCCGCCAATGCCGGTTTTAAGCATTTTATCATTGCAGGATCTTTAAAGAACAGGTGGCCACTTCAATCACTTCAATCTTTCTCGTGTACTGGAAGGACAGCTCAACCCGTCTCGAGCTGTCGCAGGAGGTCTGCATCTTTGCGCAGCAGGAATGCCATTGCAGATACGAGTGAGCATTCACTCTGCCGTCCTGCCAAGGTAGATGTTGGGCTAGGCGCTGCCTGGCATACACTGAACAAAAAGAATGCATTCATAAATGTGATGCAGGAACTCTTTTTGCCGCCTTTACAGTGACCGACCACCGAAGCTGAACATCCTTCACTGCTTCTCGCACGGCACGAACCTCAGTGCTTAGACTTTCAAGCTTTGGGACAATGGTACATTGACATCGTGATCGCACCTTGTCCTCTCGAAGACCTTCCATCATGGCGGAAAGCTTCTTCTGCAGGGGTGTTGGGCGCATTGACCTTACGCCAGAGTCATCTCTGGGCCAAGGCGGCATGGTCAAGATCCAAGGGTGCTGACGGGCTTGAAGGCGTAGAGATCTGTAGCGACGAACCAAGCTCTGCATGGTCGCCGATGGCTTGCAAGACTTCCACGGCCTGCAAACAGATAGCAACATTCAACGAAAGTCAATACTGAGTCTGGACACGGTCCTACCAGTACGAACCGCGTCAGATCCGACCTGCTTCCGAGTCTGCCAATCTGATGTCGAGTTCAGACAAATCTCCAAGCCTTGCACTGTGTGGCGTCTCTTTGACATTCAGTTCTACACGTGATGGCACTGCACAGCAATTCACATTGGTGCAGGGCAGGGCATCAGGGACGGCAGCACTTCATCAAAGTCAGTGAGGTTGACAGCCTGGCGGGAAACACAGGGCTTGAAGCCACGAGAAATCAAGCGAAGATGAAGCGACAGTGCCTGCATTACGTGAATGCAGGCGCTCAGAAGCTGCGGCCGTGCCATGGCCAGCGGCAGACTGAGATGTTGGACCTGATCCGAACGGCAAAGGCAGTGCCTTGCTGCACATTTCGTCTCTTCAAAGCCGTGTGACCAATCGTGCACAAAGCCGCCCCAAGTTCTCGTTTAGAACAGCCGGTGGAGATCCCTGGCACACAAAACTTCACATGTCAGAATCAGAAGACCCTGGTCGCCGGCCTGGATTACGGCGCATATGCAAGACGCTGCTCCGATCTGTACCTGCAGGCCCAAAACCCACAGCATCTAAGCCTCCCAAACAAAATTGGCCGGGGGCTGACCCACTTGTTGTGCTCGGTCAGAGAAGCAAAGAGTGGTTTCAGCAGAGTCGCGAAGACCGGGGACCCGTCAGCCTGGCAGAAACTGCTAGATGCCAAGAACCTTGTGAACGTGAACAAGTCTGTGAGGACTAGGCATGGAGTGTTTGGTGCTAGTCTCACTGGCAAAATCACGAGCCAGCGGCACATCCACAACGAGCGCCCGCGTGAGTCTGAATACCTGCATGTTGCAGACTTCGGAAAATTTCCATTGCGAGAAGTCCTGTTATGCGACCAGGAACTGGATCCAGAAACTATTCGCTTTCCGACGGGACTTGTACTTGAGATGACTTGCGGTGGTCGTAGTAGCCTAGTGAGTGATTTTCAGCAGACCAAGACATAGCACCGTCTCAGCACAGGCTTCCCGCAGATGAAGGTCCGCGTCCTGCAGTTTTGATCGGAAGTGCCGCGAAGAAAAAGGGTCCAGAATTCCAGAAGCGAGCCTGCAACCGAGTCAGGACAACCTGAAGCATGCGCTGCAGGAGAGGTATGACCTCGGCAACTCGAATTGAAGTGTTCGTTGGTGCCGCGACCCCACGGCTGAGCTCGCTACACCGTCTCCATGGAGCTCCGCCAGGAGGCCCAGCAGCTTTACACCTGGAGGATCCTAGACTTCACCCCCGGTTGCCTTCCAGACTGAGAGCTCGGCTCTCGCAGCGACCCAGCGGCTTCAAATTTGTGCCAGCCTGGCCAAACAAGGCCAGAGTTTTCTGGCCCAGCGGGCCTCAACGGATCCCAGCGTGCCTCTCCGATTGAAGTGATGACCATTGGAAACCTGATGCACAATTTCGGCTTTTGCCAGTCTCCGCCCCAACGACTTCGGCCTAAGGCCCTAGCCAATCAGGGTAAAGGGTTTGAAGAAACCTGAAGTGGCCCAATTTGCAGGGACAGACAACGGACCGCGGACAGCTGCGGGCAGCGCTCTCTGATCTCTTCGATACCGGCCCGCTGCGTGTCCTGCCACACAAGCTTTCACCCTTCATAGCGTGATGTTGCTTGCAACTTGTTGCTGGCATTCTCCGTCTTCGTTCAGCACCCTGGCAAAACGATGCAGCACCTGAATCTCTAACGGCCTCACAATCCCTTGCTTCTATGCCGAAGACATCGTGGAGAGCCCTCGACCTACCCTGGCATCCCCGGCTTGGCCTGAAACATCCTGAAACTGCCCGTCTCTGCTACACAGCCCTGCATGGCCTGCCTGATCATTGAGGCGACTGAGAGCAAAGTCCAGCTTCGTTTTGAGTTCAGCCAAGGCCTGGAAAGCTCTGGCGCAAGCCGTGTAAACATGCACCATGCACTTCTCAAGACTCCTCTAGACATGACGTGTCGAGGATGCAGAACTCTGGACCCACCTCCTTGCTTTCACGACTGCCATATCGAGAAGCTGCCGTTGGCCTTCGGAAGAGCTTCCACAAGCTCGATACTCGACATGGGATTCAGCCAGCCGCTGAGGCCGCCAGCGCTGCCCCTGTAGGAGATACCACCATCTCTTATGCAGAAGGGCCTCAGTGACGTGTCGCTCTCAACAGATCCAGTAGCTACATTCTGGCGTCTCTCGCACCCAAGATCTAGGTCCTCCACGGGGACGGGGAGATCCACATGACATACGTGCAGCGTGAGTAGACTGCAGTTACATAGTCCGGTTGACTTACTCGCTTGCTCCGAACCACATATCTCAGGCTTCGCGGACGCAAGTTTTGGCTTGATAGTGCGAAGTACCTTCATGAGTTCTTTGCTTCTAAGCAGCCACTGCACAGGCATGACCTGCAAACACATGTGACTGGACCGCATGAGCGCCCTTCTGAAGCAGGAAGCTGCCCGAAGCGGATGAAAGCTTAAGCGGTGCTGCTCTGCTTGAGTCTGACACGCATCGCGCTAGCTTTTGGTTTTCCAAGAGTCACTGAAGTGCACGGCCTGCTTTGTCGAAGTCTGCTGAAATGTGCGTTTCGCGCTTCGTTCCGAGTCACGGTGCTGAGGGTGCTGTGCTGCACATTCTGGATCCAGCTCACGGCTGTGCCACGCAGCTCGATCTGGCGGACATGCCAGGTTAGCGTTGCCAGAAACAGGATGCCAGCCGGGGCGTTGTACCTCCTTGTTCACTTGTTGAGCCCAAGAGGAAGGAGCTTCAGTCCACCATGCAGCCAGCTCCACAGAAGCTTCAAGGCACTTGTATCTCACTCCAAGTCCTGAATCAGGGATGCGCTTACAAACTGAATCCACTTGGCACAGCTTGCACGACCGAACCGCGAACAGATCGTAGTTCAACCCAGGCGCACGAGGGCGAACTGGCTCCACGCAAGCTCCCTCTCTTGCCAGGCACACACTGGCAACAGCGTGACCTCTGCCACATGCTTCGATCAATGCCTGCAAGAGCGAGGGCCGGGCTAACGTCGTGTGTGCAGCCTCCAAGCATGGTACCACAAGCTGCTTCCTGCCTTGCGCTCTGCATCTGTGTTCGGTGCCGTCGCCTGTGCCAACCACGACGACAAAAAGCCTGCTATAAAGGCATCTCCACAACCTGTAGCATCCACGATTCCTCAGCTGTCAAGTCTCCGCTGGAGAACTATGCAACGCTTTGTGCGAAAGCTTAGCTTCAAGATGAGCAACACTCTGCTTGATCTGCCCGGCCAAGACTTCAATATGCAACAGGATAGGATTTGATGCTTGGTTTTGAAGGTTGCCGTCTAGCTGCGAACGGCTGGCTTTGTAGGCACGTAGATCGACTGCATGCCATGCCGATAGACAGTGCAACCATGTTCTCCTTGAGTGACCACCTCACGCAATTTCATTGACATCGGAAGTACAACGACAGTTCCGGCCCCCAAAGTCTCCGCTGATAGCCGGCCCTTGGCTCGTGATCGCAAGTACCTGAGGATCCGGCAACCGTGGTGTTGGGAAATCTTTTGCACCTCAGTTTGGCGCGAGTTTGGGATCCGAAATCCCGAACCGCCATTTCGACCACTCGACTTAGAACCCTGCAGGGCGAGGGGCAAAGCATTGATAGAGCGGTCTCCCTCGTGACATAGTGCAGAACACAGGTGCTCGCCTTCCGAAATGTTCACCTAAGCAGATCATTGTGAACCAGGATTGCACGGGACCGGACAAGAAAAGACTGTTTTCCGTTGCGGCTCCAGCTGCGAAGAGCAAGTCCACATGCGGTAGGAATTCCTCCAAATGGTTGCCCTCCCCACACCAGTGACCTGCAGCATCGCACCTGGCAAAAGGCCAAGATTCACAAAGTCCTCTCTGTAACGACCACAGCCCTGCGACGATTGGCGATAGTAAGAGCGCTGCTGTGTGTTCATGGAGATGGTCATGCTCGAACTCTTCAGGCTGCGAACGAACTCCGTGAAATCTCGGCTCTGCAGACCTGTTCCATGCTTCCACAACTGTGCGAACATGCCATATGGCCATATCTCAAGCTCCGCAGCCTTTCATGTTGAAGTAGCCGCCGAGGTGAAAGTGAGTGCATCCGTCTAAACGATCCGCCTGCAAGCGCATGTCAGGTTGCATGCTGCAGCTCCACTATTCCGTCCTCTGCACCCGACCTGCTCCTGGAGGTCTCGTGCGGTGAATGCGTCGGTCGTGGAATAGCATGAGACGAAAGCACGATCAGATGGTCCAGAAAGGACGATACACACCGAAGATGGCAGGTTGCTGAACATCTTCATCGTCTCTGTGGGGAAGCCCTGTCCAGCTACTTGCTGCACCAACGACCGTCCGAGAGTGTCGTCGCCGACCTCCATCAACAGACATAACACACCTTGCTGCAAAACTCATCAGAGCAGCTCCTGCTGAGACCAGGGCCGCCCCAAAAAATCGCACCCGAGTTCCGAGAGCGTGAAGATGGCGCCCCTGGTTCAAGGCGCTCCCCCCGGGGAGCATCTTGACGCTCTCTGCCTCTACGTCAGAATCCTCAGAAAAACGCTCCAGCATCTGACAGGTTCATAGTTGCGAAATCTGAGCTCCCTGTTTTCATGTCCCGAAGCTTCGGAGCAAGCTCGTGGGTTGTGTGGACTGTCGACATTTACGAAGTATCCGTCAATAACTTAGATTCCCACCCACATAGGAAGCTTCTTCACGGGTGCCACGATGTCGATGAAGATATCTCCAGTCATGGCCACACATGGTGGTCGCTGCTGGCAAGAAGTCGTCCTCAGCCATGAGAACAGAAAGCATGGCAAGTTAAGGCTTAAGGCAGCTGAAGGTCTTAGAGGGTAAGCATTTTGAAGGTCGGCGCACGTCCTCGGATAGAAACGACTCTCAAACGATCCTGTTCAGATGTGGCGCGAATCCCTCCACGGCACCCGAAGCAGGCACTCGGTGCCCAAGAACACCGCGGACGCCCGCGCCAGTTGGCTGGTCCATGCCGTGCAGCCCCTCATGCCCTCTTGAGAGCTCGAGCTAGTCCGTCTAATCTATCCTGCAGAGGCATGTGGTACGGTTACACCCATGAAAGAACAGCTTCAACAAGACAATCTCAGTACGGTCAAGACTCACATGCAAGGCTACCACCAAAATGCAAAAGGCTGCAGGCAGGCGATGGCTTCTCAGATCATTGCCTTGCACGATGCCCTTCTTGGGCTGCGACATGCTGCGCGGAGTAAAGGCAGACTGACTCGACGCAAATGTTTGTCTTCCACCGCTCGGGTGTACTGACTCTGCCACGGCGCCGGGACATGGCACGTTGTTGGGATGCAGCCTGCAGCACTCTGGCAAGCTCACGGCGGCACACGATCTTGAATGCAACAGCTACAGCCGACAACCTGAAAGGCTTCGGGAGCGAGCTCGCAAGCCGATGGGGAAGCTCGACAAGACTTGAGGATGCTGCATGACATGTTTTCCAGACACTGCTTGCCTGCGTGAAACTTAGCCACTAGCGATGTCGATTCTACGTAAGCTTTGCATGGATGCCCACTGGTAGCCTTCTGACCTTCAGTCAGACCTGGTTGGAAACCTAGATGGCCAGTGCACATCTCCTCGCCTTCGACAACAGGAAGCCGCACGCCAACGCTACACACAGAAAGCAAAGTTAACAGCCAGGTTGGGAATCGCTCCGAGGCCCAAGAACCGAAAGCCGAATGTCCCTGCCAAGCTGGCCAGTGCGACGAACCCGCCGGCGAGAACCACCATCATGCTGCACAAAATGCGAAAGCGAAATATGATCGTTTTCTGCGGAGCCGGTACGCCAGTACAACTGAAAGCAGAACCACAGCGGGTATCGCAGCCAGCCACATAATCAGACCATGAAAAAGAAGAGCCACAGGTAGCGTCGAGCCTGTCAGGGTCAGCAACGGCCAATACCCGATTCCCAGGTAGAACCACATGACGGGACTGGCCGCTCCAACCACGTGCCAATAAAGGAATAGCGGACCCGTCAATTGTTCCAAGAGAGCGGTTCTGACGTTTCCCCTCACATGTACTTCAAAGGCTGCAGGCACCCACCCAAAATGCTAAAACACTAACCCCCCTGACCAGAACCTTTCAAAGTTAGGCTCGCACACCTCAAATGGTTCAAGGCTGCAGGGTTTGAGGTTCCGGATGATTCCGGTACCAAACGTGAAAGTTGGGACTCTCAGGTCTTGGGACGTAGCATGAAACAGTAGGAGAAAGCAGAAACAACGGAGACACGTGGAGACAGTACGGTTGCAAGTGGTGTACAGTGTACGAAGGGCTGGCTCTGCAGAGCAAGGAAGGCTGAAGAGACCGCCTCGCCGTCAGCCAAGCAAAGCAAGCTTCTCGATGTCCCTCAGACACTTCCTCAACACATCTTGCTTGTGGGCCAGACACGTGTGCACTCTGGAAACGCTGCAGCCCTGGCAGAAGAATCTCAGAATTCTGCCTTCGCAACTCTGGCGCCGTGGCACGAAGCGGGTCTGCCAGTGTGTCGAGCTTCTGCAGCCGCCATCTTCGGATTGCACGGCTCCTGCACGGCAGCGAAATGAAGCTGAGAGGCTGTTGTCTGCCACGAAGCCAAGACCGTCGATACAGCAGAGCATCGGAAATGCGAAGAACAGAGACAAGTGACCGCATTGATTCACGACCTGCACGCAGAAATGCTCTCGCCTGGGCTCTTGGAGCGGCAGGTCCGTGATGTCCAGCGGCAATCTTAGCCCTCAGTTCCGACAGTATCTGAGCTGCCCGGACTAACCTCTCTTCTCAACGCTATGCTAGCCAGAAAAGGACACGACACCCAAGCTGACGTAGCGCAGCGAGAATCACCAGACAAAGTCGAAGCAGCCACATGTTAGTGTGCGAAACACAACCTCTGATGGCGGCTGCCACCCGGAACTTCTAGCATGTTGCAGCAATGTGACTTCAGCTCCTGAGCCTGCTTCCAATAAATTTCAATCTCGATGCTCGTCGATGAAGTCTGAAGTCCGAAAGACATGGTCACTCGGGACTTAAGCCAGCGACGTTGCTTGTAAAGCTCTGTCATTTCGACCTCATGCCTTTCAAGCCTCAGCAGCCACGAGTTTGCGAGCGTCGTCGGCCGCACGGCTGCCAACTCAGCACGCCACTTTGAGCGAAAGTTCATGTGCCGGCAGCTAGCTGACAAGTCCGCTTGGCGGACCTCTTTAGCCAGCCTCAATGTCAAACGCGCAATGCTAGTGCACAAACAGACACACACTCTCTCTCTCTCTCTCTCCTTCTTCTTCTGCAGGGCATGACTCTCTCTCTCTCTCTCTCTGTCGCTCTCTCGCTTGCACAGCGTGTGGAGCACGAGCGACCCTCGCACTCCTGCGCTCTCGCGCGACGCTGTTGTTCTGTCTGGAAGTCGGCGTGAAACGTGACGGTGAGTTGCTCGTTACCAGCTTGTCCTCGAGTGAGTCCCCTCCTCTCTCGGCTACTGGACTCCGATCAAGGCGAAAGTATCACCAAACAAAGGAAGCAAGTACGATAGGATCTTGCTTGCTCTCTCTCCCTCTCTCTCTTTGCTTTGCTTTGCCTCTCTCTCTCCCTCTCTTTGCTTTGCTCGGGGTTTGAGGCAGGAGCAGTCCTCCTTGCTTGCACTCAGCCAAGGAGAGGCGCACCCCCCCCCGCGCGCGCGCGTGCGCGCACTGGTCTCAGAGCAGTCCCCCTCTTCGCAAGCGAACCCGGGCCAAGGCCCCACCTTTCCCCATTAGTGAAGTGGAAGAGGCTTTGGGGTGCTCAGTGGTAGGGACTTTCCCCCAAGGTAAGTGCGACCGGTGGTGTGTGCCTGGCAGACAAACCGACCCCCCCGAACTTTAGCGCGCGTCCCGGCCTCATCGCCGCGCTCTCTATAGCATGTTCCTCAGTCCCTTCGCCAGGCACATCCCCCACGTAAAGGCAACGGCTTGTGTGTGGTTCCCCGCCTTATCTGGAAACAACACCAACGCAAAGAGTAAGTTCACTAGTGCAGGCGGTTCCCCCACAAGCGAAAAGAGCTCTGTGCAGGTGAAGGAAGATTTAGGTTTCCCGCGTCAAGGCAAGTACGAATTGGTATAAAAAGCCCGTCAAAGGTGCAGAAAGTGCCTCCTAAATGCAGTTTGGGAGGGGCGAGTCGCGCCCCCGAAGGTGTAGTAAGTTATGGCTCAATTAAGCTTGTCTTGTGCAAGCAGGTCTGGGGGAACCACTCGGAAAGGAAGCAAACAACGCAGAAAGTGTGTTCCCCCACGAGCACATCACTACGGCATTCGGAAAACGTTTTGCTGCGCTCATTTAGTCTCAGCACTCGACCTAGTCGCTGTTCCCCTCCTCTGCCTTGCCATACGTTCTTGCACTTGGCGGACCTCTTGCCAACGTTGGTTCGGTACTAAGCGTACCGGTTGCCGCTCGGGGCTGCGGCTGGGTGTGCGCCTTCTTGGTGGGCTGCGGCTGGGTGTTCGTAGTCGCATCGCCCCCAAGTTCGGCTTCGGCTGCATCGGTCCCCCACCGGAGCTGTCATGGTGGTTCGGAGAGCTGGTGTCGTTCGAGCTCGAGCTTCCCCAGTCCACCTTGTCTGCCAGGTCAGGCGGCGCGCGGCACTGCGGGTGTATGCTGTTGGACGTCTCCCCTCATGGTTCGCTGCTCGTCCATCTCCCCTCCAGGTGGTGTTGCAGAGGTGTTCGGCACTGCCTCGACGCCCTTTCCCCTCTTGTCTGGTAGTTCGGGCGCATGGCTTTCCACGGACGGTCTTGTCCCCTCTGTGTTGTGCCTTGTCGGACTCGACCGTTAAATGCGGTCCGTCCCCGTTTTGCCAGGCACGCGTTGGTTTTTTTCTTCACCTTGCGAGCGCCTTTGAGGAGTTTTGGTATTCTGTGCGGGCAGCGCATGATGAAGGCCCGCGTTTCATCTGTGATGCGGTAAAAGCTGGTCCGTGATGCGGACCAGCTTGTCCGCTGCTTCAGCAAGGTGGTGCCTTGTGAGGAGCCTCCCCGGTAGTTGTTGTAGGCCTCCTCATCGGCTTCACTCACTGGTTCCCCCGCTTCGTCGCGAAGCTTCTCCGTCAGGTCGTCATACTGCAGGTTGCGCCCCATCCACTTGTGCAGTGGGCTCGGGTGGAAGAGTAGGTGTAGCTCCCCCTTTGTCACATGCTGCACCATATGGTCGAAGCTAGACGTTGTTGTGGGTGGCTCTGACCTTCCCCCAACTGCTGAGGGAGCGCTTCCGCTAGCTCTCCCCTCTTCTCTCTGTGGCGTAGTGTCGGAGGGGGATGCTGTCTTCGGCCGTGTTGGCTTCCCCCGAAGTTTCGCTACCGCGGCCACTTTCACAGTTGCTTTGCCCGCCACGCCGTGGAGTCTGCAGGCTGGGTCTCTCCTGACGTGGTTCTTGCGAAGGCCTGGAACACAAATTCCCCCGACCTCTCTGCATAGGCGGCATTTCATCATGGCTCGGCTCCTCCCAGAAAGATCACCTTGTGTTCCACAGGCTGGTAGTATGCCCGTCCCCCCCTACTGACGCCCTATGACGGGCCACCCCCGAAGCGGGCCGTGGTCAGGGGGTCTGGTGAGCGAAAAGACACCGGGCCCACTTAAGCAAAAAAGCAGCAGGTTAATTCCCGGGCTCCCCCCCGATGCAAGGATGAGGCACAAGCCCCCAAGCAGAGGTGCAGCACTTGAGCCAAAATGGCTCCTTCGCTTCGCTTCTCGGGAGACGAGTCCGAAGACCCGGGCCAAGGCCCCCCCCCTCCCTACCTTGGTGGTGGAAGAGGGGCATTGGGGTCGAGCGCAAGGGGTTTTTCCCCGTGGTAGGTATGACCGGCCTCATCACCGCGCCCTCTGAGGCAAACTCCTTAGTCCCTTGCGCCAGACACCTCCCCCCCCTTCTTTGTGTTGGTAATTATTCCCCCACTACATCAAGCAACAACTGAGTACGGAGCAATGCAGGACCACAATACCAGTATCATGCAAGTGGAGTTAGTATGGGCGGCGCTCCCCCTTCGTCTGGCAACCACAAAAGCAAGGACAAATGCAAGGTGCAGTAACGACTTCAGGTAGGAGCCGCCCGTTGTAAAAAGTGCCGGTTTAATTTCCCCCATTTGGGTTGTGTTGGTATCCTACTAGAGCACTGAATTATCGGTAGTGTGCGGATCAGACGCCGCAGAGTGGCGGCGTACATGGCAACGAATTTTCGCAGAGCGGAAAGAAGCCGCCAAGTGACAGCGGCGTTCAAAAGGAGTGGTTATGGCACAAATATGGTACAGGAAACGCGCATCCCCCCGGCGAGGGCTAACAGATGGAGAAATCCCCCACGGTGTGGGGTGAGGCTCAAGCTTTACAATTAGCGACGGAAAAGAGGAGGGATCCGTTGGAGCAGCCCAAAAGCACACTGAACCCAAACACCGTGTACAGCGAAACACCACTCACTCTCTCCCCTCACTTCGCAGGACAATTTTTGCCGCACTCACATTGCTCACTTCGGCTCTTCGACCTCATTGCGCCCATCCACTTGCTGCGTCCTCACTGGCTCCCCCCGAACCTGGTGCGTCTCTGGGCCTCCATATACTCTTGTACCTGACGGACTCCTTGCCACCGCTGGTTTGGTGTGTGAGGCGAATTGGTTTTCGCCTGGGACTTCGACTGGGCGTTCTTGGTCGCTGCTCCCCCAAAGTTTTCCTTGGTGGCTTGTCGGGCGTACATGGTTGTTCCGCCCCCAGGTTCCTGCGGCTTGGCGGTCTTGGTCGCTGCTCCCCCAAAGTTCTCATTGGTGGCATGTCGGGTGTGCATGGTTGTGCCGGCCCCTTGGTTCCTCTGCGGCTCAGAGCATCCCCCACCATCGTCGGCCTGGTTCTGCAGGTTGTGTTCACCGGAGCTTGGGCTCCCCCAGTCGACTTCCTCTTCGAAGTTGGGTGGTGTGGGCGCGGCCGGCGGGCCGCCCTCCCCCACCTCCATTTCCACAGGTGTAGGTACACGGTCTTCTTCAGTCGTGCTCGTCTCCCTTCTGGTCGTAGGCTGGGCTCGGCTTGTTGCTCGAGCTCCGATCCGAGGTAAAAACTGGTCGGTGATCCCTACCAGCTTGTCTGCTGCCGCCCCCAAGGCTCGCCTTGTGCGCAATCTCCCCCGGTAGCTGGCGTAGGCCTCCTTGTCATTCTCCCCCATCGCTTCCCCTTTCTCGTTGTGCAGCTCGTCCGTTGCGACGTCATACTGCACCTTGCGTCCAATGCACTTGTCCAGTAGACTAGGGTGGAAAAGAAGGTGAAGTCCTCCCTTTGTCTCATGCTGCACCATGAAGTCGAGGCTCGGCGCTGCGGGTGCTTCCGTGGCACTCCCCCCTCCTTCGTCTTGCCTTGTTGTGCGTGCCGGCCTCCCCTTGGGCTTAGCACTTGCGACCGACACGTTGGCTCGGCTTGTCACTCCATGTACTGTAACCTACATGCGGGGTCAGACCTGACATGATTCTTTCTCAGTCCGGCCTTGCAGATCGCCCCTGCTTCTCTGCACAAGCGGCACTGCATGTCTGCAGGAAGATTGACCTGAGTTAAACCCTGGGGCTTCTTGAGCAAAAAGGCAGCGGCAATGCGACTCAAGCTCCTGGGGAAAGCAGCACGGCTCTCCTGAGGGTAACAGCCCCAGGCCAACCGCGTGCCTACCCCCCCGTACCAAGGAGGGTAACAGCCCCCGAGGCAAAGGTGCGGACACTTGAGCCAAAATGGCTCCTCTCTCTCTGTTTCTTTCTGCTGGGCTTGGGGGTCGCTTGGACCCTCAGGCCATAGGCCCGCCCAACCCTCCCACTAGTGAGTGGTTGGCTTTGGGGTACGGGAACCGCTTGGTGTGCCCCCGGTTTCCTTGCAGCGAGCCCCACCCTTTACGCTAAACCGCCCGAATCCCGACCTCTTCGCCGCGCCCCTACGGCTATCCCCCGGTCGTGGGGCTCGCTTGCTTGTACTTCCCCGGTAAGCTCTCTCTCTCTCTCTCTCTCGCTCTCTCTCTCTCTCTCTCTCTTTCTTTCTTTCTGCAGGGCGTAGGGGTCGCGTGCGCCCCCCAGGCCTTAGGCCCGCCCGGCTCACCCTCTGTGTTAGTGAGTGGCCGGTATCGGGGTTAGTCCAGGCTACGGCAGTGTACTACTCGGTTTGCTCTTTGTTCTCGTGTAGGGATCCCCAGCTTAGAACTCTAAACCCGCGCATCCCGGCCTCATCGCCGGGCCTCTCTCTCTCTCTCTCTCTCTCTCTCTCTCTCTCTCTCTATCTCCCTCACACACAGACACATTGCACAGAGACTGAGGTTCTTGTGAATCCAATGAGAATCCAATGTGTGAAACAAGTGAAGATCAGACAAGCAAAGTCGTGGGCTTGCTGAGTCTTTCTGCAGTGTCTGGCTCATCTGTGTCCTGAGGATTGACGACGACACAGACCGTGCATGGAGTGTTGGATGCATCGAGTGCAGTGCCAAGCGGAAGGGACGCTGCTTGGATCCTGAGAATCGCGGTTTCACACCTGGTCACCCGATCTATGCGCTGGCAGGCAGTCCTTCACCAATCGTCCCCCTTGCCCCACGCTGCACGCCTTCGACGAGCTCAGCACTGTTCTCAGCCAGTCTCTGACTGAGGTAAAGAGCCTTCTTCAGTCTCGTCTTCTTCGATGGGTCCACCTAGAAGCGCATCTCGACATAGCTTCAATGCCTCTGCAGCTCACTGGAGGAGCAGCTGGGCTGTAGTCATTGGGAGGACTGGGCTCGCGGCTTTGCGCTCCGCTTCTTTATCCTTGAAGCGACCTGAGTTAAGCATCGAAGAACTCGCGGCTGTTGGCCAATGGTGTGGGTACTGTGACAAAAAACCCCCCGAACACCCCAACCATCTCTGGCACGGGCAATAGACTCTTTTGGTCTGCAGAATGTTCCTGCTTCTGATGTCGTTTCTGCGCCTCACGCTCGCTGATCCTCGGAACACTGCACCAGACATGTACGAGTAGAGCTCCTTCCTGTTTCCTAGCTCTGCATGGCGTGGATCAAAGCAGAACTGGGCCACCACAAGGCGCGGCTTGGAGGATGCCGCTTCCCGGAGAGGACCCTTTTACCATAGCTCCGATCCCTTCTTGCTGGTTCAAGCTGGCATCCTTTCTCAGTTCAGAGTAAATGGGTACATCACGTCCTCCAGGCTGAGGCCTTCGGGCGGTGCTGTCGGTATCTGACGACGGTCAGCTGACTCTAAGCACGAAGCTTCCAATCGGCCCTTGCCAACTTCAACAAGGCCACCGACAAGCCGTCGAACCATCTTGTACAGAAAGCGCTCCGACTCCGCTCGAATGAAAATCTTATCAGGCCCATCTACTTGCAGAGAAATATCAACTGTTTTCACCATGGGCCCATGGTAGTCAGGGTCATTCTCGCCCGTGCTGAACGCAGAATAATCCATCTCTTTTCCGCTCAGCGCATCGACCGCCTTCTGCATGGCGTCCAAGTTCAAATCGCCGCAAATCCAGCATCGTCGTGCTTCAAAGGGCATTACCAAGCTTTCCGTCGAGAGTCTGTAAGAATACTGCTTCTTCAACGCGCTAAGTCGAGAATGGAAGCCACTGGGCGCCAGGCCAAGTTCCAAGGCCAAAATCGCCTTTGGGAGCGTCAGTCTCAGGCGACGCAGGGCCGCCGCTGCTCCGAGCCGACCCTGGCTGTCCGCCCACACCGACGGCGCCTCAAAGTGGCAGACTTGACCTCCGGGGATGCACATCAAGCATAATATGGCATAATTACATACTTTTGTGGAGGGCAAAGAGCCCCAGCCTTGTGCATGTACGCCACTGTCAGTGCGAGATGCCCCCACGGTGCGAATGCTGCTCCGAAACACCAATGCGAGCGCCTTGTCGACCTCCCCTTGCAGGGTTGGTTCAGCGGCAGCTCAAAGGACGAGTTTGAAAACATGTTCGACAAAACACCTTGCACAAAATCGCGTGGTTACTCAAAGGCGGCGACACTGGTCAGTGACTGACCTCTGCACAGTCAAACCACAACACGCCAGGCATTATCTAGCAAAGAAATGACCATCTTGCACTACGAACATTGACGGATGTGAATACATCCCGACACACCTCATGCCAGAAGTCGACAGCTATCTGCAAACCTCGAGAATTTGCTCGGCTGTCAGTCTGTCAGGCCTTGAATCGTCCGCACTTCCTGCAGGGCTCAGAAATGCCATATAAACGTGCGTGGCCTGGCTAGCACCTCAAGTCCCCCACCAGCGACCTCAGATTGCTTCTGCCACCCAGCGTAGTCTGTGCCGTCGTAGGCCAGCCGAAGCCACCAGAGCTCCATGGAAGACACGAGGGGTGTCTGTTCCGGCGTGTCCGGACTTGTGTCCATCGCTGGAGGCCGAAGGGCCGTTACTCTGGCGGCTCCGACCCAGCAAGCGCAGCCACAGACATTGCAGCTCGCCGCAAGAGTGTCTGGGCCCCAGTCTGCCAGGCATCCTTTTCGCCGGGCACGGCCATCCGGCATTCTACGACTTTCGTTTCCTCAGAATAAGCAACTTTGAAGATCCTGGTGTCCTGCCTGCTCCAAACAACTGCTTTTTGTTTTGTGGAGCAAAACACTTGCTGCCGTTCATTTCATTGCCTCTGCAGCTGCATCTCCACGGGAAATATGGCACTCAGGTGCTGTCAACCATGGCGCATCTGAGGGACCTGCGCAATGTAACCTTCTTCGATGCCAGGTCTCGCAGCAATTGGCTTCCAGAAGCGGCCTGTCCGGGAGCAACCTGTTGCAGAGCAGGTGCATGATGGATAGATGGATACCACAGTGTCCAAAAGAGACAAGTCACCTTGTTGGCCTCTGGCATGGCGTGGACATGCACGGGTGAAGCGGAAGCCAGTGCAGCAAGTCTTACTTGCAATCTCTTCCAAGCCACTGTTGTCTGTGTCTCTGCTTGTCTCTATGCCATGGGGGAGCTCAGGGGGCTCGGCATGGCGCCGCGGCTCAGGCCTTGAGCCTAGCGGCCAGAGTCGAGCAGTGCAGAGCGGGTGGGGATGAGCTCTGGTTCAAGGACTTTCGGCTTGAGGCTTCCCAGCCTTTCTTCGCAGAGTCCCCACCAGAGGGAAATCGAAATTAAACTAAGCCGCTAGGTCATTAACAGTGCCTCGAGTCTTTGGAGGCCTACGGTTGGCAAGGGTGCCAGAGTATTCACCTCAGCCACGAAGAAGATTTTCTTCTGATCTCGGATTCCCAAAGGTCAGCCTGAGAAGCAAGTGAGCGAGACCGGCCCTGCCCTTATCGCACCATGTTTCGCACAACTTTGGGCTCAGACCTCTGCAAACTGGAGGGAAAGTCCGATTGAAGACTTGACCTGAGCTTAAGAGAACCCTAGGCCCTAGGCCTCTTTAGGAGGCTCCACATTCGTGACGAGTTCCCAACTGAAGCGCTCGCAGATCGGCCTGCAGGGCACCAGGCCGTGAGATGCTCTCTGGTCTGGTCTCAAGAAAATCTGCAAAAGGAGACATCACTGACAAAAAGGCAGGTAGTTCATGTCATTTCATGTTGCATGGTGGAAGCATGCCAGGCCATACAGTGTAGGCACGTGACAAGTGCATGTCGTTGGACAAAGGCCGTGGGGACATAGCATTCCGAAACACTAGATTCTAGACTCGAGACTCATGAAGCAGGTTTACAGACAACAGTTGCACTTCAGACGATCAACATACTGACGATGGTGACATGGTTGCAAAAACCTGAAACGGTGCCAGCAGTGTTGCTACATCCCACTTCATCACAGAGAACCAGGTGCGAAGACTTGAGACTTGAAAGAGACCACACATTGATGGTGCCTCGTTGGCTTCAGCGCTTTCCGGTCGAAGGACCTCCGGGCAAAGTGCCGAGCAGCTCTTGCAGAGCCGACAGGGACAGCTACCCTCCGCATCCCTCCGCCTCTAACGACGACTGCAGCCTGGGCCACTGGGCGACGCTGAGTTAACGTTGGAAATCGAAGGGAAAACACTCTGAGACACCGTCCATCGACGTCGATTCTCAAGCCACAAACGCCTGCAACATGCAACCATGGAGGACATCTGCATGTTGGGAGCGGTCGGCACCTATTGGTACACAGGACCATTTGCCAGCTGTCTAGCACCAAGCGCTTGGTGCATTTCTGCCACTCCGAAGTTCGCTGCCTTCCGCCAGGCGACTGGTCATCTGGCGTGATCCGGAGGAGCTGTGTCACTGAGCTTGCGGCTGCTCGATCACATGAGCACGTTTCTTTCCTTAGCTCGCAGCCTTGCGTCCGTGCTTTCAGGATCACCATGCTAAGACCCGCACTGCGCTCACGCTTGCGGGCCACCTCGGAGTTCTTCACTCTGCCAGGAGACTCGTGTGCCGATCTGAATGCCGCTTGAGAGGCTCGTGTCTCCTGTGCAGCTGCCTTCCACGCGAACCACACAAGAGCCATGTGACCTCAAGCGGGACAACCCAATCGAACACGAGCAAGGCTTTCAAGTTTTGCTCTCCTGATCCCTCCTGTCTCAGTCACTGGCCATTTCGTCGCTGGCGAGAATTCGCATACAAGCTCCTGCACATTAAAAGACACAGGTGTTGCGATGTGTGCGACGTCACATCATTCGCAGTCGGAAGGTGCGCCACCTCTCAATCCAACTGTCGCGCACAAGCGATTCCAATCTCCGTTGGGCATCTGGTCCATTTTGCACCTGTTATAGACCAGCGAAGAACATGCTTCTCCTGCCGACGTCATGTGTCTGAACCATCCAAGCCATCCAAGCGCCCAGCTTCACTGCACGAGACCTCCAGGGTAGCCTGTGTTTCCAGAGGATCCTCACACTCTGTGCAACAAGAGTCTGCGAATCTCTTGCGGGGCCTCGGCTTTTGCGAAGCGGATTTCCTGCCAACGTGGCACGCGAACATGTTCTCGGCACTGGCATCTTTGGGTCTGGAGCTGAGATGTTTGCAAACACTTGCGTCCTGTGCCCACGCCAGAAAAGCATCCCGCAGATCCTGAACAAGTCAGCACCACTCTCAGGCTGAGGCATTGCGCGCAGCCACGACTGGCTTCTCTGCTTGTGACTTCCCACACCAGTCGTTTCCGGGCCTCGAAATTTTGCAAGGTTGTCATGGACAGATATCCCCACGACCTGGCGACATGGCGTTTCAAGATTCTCAGACAGGACGTGTAAGAGCTAGTCTGCATGAAATCGCAGAGCTGCCTTAGACACGAGAGTTGCCATGTGATCCGTTGCTGGTGCCGCCGCGCCGCCTGTTCCTTCCAAGGTACGATACTATCTACTGGTTAGTAGAACAGAGTGCGCAAATGTTCGAGTTGACCCCGAGTGCAAAAGTCTCAATACAAGTCTTCACGAAATGTGCTGCTTTCCAAAATCTACTCTACTCAATTTGGCTGTCAGCCACCAGCCAGAGGCACCACGAAAACCCGGTCCCACTAGTCGGAGCCCATTCCTCCGACATTGCACATCGAAAAAGCGAGAAGCCGCTGTGCCAGGACAGTGGCCGAAAGAATCGTCGAACAGGAACCAACGTCCATCATGAAGCTGAGCGAACGGAATTTGCAAGACAGGCTCCTCTCCTCGTCATTCCACTGCTCGCAGACCTTTCGACTGGGGCTCGCTACACGGGACCACCTTCACGAGCTCTGTTCTGTGTTTTGCCCCGAGAACCAGACCAGTTTAACCTCGTCTCTGACTTGTTCAGCTTGATGTGACCTGCACGCTGTTCCAAACGGTCGCGAGTTTCAGAATTGCCCAAAATCACGGCAATGCAACTAAACCGCAAAGGCATTGCGAATCGGGCAGTTGTATATGCTACGACTCATGGAGAATGTGAGGAGAGAGACAAGCATCGCCTCCGCCATGCAGAGAAAGTATCGTGAAGCAAGCACTGAGCATGGCCTGATCCAAGAAGACCAAAAGGACACAGAAAGTAAAAAGCGGCAGGGAACGGCTCCATGCCTGCTGCCAACCGTGCCCAAAGACTTTCTTGAAGTTGCTCCTCACAGTTGAACTTGAAAGGAGACTCATGTCACATGTCCCTGATCTGCCCGATCAACAGAACTAACTACTCGTATCACACAATGCGATGGGTTGCATTGGGTATAAGTCTCAGGATTTGGATTTTGTGTTCGATCTGAGGATGGACGCTGTCGGTCAAATTGTTCAGGGTGCTATCTCGTACCATCTTGGCGGTCAGCAGTCTTATATCTATGAGACTGGTGCCAGATCTTTAAACTGCGTACATACAGTACTGGATGTTACCCTGCAGCTTTCCTGCTGCGCTGTACTGCTTGCTTACTACGCAGTGGTATATAGCGTGGTAGATTGCATCATACTGAGATGTATGAGGAGGTATTTCGCGATACTTCTCTGCACGGAACTGCGTCATGTGGCGATCCACCGTCTCATCCGTGGATGTACTGTCTCAGGACCTGGTATGTTCTATGATATCGCACAGTCTGCAGCATATATATATATATATATGTGTGTGAATGCCCAGATGAATGCGTGCGTGCATCCGTCCATCAGTCCATCCATCCCTCAACCCATCCATCCAGCGATCCACGCATACATGCATGCATGTGTGCCTGAGCATGTAAGTCTATATACATACACACATACATCCATCCATGCATGCATGCAGACAGACAGACAGACAGGCAGGCTGGCAGGCCGGCAGGCAGGCAGACAGATGCACCTGCCTGCATATATACATACATGCATGCATACGTGAATACAAGACATACTGTCTACATACACACACATCTTTCTTTCTTTCTGCATGGCGTAGGGGTCGTGCACGACCCTCAGGCCTTAGGCCCGCCTGTGCTATGGAGTGGCTGGCATTGGGGCGTTTCCTGATTATGGGAATGAACTACGCAGTGTACTCCTCGTTTCCGTGCAGACACCCCGCCCAGAACACTACACCCCGCGCTTCCCGGCCTCATCGCCGGTCTTCTGCTTTGCTCGGGGTTTGGGGCAGGAGCAGTCCTCCCCGCCGGTATCTCTCTCCCTCTCTCTCTCTCTCTCTCTCTCTCTCTGCACGCTGCCTGTCCGAGGCTGAGCGTTGCCCAGCCCTAGCTGCGGAACGGAAAATCATGCGCCCCTAGGTCTATGACCACATTGGCTTTGAACCTGGAAAGGTGATGCCAGCGCCGCTCTGCCGTGGTGTTGAAGTATTCGATGACACATTCGATAACGTTAACACACAATGGCCCATGTTAGTTGAAAGGAGCTTCGCGGTTGTTTGCTTTGGTTACCAAACCCTGACTTGTGCGATGCTTTGCTCATCAATTTCGGTGTTGGGATCACATATTGTTTGGGCACCTCAGCATGTTTCAGCGAACCAGTTGGCTCTTGGCTTTCCGACTCTACGCGTGTGTTCAATACGTGGTCTATCCGTCCGCTGGAGCCCTTAAGATGTGGCCTAATAGAGTGATTTTGCGCTGCTTCCACCTGTCTGATAACTTGACATGTTGATATTGGGCTCGTAGTTTTAGTTCGTCTATTAAATCTCCGATTGGTCCATTCTCTATCAATGTGGGTAGGAGGTACATTCAACACTCGTCGCAAAATCTTCGTTTGAAATGCATCTATTCGATCCTGAGCTGATTTTGGTAACTGCATAGTCTCAGGACTAGTTCTGATTTAACCTAAGGTTAACGCATTTGTCCAGATTTTATCTCATGTTGTGCTTTTGTGACTCTTGTTGGGCTTGGTGCAGAAGCTTGTTTATTGAATGTGTATGAGTACCAAAGATTATTAAGGTGTCATCCGCATATAAGATTTCTGCATAATGGAGTCCCGGGATCGGTTCTTTTTGCTTTGGTGTCATTTAAAACCGACTTTATGTCATGGAAGATAGCTGTCATGATGGTACAGAATAAATACGGAGACAAAGGGCATCCTCGTCGGATTCCTGCTCTGCTCATGAAAGTCTGATTTGTTTTCCCCTCTTGCGACACGGAACTTGGCTTCTCGATATATGTGTGTTATTGTTCTGATGATGTTTTCACAGACTGATAATCGACTGAGGGTTTCTACTAAGCAGAGTGATCAATCTTGCCGAAGCATTTTCCCAATCCTTTAAAATCAGAGATATGTTTGTCCCCTGTCGCTCTGCCAGGTCCACAAGTCTTCGTGCTATGAAGATTGCTTGCGCCGTGGACTTCTTTTTGCGAAAACCGAATTGTGTTTTCAACAACCATGGATCAACACCGTCTGCCAACCTATACTTTAACAAGGCTGCGAGTATTTTGTAAAAGGCTTGTAATAAAGCAATTGGCCTGTAGTTTTCAAGTTTGGCAGGGTCTCCTTTTTGAAGATGGAAGCTATATTGGCCAAGTTTAGCGAGTCATGGTACTTACCATGTAATAAAATGTCATTGTAATGTAGCGACAGACGACTTCTATTACCACCGTCCAGCCATTCAACCATTTCACTAGATATTTCATCAGGTCCTGGAGTTTTGCTAGGCTTGAGGTTTTCCAGCACCGTGTCCAATTCAGAAAGATCCCATGCAGTATGTTTAACTGCCTTTCCAGTGTCCGAACGTTTGTTTTGATTTGGTTGGGTATTGTTTGTACGTAGGTGTTTTCCACTGATTTTGGGACAAATATTGGGCCGCTTCTTCTTTCCCATCGGCATTCTTAAAATCACAATGTTTGGGGATGTGTTTCTTTCTTAGCATCTTCACCGCTTTCCAATTATTGCCGTTTCCTGTCATTTTCTCAAGTTGCTCTCTGTAAAAGTTTCGTTTGTCTTGGCGCAAATGCTTTCGTAGCTGTTTTTCTCTGACTTCTGCCTCGTGTTGTTGACCTCGCTCGATGCTTCGTTGCTTACTGCATAGGAGTTGCCATGTTCGTTCAGAGATATACTGTTTTTCTGGTTTGTGGGGATGGGCGTAAAGGTATGCGCCGCTGCTTGGCTCAGAACTTCAGCCCATATTTCGAAAGGCTCTGCATTCTCAGACAGCTTGGCTGCTTCAATTAGTTCTCGGACTTTCTCGTTGCATCTGTGTGTCTGTTCAGTTGTAGGGGTTCGATATCGTGTACTTCTTGTTTGACAAGATCGCTTCTTTGCCGTAAGTTTCGTGCAAATGTTGGCTACAAGTAACTTATGATCCGTAGCAACTGAACTTTACAGGTTGCTCTCTGCATTTGTAACAGCGTTCTTCCATTTCCTCTTGATCAAAATAAAGTCTAACTGTCCATATCTGTCTAGAGTGTAAGGGGGTGAAAGTTAGGGGCTGCTACATTTCTGTAGGTGACCAATTTGGACTTGTCTTTTTGAAACAGAGCGGTGACGACGGTAAGATCATGTTCCTGAAAGAAACTGATGAACCTGGTTCTATTACCCTGCTGCGCGAGACTGAGTTGCTCAATTCAGCTTTCATCTTCCCTAAATAGATGTTCGCCGAGAGTTTCGGTCTCATGTGGTAGCCTTTCCATGAGCCTAGCATTGCAATCTCCAAGTACTGTATTCGTTTCGCGTTTAGGATACCATCTAAAACCTTTCCTAACTCATTGTAAAAATTATCCTTTTCCACTAGACTTCTTCCAGCATGCGGCGCATAGGCATTTACAATATTGATCCTAAGTGGCGATGTGTCAAAAGTGATCATAAGAATTCTTCCATTTACTTGTGTAACACTACGTGCAGTTGTACTGTTCTAGCTTCTTGTGATATACGATGGCGACACCTTGCTTTTCTGCATCTAGGTTGTACATCTCGATTTCGGATAAGCTTGGTTCTTCCATATGTCTCTGTTGTTGCTTGATTTGTTCGGCTTCTTTTTTGCGTTCGTATGTTACTCCCGTGGAAACGTAAAAACAGTAATCCCCATGTTGTTCCGTTGTGTCCGAATTTACACGGGTTTCCTGTTACCATTGTGTGTACTATCTTCTGTCTTCCCGAGACATGTGTAATTCCACCATCCAGGTTTAGTGTTGCGATTAAGTTAATTAACTTTAATTTGGATTCCGCTTTTTCGGGCTTTAGGCCTCGTGAGAAAGGATTCTTATCATGAAGCGTGTCTGCTGTGCTGTGGCATTCTTGAGCTACTACGTAAGTCTCACCCTGCGTAGCCTTAACAGGGTGACACTTCCCCAGTTGTCGATGTATTTGCCGTTTTACAGCTCTGTGTTCTTTATGGTTTGCCTTCCGTCTGCTTACAGCAAGAGTTGATCTAAAACCTCTTCTACACACATACTTCTAGGTGTATATATATATATACATACATATGCATATATACTTACACAGATACACAGGCTCGCACGCATACGTCAAATGTGGATGTTTCGGCGCATACACAGGCATGGACAATCAAGTATTTCCCGTTTGTACCTATATATGTGTGTGTGTATATATATATATATATATATATATATATATATATATTTATATTTATATTTATATACATATACATATACATACATATATATATATATATATATATTTATTTATTTATTTATATGCGCCATCTATGGTCTCGCATCCGATACCTACTGCAAACATTTCTAAGATGCTAAGATTAGGGTTTAGCCCTTCAACACCTGGAACCTTGAAGCTGGATAAAGAGTCTGATAACGAATCAGGCACCATGCCTCCTGTCCAAGATCTTACAGTTCTGCTGGTCAAACTCTTGAATCTTGCATCTCGCATCCGGAGGTGGACATCGTTAGCGTCGCCATGAAGATGCATCGCCATTACCATCAAATCCATGAGCATCAGCATCAGACACGACCCTTTTGACCTCTCCCATCCCCCTACTCCGCCCATGTTATCATGCCACCCCGGCGTCATTGCCATCATCATCATCATCATCACCATCACGCAGAGCCGCGGATCCCGAATCATGCACACGAACACGGGGACGCGATGAGCACGACCTCGTGAAGCATATTATTCCTCCTTGAAGACCAGCATATCCTACTCACCATCCCTGTTGGTGAGACTTCCGGACTACCAAGAGTTCTAGATCGGAAGAACTGCTTGAGACTCGTAAATGAACAAATACACACATTCCCATCCTTCTTGCGAACGTGCTGTCGTTTCCGGAACCATTCCGAGTTCATTGCCTGGAAAGACATCGAAGACAGCGCACATCACACTGTCTGGGCATGTGGCTGCCTGTAGCGAAGAACCACAAGTGAGAGCAGCCCAGACTTGAACGCAGAACTCCAACAACCTCAGCAAGGCGCACATGGGGTTTGTTGTAGTTAGGATCAGGAGGGCTGTCTGTGGCATCAGACTCTCGTGCGCAGTGCACTCCTCTCTCTATAAGCCACGATTGCAACGTCCTGCATGCTGCTTTGGAGAATGTAGAACTATGCCGAGCTATAAGGGACCCACACTTTTTGCACAGTTCTGCTGTACCTGGTTCAGAATCCCCCGCAAATACCACTGTTTCCTTGCCTCCGGCCATTACCTTATCCCCGAAAATCTATTTTGAAGTTTCAATAACTTTTTTGGAGCATCCGTAAACTTCAAGGGCATTTTGCTCAGCAGGCCTGGTCCTGAATAGGTGCACGTGGGGAGCAGAAAGGCGTCAGTTCTGAACCCCAAAGGCTGTGCTGCACCTCATGTTTGCTGGTGGGGCCCTACTTTTGCACGGGTACCTTGTGGACCCGCCAGGATTTAGAACCAGCCGATTCAGGCTTCGCTGAGGTAAGAAGTCCCACTGAATTGGTGATGGCAACTTGAGCAACCTTGGCCGTTGCAGCCACGTGAAGCTTCTTATCGTAGTAGAGCGCATAACTCATTTTGGTTGAACAAGTTGGTCGTCTTTGTCCGAGACAGTAAGAACTGGGCCAGCGCTTGCATTTGAAGATCTCCATTGAAGCTATGATGCGCCACACGCCTGCCGACTCACTTGTCTTCACAACTCATATGAAAATCTGGCCAGTGGAAAGCTGAGACACTTGCGAAGGATTCGCTTAGATGTGGAAGACGTGACGGCTCGCCTCCAATCCCACCTGAAAGCGCTGGCCCAAACTGTGAAACAAGCTCAGCTTGCATCTCGGCCGTGCGAGTCGGGGGTTTAGTCAGACAAGTCAGCGGGAGCCGTGCCCAGCGTCGCAGAGTGAAAATTATCCAGATAAGCCAAGTTGGAGGGCATCACGACGATCGAGGATCGAGTAAAACTGAAGACATAGTATGCAAAACAAGGAATGCTTCAGATCAAAGATCATATCTGACTCTGGGATCTGCACAGGAAGAGCCGCAGCCAGCTTGGCGATCCCACGGATCCTCAATGAATGACTGGAGTTGAAGTCAGTCCAGCCTTCACTGCGTTGACTCTGTACTGGGCCAAAGTCCCGCTGCGGTGAACGAGGCAAAGGCATGCTCACGGTACCTGAAGTGCGACGACGGCCGTTGATGTTGCATTTTAGACGAGATGCCCCAGCTGCCTTGCGGTGGTCAGTTCGGCCTGGTTCTGTTGACGCCGCCGTGCCTCCAGCCTGGCCTGCAAGCAACTGCGAGCACAGGCTGAACAAGCGAGGGGAGGGGTGGAACGGAGTAGCAATCTGTTGGATCCCGACGGCCTCTGACTCCTGACGAAACAGGACGATCTCTTTCCGGCGCCTCTCCTGCCCGTGAGGCCGTGACACAGCACACGGCAGCGGAGACCCGACGGCCGCACGGCAGCGGCCTTGAAGGCCAGGCGGTGCCAGCGGAGGAAGAGAAGGCGCTCGGTGCTTCCCTCGTCCAAGGATTTCACCATCACCTGCCGGCGCTGCCGGCTCGTCCCGACTTGGAAAGAGCCTGTGCAACTTTGGCAAAAAGCCTGCGCAACTTTGCTTTGCGCAGCACGCTGCTTCTCCAGCGCGGAGTCTGCCGAGGTATCCTCCTGCTATACGGTAGCAGTTGGAGCAGCACGGACCCTGCAAGCCACATGCCCTTGACTCGCAACCGGCCTTGGCTTTGCGCTGCAGGTCCTCCAGCTCGCTGCAGGTTTTGACCCGCAACCCCTTAAACATTCCCAAAGACGAAAGCGCAGGCTCCCCGTTTATACACTAGTTGAATGTGGGCATTGCTACATCCTGAACCAGTCAGAAGCCGGACTCCCATGAGTAAGAGGACTGAAGATACTGAAGACAGTAGTAGTAAGAGCGTTTCTGACAAACATGCGGGCTAGCGTGAGAGATCTTGCCCAGCATGCTTTTTGAATCTCCTACACGCGCCCCTCCGATAGCCGAATTGCCTGCCCCCACTATCGCGCTGCACTCAACCAGAAGCCCGAACCCAAACCCCCCGCACTGACCCTGCACGGAAGAACCCAAACAAGCCCAGTCACGTTTGAAATCGGAAGCCGTATAGTATAACTGTCAGTATAACTCCAACCTCCGGAAAGCCTCTTAAAGACAACTTTCTCCACTCCATGAGACAAAATCCTGCCCCCTCCCCAAACCCCTGTAACCCCAGCACAAGTCAAGTTTTTAGCAGCAGAGCTATCCTGCCACTGTCTTTCCCTTTCAAGGGCTGCCTTCAAGGTGCCTGGGCGCAGCAGGTACAGCCCTGTCGACTTTCCGACAATTCAGGACCTGCTGCTTCTGCTCTGCCTCTGCCGAGCCCACGGCTGATCCGCCACGACACGATCACACTTCGAAAAAGCTTGAGCGTGAGGTAGACAGCCCAGGCTCTGGCAACCTTCCAGAACGGCACGCCGGCACGCCGGCAGGCCTCACCGACTCCGCCTGGCCTGCTGTGCAGCTTCTCGAGCTGCAACCACGGAGTGGTGCTGCTGCACCTCAGGCCACGGACCCACGGATGCTGGGACCCAGGACGATCTGCTGAATCGCACATGGACTCAGCCGCGTGCAAACCAATCCTGGCAATAACACTCCGGAGGAACGAAGCCCGAGCCACTGCAAAAGACTTCAGGCCTCCATCTTGCGTCGGCGACCAACGAGGCTCGCACAAGATTCTCGGGCGGCCTGTCACAACAGACACCCTGAGGAGACTGTCTGCCAACCCTAGCTTAAATTGGGATCTACTTCGACCCTCGCAGTTGTCACGGCCCTGCCTGCAGCTTTTCGAAGACGTCCGACTCAGCCTGACACCACGAAGATGCTTGAAGCAGTCGAAGCATGGGGTCCACGGCGCCTCTGCACAACCTAAGTTCTTGCGGCAGAGGGACAGAGCCTCGGCACTACGCACCCGCGCACGAACTTTCAAGCCTTCAACCAGCCGCCTTCAGCTTCGAAGTTCCGAGTAGCTTGCGACTCGCATCTTGCGACGGATTGCTGATGACAGGTGTGCAGCGCCAGCCTCAAAGGAAGCGCTCAGCAAAAACACGCAGGCGCGTGGCCTTTCGGACTGAGGTCGACTCGAAGCTGGCAGTGACCTCACGACGGTGCACTTTAAGCTAAGAGATCCCGGCTCGGCCGATACCGCCCAGCAGACAAAAGCTTGGGCACTCGCGCTTTGCAGGGCATGGAGTCTCCCTGGTCACTCCAACGACACGGACCATGACTGGGCATGTGCAACACATCTAAGGAAGCCGTGAAACCATGCAAGAGAGTGCTTCGCTGCAGGCGCAGCTACAGTATCTTGTAGTTCAGACAGTAGCCCCCGATGCCCTCTCCACACGAAGATCCTTCGTCAAGTTCCAATGCCATCGGAGTCTGAGTAGGTCACGTACAGATTCGGAAGCTTCTTTTTTGAGGCCTGGGTGCAAAGAACACTGAGATCACCAATGGCTTCGCATTGCTACAAATAAGTTGCCCTCCCGGACTATCTCACAGGCTGGAACCTCTAGACATTCATGGTCCGTCATGCTTTTCTATTGGAGCCTGGCCATGCCGCGCTGCTTCGACATCAATCCTGCACAAACAGAACCATGGGCCCGGAGCCATGATCCGGATTCGGAAGACACGAAAACTGCTTCTAAGCCGAAATCTGTCACTCGTCGAACAAGTCTTGGTTCATGCCTGGTTCTATCCGCAGTGGAGCCTTGTGTAGCACGGTCGTGTGCTGAGCGGCAGGGACGTCGACGGTTTTGCCATTGGAGCAAGCGCTGTGAAACATGATGACTGCTTATCCAGGAATTCATAGGATTACCCTTTGATGGGAGCACCAGTCGATGGTAGTGGTGGTGCTGCTGCTGGTGGGTGCTGACGAGGACTATGATGATCATAATATTATTCTTCTTCTTCGTCGTGGTGGCGGTGTTGGCGGTGCTGGTGGTGTTGGTGGTGTTGGTGGTGTTGGTGGTGTTGGTGGTGTTGGTGGTATTGGTGGTGTTGGTGGTGTTGGTGGTGTTGGTGGTGTTGGTGGTGTTGGTGGTGTTGGTGGTGTTGGTGGTGTTGGTGGTGTTGGTGGTGTTGGTGGTGGTGGTGGTGGTGGTGGTGGTGGTGGCGGCGGCGCTGGTAGTGACGGTGGTGGTGGCGGCGGTGGTGGCGGCGGTGGTAGCGGTGGCAGTGTTGGCTGTGGTAGCAGTGGCGGGGCAATGGCGCCTGCCAGTGCTGTCGGTGTCGTCCTTGTCCTCTCCTCGTCGTTGTCCTTGTGGTTGTCGTCGGTGGCGGCCGTCTCGGTTGTTTCGCTGCTCCTGTTAGCAGTCCTTGTTATCTTTTGATTTCTCTTCTTGCTGTTCCTGATGCCGATGCATATTCTGGGTCACGCTGATTCTTCGGTGGAAGTCCTGCGCTGTTTCGGGGCTGCGGCAAGGCACGTCGCCCAGCTGCCGAAATAACGGCACAGCCTCAAAATTCACTTCAGTAAGTGCAGCAAACTCAATATTGAATCACAGGGAATGAGATCGTGACAGTTGATGGTCAGCAGCTGCCTGGCAGTTCACTGCTGAATTCTTGAAGCACTCAACCAGCAAGTGTCAGACCTGCCAAGCAGAGCTGCGCTGCTCTGCAACAAGCCTCCGCCTTATGGAGAAGGCCACAGCAGGACGCAGCTCAAACCTACACATTTAGAGATGGGTAGCCTGTCGGCTAAGCAAGCAAGCTCTCGTGTCCCGGAGCCTCTTGCCGAAATATACAGGCGTCTCCCGGTATGGTCTCTTGGTGATTGGCCTATCTTGCTACTTACGACACCTGCTCCGCGAGCTTTCGTAACATGGCAGAGATCGACTGCAACTCTGGGACGCCGAGCCTGTGGACGAGTTGACAAAGCTCCTGTTTGCGCTTCCAGGCCAGCGATACCTGAGACTTGGCCACTGCCCGGATCAATCAATGCAGCATGCTGCGTGCGCGGTCGTGCGGAACGAGATGCATCGTCACACTCGGTGATGTTGCGACGCCAGGCCCGCAAGCTTGAAGCAACCAAAGAGCACTCGACTCGCCTGGGTTTGATATGTTGCATTGCACGGGCTCATGCACGCCGTGCACAAATGAAGCAACCGAGACTGAGCCACTTGGCCGAATGTGCTGTGCAGCACTCCTGGGCGCCCCCATTGTTCTGTTCTCTTCTTTGGCTGATCTGCCCGCCTTCTTCTTCACTCTACGGGGTGCGGGAGCGTGACGAAATGCGATCAAGTGCCACTAGCTCACTAGCTGCTGCTTCCGGATACCACGACAGGGTCAGATCCTCTGATCTCTCTTTCTTTCTGCCGGGCATAAGGGTCGCGGTGCGACCCACAGGCCCTAGGCCCGCCCGATCACTCTTTGGACTATTGAGTGATCGGCTTTGGGGGTATTCCTGACTATGGCACTGTACAACCTGCCCTGATCTCTCTCTCTCTCTCTCTTGGGGGTGGGAGGCATCTCTCTCTCTCTCTCTCTCTCTATCTCTCTCTCTCTCTCTCTCTATCTCTCTGAATCGTCTCTGATGGGTGCTGTTCGGAGGGCAGTCTGATTCCACAGTGCATGCAAACACAGCGGGCATCTCTAGCACGGCCTGAGCAGCAACTGAGAACGTAAAGTTTTGCCAACCTCAGGATGTATGGCGCAGTATTGTCTTGTGGCCCATAAGACAAGCCAGGCTGAGGATGCAACTCGAGATTGGGTCGCAGCTGCTTCCGTGACCTGCAGAGTTCTCGGAGGCCGCCAGACCACATCAAGTCCGTTTGCCTGCGGCATGTCTTTGTCCGCAGCTTCCAGATCAGCTGCCATCCCTGTCAGTGATCGACACTTCGAACAGGATTGGTATTAAACCGCTGGTAAACGCAGACACCAGCGGATCAGCCGGGTCGATCCAAGCTTCCAGCGCCACAGCACCAACATGACTCTCAACCTGCAAGCACGCTGAGTGTGCCATGGCTTAATGTTACAACTCTCCGCCTGCCAATGTAGCAACGACTGCTGCAAGTGTCAGGTGTCAAGTTCTGGCCAATACAGGGCTCCTGCCTCGGAGCTGCCACTGCTACAAGCGTGCGCTCGGATATCTTCTCCACGCTGCCTGGGAGACCGTAACCATGCGTGCATCGTAAGAAGTTTAGTTAGTTCAATACTCGGCGGAGGCCAAAGACCCTGATCCATAAGAAGTATCCGTAAGTATACCAGCCAGCGGGAGCCCCGCCACTAGCCGTGCCCAAGGAGAACAAATGTCCCATTACGCTGAAAGCGTAGTCAAGACCCCGACATACCCTGATATGCTTCGAGCTTAAGCCAGTGCCGGCACCCTCTGGACGCTGAAGCATGCCGGCGAGGCCATAAGCCGAAGTAGAATGCTGCCGCCTGGCGGAGTGGCTCTGACACTTGGCCCGTGCCGTGGTATTTCGTGGCCTCTTGCTGAACTCCGCCCAGATGTGAAAGAAATCCTCCACGCTGCTTCGGTTGAAAAGCACCTCAGAGTACAAACAACGCGACCTAAGAATACAAACAACGCCCGAACCCACGTCAAACAAAAGATTGCAGATCGGGGCCGGAACGTGAAGCCTCATGTGGCTCCGCCGATCCACTTCTACTGCAACCTCGAGACGGAGACGAAGTTCGATAGACGATTGCCAACATTGCTGACGATGAGGGACGCTACCAACTGAGCGAGCTGCGATTGCTGCCCAGAATGTCATCACTTGCCGGCATGCCTGCAGCCTGCTGCATGCTGAGATTTGCAAACCGCAGTCTGTTGGCATCACCCCGACTGGCCTCGCAGAACCTTCCAGCAGGGAAAGACTTTTTGTTCGGCTGTGGAGGCAGTCCTGCGCAAGCAACTTCTTTTTGGAAATGATCAGCAGCTGTCTTTCATGTCTTTGCTTTCTGCGTTTTGCTCGGGGTCGGACTCGCTTCAGCTGCTGTCTGGCATGGTCAACCTCCGTTTGCACACCTCCGGAGCACTTCCGTGGATGCGAGACGCAGGCGGGAATGGCGCTAGAAAGCTGGCGGAGGCAGACCTTCCATCAGTTTGTGCTTTTCCAGCAAGCCATCTTAGCAGAACACAGAGATGCAGCGTATTGCACAAAGAATACGCACAAGTACGACTGAGCCGACCTTCAACGTGCGAGGCATTGTCAAAGCAGGCCAAGTGCCAGCTTCTCAGCAACCTTGCCGTGGGGGACCAGCAGAAACGTACGAGCGCAGTTCACATCCATGCAGGCTGCAAAGTCGCATCTGATTGTAGAATTGTAGAACGCTTGCAATTTGACTCAGCCTGTTTTCCGATCAATTCAGCATCAAATCAGAAGGTTCTGCCGGCATACTGCTCCTGCACAACACTGCAGAGCAGTAGGAAGTGAGAACTAGGAGCGATTTCACATGGACCTCCTTGCAAGGGGCTTCCAGACCACTTGCCTGGCTCCGATAAGCAGTGCTACCGTCTGACTTCCGTGCAACTGCCAAGATTGCCAAGGCCTCGAAGACATCGGCAAGGAAGCGAGCAGATGACTTCAGCATTCGCTCCTCAAGAACTTGAGGAATCTCTCCGTACATGCACCTGCAGTGAACCGATGGTGTCCTGAGTTGGGAAGTCAACCCGGACAATTCCGAAGCGCTTTGCATAACCTGCACCGCGAAAAAGCTCGGCATAGCTTGATTTGCTTCAACTGCCACTTGTCCTTAGGGAAGCTGCCAGCCTTCAGCCCATTCAAAATTGTCCAGGAAAGACCAGGCAAAGTAGCCACGCACCTTTGAAGTACATCCAGCCAGTGAGACACAATGAGCAAAGTGTGCCGGCAAGTCTGGCAGAGGCACCTCTGCCCCGCGGGAGATGGCCGCATGCACGGCGCTCAAGTGAGCCCTGCAGGGGGGGCGCATCCCGGAGATTTCACGAAAAGGGAACCCACTACAAAGGCCTGAAGAACCGAACTCGCTCCGGATCATCGAAAATCGCGTCAGCCTTGTGCCTGGCAGCTGTCAGAAAGCCACAAAGCAATCGTGGCTAGGACAGGATGCCAAGCAAAAGCGTCGGTTATCTTCAGGGAATGCTTCACATAGTCATCAGCGAAAAAGTAGTTCACCACGACAAAGTGACAAAGACAATCAGAATAGTCTGAAGTTGCTGGGTTGGAGGTGAGATCTTGGAACCTGACACACTGGCCAGGTCTAAACTTGCTTTTACAGGTTCTGGTGCCGGTTCAACCGGATCTCGAACCTCAAGCTGTTGGCGAATGTTGCTTTCACGTACCAACTTCGCAGGTGCCGTCGTAAGGTCGCATACCACTCTGGCCATCATACCACGTACTCACGTACCAGTTTCCGACTCCGCCCTACTGCGGTCGACAACGCAGCCTCCTGTCGTCGCCAGCCCACGCAACCGGGATGAGAGCATCTGACCTGCTCTGAGATCGCATCCTCACAAGCACAGCAGTTCCGATTCCCCCATATTGGGCCTGCAATCCAGATCGGCCTTGGTTCACAAGCACATCCCTGACGACAACTCTCAACGGAACCCTTTTCCGAGGACAGGTTTATTGGAGGGAATCGAATGAAACGCAAACAAGCAACGGATTCTTCACTTTCACATGCACACCCGTTCTCTGTGATGAAAATCCCGCCGAACGGACTGTATTGCTCCTGCAACCGGTCAGCGCCGCAGCTGTGTTTTGCATGTTTTGCGAGGGCTGCTCGGCTCCTGAATAAACAGCAAGATCTCTCGCAAGGACCATGGTACGATCGGCCACCCCATGTCAGATGTGTCCCAATCTGGGTCCGTGTGCCACCACTCAACTCCTTGGCTTGCTAGGAGGAGGCGCAAGCTTCGTGCCAGATTGCAGGTGCTTTTGAGCAAGTTGCCAATGTCGTTCCAGTAGCCAGAGCCCTGATGCGCAACTGTTCGTGACGCAAGCAAGCACACTACCCGCATTCACGCTCGCACGAGTTCACGGAATCAGTAGCTTGAATACCTCACCATGCTTGAATAAATCCTAAGCTAACGTCATGGGCACCTCGAGGGGCTGCTGCGCAGCTTTCGCGAAATTGGCACTGTAGCTGTTCCTCGGATTCACAAAAGTTTGCAGGAAAAACTGCGAAGTAAACAATCTCAGGCAGCTCTCCACGGCACATGTGCAGTGAAGGTTCAGACCGAAGAAATCACTGGAACCTTTGAGAAGTGCCGACTCATCAGGTGTGAAAGTGGGAAGCCTGACAGGATCAGCACTCTCCGCAAACGACATGACAATATCAGGCCAAATCTTGGGTACTTGCCTGTCGCCGCAGGTTTCCTTCATGCACTCCGGGTAGTCCTCAGCACGCAAAGCACCCAAAAGACACTGTTTATCCGTCTCTTATGGCACTGCAAAGTATCACATGATCGAGCGTCCCCATGAAACACCGGCTGCGCAAACCAGCCAAGGGAAAAATCCATCGCTCGGCGAGCGGCTCGCCGGTCCTTTGCAGGACCAACATGACCAGCTTCCCCCGGCAAGGGTGCACTCCGATTCACCGATATCTCGTCCTCAGAGGTGCTCTCCATGGGCTGGCGCCAGTCTGCATTCAACGAAATACCAATCTGCGTCAGAGGCGGGAACCCACGCCAGGTGCCTCGACAAACGCCAATCAGGACAAGCGGCCTGGCCCTTCTGATCCGCAAAGTCCTGAAGGGTCTGGCTGGCCAAGACACACAGACTTCATGCGCGGATGTCATGGCCGTACGTGGGGACCGCTTTTTTCCGCGGCTTCAGATCCGAACCGCGTTGCATGATGGTCGCAGGCCCGCCTTTTTCCAGGGTTCTGTCAGGCTTAGTTATGCAAGTGCCGCCTTTCCGCCTGCCTGAGGCATGCCCATGTGAGGTAGCAGCAGCTAGATTGGATAGCTGGTGTAGAAACGATAACACTACAGAGCACAGGCTGTCCTAGACGCGTGGTTCCTGCATCTCCGCATGTTTCCTCCGCTCTCCAATTCTCCCTTCAACTCCTTGACGATAACGGGGATCAAGAACTGAAAGTTGTTTGAATCTGGTGATTCACATTCTTGGGCTCTTGAACTGAACTGAATGAGCTGAACATGCACTATCGGTGGCCGTCATTCATCAGCTTTGACCCATATCCAGGATGCTGTTGTGTCGGGACGCCGCTTTTTGAAAAAGTGCGGACATGGTGCATTCGTGCAGTGTAGTGAAGTTTGGAGCTGGTGTAAGGATTCCTGGAATGTGGCACTGACCTCAGCTTGCCTTTACCTGCTAAGGAGATCCATTTGAAGCGTTCGCCAACCAAACTACTTACTTCTCATGATCACAGCATCATGGCGGAAAGACTTCATAGCTCATTCACAGCAGCAGTTGAGCCCTATCACGGAAGAGTCCTCGCGAAAAACTCGAACGGCTTCGGCATGCGCCAGCAGCATATTGTGGCCTACCACGCAGGTTCTTTCCAAGGCTCGCGCATGCAAAGCGAACAGCTGCCAAACCACGGGGTTAGATACATCCTCCGCGAAACGCTTCTGATAGCAGAGTTGCCCCGGCATTCGTCTGCGTGCTTCTATGACAGACCAGTCCGCCGAGGCCGGAGGCCAAAAGAGCCTTTACCCGTTAGCCCCCTTTGATCGGCTTTCGGGCTTGGGACCCACATATACTCTGAAGGCGGGATTTGGTGGGTTTTCAGCCTCCCCCCCCCCCCCCCCCCCCCCCCGCCCCCCCTCCTCGCCCCTCCGGGCTCCTTCTTTCCCCGTTCCTGCCCCCCCCCCCCACCACCCACCCAATACAGCTCCACGAGAATATGACAGGCTGATTGAAAATTTCGGCATGGGCGCTTTGCAGATGATTTTCTACTGGCGAAGGCCGTTTCTGCGTCAGTTTGGCAAACGGCAAGTTACTCCAACGCAGGGAACAGCCGCGGACAGGACTGAGGACAGGCAGAACGGAGCTCGGGACTTCGAGGCGGCCCTCGCGCAAGCGGTTAAATCTTAAAGCCTATGTTGAGCCATCGATAGCTCATGACAAACATGACCGTTTGAACATGTTCAGCCTATTTACTGTCATGCGAGAGGGCCTGCGATGTATGGGGCACTATCACCCTCGTCAGTATAACCAGGCGCATGATCGCCCGTGTTGTATCCCAAGACCTCTCGAAGGTGTTCAGCACCACAATCCGCACCGAAAGCGTTGCGAAACACGAAACGTGCTGAGGTGGGATCTGCGCTGCACCAAGGCCTCGTAATATGGGCCAACAAAGACCCAGTACTTCAGACACTAACAACACTGCCGGCTGAGCTCTGCACTCATTCAGCGTGATCCAGTTCTTCACGCGATCACCAAAATGTTTGAAGCACGTGCGGGCATATGTCGCAAAAGCCGATGTTATGGACTCCTGTCACCAGATGCTGCTCTGCATGTGTTCACTCTACGGCAGCATCTACTGGCGCAGGCACGACTTGATCTTGTTGCAGAGCTGCATTGCTGACATGTGTGCCCCCGCCTTCCCCCACCCCGCTCCCCCACACCGTAACTAAAGTATTGCGAAACGACGATAGGGACCCAAACGCGGCTTCCACCTCGTGGCTTACTGAAGGTGATCCCGCAGCGCGGTTGGTCCTCCTTGCTATTGAATTTGTCGGACATCAAGCCGATGCCAATGCCTGTCTGCTCTGAACCTCCGTCCTTGCCCGTTCACTGATTACACGATGACCCAACAGACATGTGAAAGATACCCACCGCCAGTTCGCACAGTGCCATACCAGGAGTGGAACGGATGGAGAAGCATGGGCTCTGTCGCGAGCTTAATCGGGCTGCCCCAATTCAAGCTGGACATGGGCAGTTTGTCAAAATTACGGTTCCTTTTTGGGTACCCTAAATATTAGGTCCCGCATTCTTTTCGGGACCCACAAAGGGACCATAATTTTGACAACCGGTGGGTTGATTTCCAACAGGCCACCAGGTAAACCGCCCGGTCCGCGCAAGGTGGGAGGGAAGCTCAACCCCCCGCCCGTACCGCAAGGTGGCTGCGTGATTGGAAAAAGTTGTGAGGGGAGAAGCCTCCCCTCGAGGTGGCCCCCCGAAGGTCCCTTGCGAATTTGCGAGCATCTTCAACGTTTCTGCTGTGGTGTTGCAATGCCTGTGCTGCCTGCATATGATTGCATGTGTCTGCTTGACCTGGCAGGAGCGGCTTAAACAACATCGCTCGTGGAACTTAGAGAAACACCTTCGGGAAGCATGAGAAGCAAATTAGGAAAACTTGCGGGAATGGACATTTGCATTTGCAAAACAGGAGGTGTATTCAGGAGAACAAACGACATCTCAGCTCCGGACTGCTTTCTTGCCGTTTCATGAAACCCCCCCAAAAAAACTACTCAATTAGTTTTCATTTGTTGTACCAACTACACTCAAAAGTCGGGGTGGCAAACTCTGAATCCGAACCCTTAAAAAAGATCGTTGATCGCAAACTCCAAACCTAAAAAGAACAACATATGGGTTGGCAAACATTGCAAGTTCACCGTCTCACATTACACTATGTGTGTTGGCAGGCAAATCCTGACTGTTGGCCCAACCCTGAACAGAGATGCTATTGCAGCAAATGGGACCCCAAACTCGTTGACTAGCCTAAGGGATCCAAACCCGAAAACAAGAAGATATCTGTTGACACGCCTTAAACCTTGGAAGGCCTAAACCTTAGGAGCAGATGTTGGCTGGTCAACCGGACACCTCAATCTCATTTGACGGTCGTAAACTCAAACTCAAACCGATGTTGGCCGGCAAGTCCTAAGCCCTAAAAGAAAGATATCCCGGTCGTGCGTCATGTTCCTGAAGAGTTCGTCTCGAAGAATCTTGGCCTTGACCCCTGCTCCTTTCTGATCACCAATATCGAAGGGTGGTTTGAAGCGAGATCCCCAGATACTTAATCCCAGAGCCGTCCGGAAGGGATAACACAGGTCAGCATCGCGAGTGAATCTCCATGCCGAAACGGTAATCCAACGATATCCAAAGACCGCGTCCGCTCAAGAGCGGCTGCAGTACGAGTTGCATGCGCATCCGAAGGGCAACGATCGTCAAGATGTACCCGGTCCAAATCAACATCCGTGAAGCACTGCAGCCAAGCCCCCATCACCGATCATCACCAATTCTAAAGCGCAAGGAACGATGGCATCACTTTGACGAACCCTAGGCACGTGCAAATGCCAGGTGAGTGGAAGCTTGTGAACATAGCGGGAGTGCTGCTACGGCCGCCGCGATCCGTTGAGCAGGACTCGTGGATCCGGCTCCAACAAATCCCACACCCAACTTGATAAGCACAATACAAGCAAGGTGCTCTGCACATGATAATTCAGAAGCACCACGTCCACTTCCGCTACGTCGAGGTGTACTCACGGAAACAAAATAGCTTCCACATATTGCACCACTACACTGAAAAAAGCTGGGGGCAAACTCTGTAGCAAAACCTGAACCTTTAAAAACAACCGTTGATGGCAGACTCCAAATGCACAAAAATGACATGTTGGCTGGCAAACACTACAACTTAGCCTCACATTACACTATTGTGACCCTGAAGAGTGGTCAAACCCTAAACAAAGAAGATATCTGTTGACCCCAAACCCGAAAACAGAAGATTTGCCTGGACACGATATAAACCTTAAAAGGCAGACGTCGGTTGGCAAACCCAAAACCGTAAAAGAAGCAATTATTCGCCGCCAAACCCTAAACCTTAAGAGCAGATGTTGGTTGGTCAACCCGACACCTTAACCTGACATGACATTATGGTACACGAAACTCAAACTCAAACCAAGCCCACATGAAGAACCAATTCTTGTCAACTTTGGTAACCCCCAAACCTGAAGTGGACGATGGTTGGATCTTGGTCGGCCAACCCGAAACCCCACAAGAAGAAGATTCTATTTGTTGGCAAACCCTATCCCGGCCCTTAGCCTCTAAAGTAGATCTTCCTTGCCAAACGATGGTGGTTCGTCAAACTCAAACTGATGTTCACTGGCAAGAAGGTTCGACCCTCCCCCCCCCAGACGGAGATGTTGCTTCGGTTTACCTGCTGTTCCGCATGGGGGCCCTCCTAGTTTTCCTGAATCTTGACATTTCTTTGCAAGGAAACTAGTCTTGTGCAGGAATCGTTTCAGTTCTGTCCGGACATGCTGCACTGCGGTCTGCTCAGTCCTAGGTGCTAGGTCACGAATGGAATTCGCATGCTGGCATCGCGGACCCTCTGCTTGGGAGTATGAACTTCGGTCGAAGAAAAATTTGACTTGACAAAGTTTGGAAGGAATGACGAAGGAAGGATTGAGCGCTTTGCTCACAACGGCGAGCCTAAAAATTACCTTGAAAAGAATCCTGTATCTTCGTTCTATGGTCGAAGTTCTCCGTCCTTCGTAGCCAACTGTCACAACAGAGCAAAGGCAGACGTGGCAGAACAAAGGCATTGCCCTCGCCCGTCCTTAGGGCCCAGCCAGTCGAGCGTTGCGGGTAAATCCCAATGGTACAAAGTCACCCAAGGATCGATACCTGCTCATCAGTGTCGAAAAACGCTGGTGGAGGTTCTCCGTAAGCTCTTCGCCTGCTGAAAGCAGGCTGTCGATGAGGTCTGAGTAGAACTCGATCCCCTCCTGGCACTTGAGGAACAGCCAAAGTTGTTTCAGCTGAAAGCTTCGGAACATCACGGGAGCCTCATTGATGTTGCCAGTTCCATCTGGAAGAATTCGACTCCACGAGATTGAAAATCGGTAAGCCTTCACTTTCAGGCTCGACATGAGGGCCACGTCCTCCTCAAAACGACAGATCAGATTTGGGTATGTAGCTCCAACCAGTGACGGGCTCCTTGAACAGGTGGTAGTGGTCGCAAGCAATATCCCCCGTGGCGCCATCGTTTGTCGTACCAGGCTTGTGCGAAAACTCGTCCCAGATGGAAGGTTTTCGGCCGTGTATGTTGGCTGCCCCCTGCAGCAGGAAACGGGGTCTTTGCAACTTGCAATGCCATCCGAAGTAGCACAAGCTCGCTGCAAGGCAGACGGCCTCGATCTGGTATGCAGATGTGGCGACGCCGAACACGAAGGGTTTCGGGAAAGCTAGGAAGCCGCTCTTGATAGCAGGCCTTATCGCGAGCTAGTGGGAGGGCACCAGTTCGTGCAGCTTCATGTTGATTCAAGTTGCTCTGCCGGCTCTGCTGCGCAAGACAATCGCCAGCGCTTTCGGCTAGAGAAGGCCTTGAAGGGTCTCACATTCTTGGCTGTTCGGAACGACTCAGGTACTGAAGTTTATATAGTGGCTGGCCATGGTCACTGCGCCCAGCGCCACGGCCGACAACGCAGCGTCTTGCTGCCCATGCACCTCTCGACACGGGACTGCGTAGGCAGCGGGATGAGGTCGCGCCGCGAAAAAAATGAGGCAACGGCGAAGGGACGTCGGCCGGGCCCATGGCACCGATGATGCCGGTGCCCATGCCGGTGCACGAGCAGTTGGGGGTCGGTGCGAAGCCGCCACAGCGGCTCTGCGACCCTCGTGGATGGTGCTGAGCTCAACGCCATGATGCATGGCACAGAGGGAACGTAGACTGCTGTTCACTTCAGCTGCTGCAGATGCTGCAGTGCATGTTGGTATGTGTTCACTCTCTCTGGTGGCTTAAGCTCCTACAGCTCTGAAGTATTTGGCTTGGCTGTTTCTGCTCCCGCTAGCAGCCTGGAGTCTTCGACACGGCTAGACGGGAACATGCGGCGAAGCGACACCTGAGCTGCCAAGCAGGCCTCCTCTTGAGGAATGCCGACAGATGGTGTTGGAAGAAGTCTGCCAGCAAATGCTGTGACCTGCATCATTGCAGTACAGGTCGAGTTGCAACTTGTTCTGACAGTCAGTGCCTGAATGCTCTCAACTTCCAGAGCCGAAGCATCTGGCTCATTTTGCTCGCCATTCGAGCCGCCTCTTCACGGGACCTTCCGCAGAACGGGCGTTTCGTTCGGTTTTTTGTGCGTCCCGAAAACAAAGCCCACGCTAGAACGAACGGAAGCTCAGTCTCCTGCAGCCTTTCTGAGATGTTGGCGTTAGGCCAACGCCTTGCCCCGGTGATGTCCTGCATTGGGTAGCAGTGGCAGAGATGGCTCGGGCAGGACTGGCGCGGTCCTGCTCCTTCCGCCGCTGCTCAATCGCCTCGACGCGGAAGTTGCTGGAAGTGTCGAATGTGGCACAGAGGGGCACTAACAACTAGTTTCAACATCCGGTCCTGATGCAGGAGGGTGTTGAATTGCTTGACATGCGAACACTCCTGCGAGACGAGCTTTCAAAATTGAAGCACTGGACGCTGGCCAAAGACCACTGAGAACCGAAGAATGCTAAGGTCTGCAGAAGGAACTCCTGCCGCCGCTTCTTCAACCTTGTTTGTAGTGGCTCTCAACCAGGACAGTCTTCTGTGCAATGCTTTGACGCCGGAAGTAGCTGAGCGCAGTGAAAATCCGAGCTGCTCCTGAAGTAGCTGCAAGGCCTCGCCTGTGACCTAAGCTATGAACACTTTCCGGCGTGCGACAAGTCGTCTGACCACCAGGTCTATTGGCCACCCGACGCCAAGCTCTGCAGGGGAGCTCTCCATCTGACCCTGCAGCTGAAGCTTTTACCATCGACGCCCCTCCCTGGCAGCATGTTGGCCTTTGTGGGATGCTGCAGCTTGCGATCAGCATCTTCACCGAGCATGGACACTCGCCATCATGGTCTCTGCACAGTTACTTCTAGAAAGACTTTCACCAACTCTGCGGGAATCGTTGATGGCTCACCCTGACGCACTTGACAGCTTGGACCAACAAGGCTGCATCAGACTCATGCAGCCCGAAGATCGCAAACCTCGAACATGGCAGTTTATTAGCAGGCCTTCTCTTTTCAGTCGAGAGATTGCAGCTGGAACAATGCCTCGAAGCTGTTCGAGGGCCAGGGTGCGATGACTTCAAACTCCAGCCATGGTAAAGCAGCCCCACTCTCTTCATCCAGGATTTCACCGAAGACTTGTAGCCCGTAGTCCAGAGTGTCCATCTCGATTTGAATACTGTAAGAGTCTTTCGCGAAAGGCCTGCGGCCTTCGGCAATGATCTGCTTACGAAGAGAGTCAGCATTCCAAACGTCATCCGTGTCTTGCCGGAGTGACTTTGCAGCTTCCTTCCATCTGCCCCTTGCTAAATGTCGCGCGAATCGTTGGGCTTCCACTCGAGCTCTGGCCTGCAAAAACCGAAACTCACTCTCCGTCTCTGGTGCATTGCCAATAAGGGCTCTGCTTGGAGATGCGGCTCTGAGGCTTCGCTCTGCGGAAGCAAGTGCTTCCGACCCGGTCCCTGTCTCTTCGAAACTTACTGACTCCAGCTCCTTCAATGCCTCCCATTCACGTAGCAAACTCGAGTCCGTGCCATTTATTGCCGACAGCAGGAATGCTTCTATCTCAAGCACCTCATCTGTTTTGAAATCATCAGGTACGTTGTGCTTCATGGTCTTGTGCACTTGCGATAAAAAGCGCAAAAGCAGGCCCTCTTGCTGGAGCACTCGCTTGGACTTGTCCAGCGGGCTTAGCTTCTTGATGAAATCAGAAAAAGACAGCTGGGCCTCGAACATGTCCAGTGCAATTGCTTTTGGCTTCAACGAATCACGTGACACCCATGGGTGTCGCTTCAAGAAGTTCTCGAAGGCAGGCAACAGCACATCTTCACAAGGCAACCGCGGTTGCTTCCGCTGCTTGGCACGTGCCTGCACGGCTCTCCGCTCTGTCTTATTCTTGCAAGCACATGCTTTCTCATGCACGTGACGCACAGAACGTGCCAAGTTGTTCAGATACCCTCTTCGACCATAGGAGGCCACAGCCATGTTCACTACATCTAGTCCGGTGCCATTTTGCGAAGGTATCTGACCCTGGTGTCCTGGTTTGCAGGGGTCTTCTGCAGTGGTCTTCTCTACCTGTCATGCCCACCTTCCAAGTTTGAGTTTTGACACCTGCTGCATGAATCCCGATTAGTTACACCGGTGTACTACCTCATCCAAGACACTTTCCTCAATCTTCCCAACTCAGGCTTAGCTCTGCTTGCAACTGCCAAGGAAGAGCCACGAGCTGATGCTGCGCTGTGCCTAGCTTTCACATGAACTCGGATTGCCTGCGCACGCACCACTGCTATCGGTTCCTCGCAGATGGCTTCGACCACAGACAGGACTGCTTTCGCTAGCTTCCAGTTGTCTCCAGCAAACCCCCACTGCAGCAGAGGCAAAACGTCCACTAAGAACAGGGAGACGTCTTCCATCAAGAGAAAATCGCGCTGTAAGGTACTGTCAGCTTGCAGTAAATCTCCCTGCTTTACGATGAGCCCAGCGCCTGACAATGCCTGTATGTACTGGTCCACTTGCTGAGCTAAGTGCTCTTTGTTTTTCTTGCCACATAAGGACAAAGATATCAGCTCATGAACTTCAGCAAGTCCGTCCCGACCGTGCTCCTCCGCACCTTGCAAAAGGCTTAGCACATGGCCCTGGCTGAGCTGAAAGCGAGACCTGAGCGGCGCCGGGGATGATGTTCGCAGCTTTGTAAACGTTTCCTCGTCCCAATGGACGAAGTTGTTCTTCGCAGACCGGCGCCGCCTCTGTAGCCTCTCACGCTCTTTCTTGTTTTCTGCAGCCTTGATGAGTTCTTGCAGCTGTTTATTGTACACTTCGTGGGCAGGATGCACCGCCACTACACTGCCTTTGGTGTCGTACCCTCTCCTCCCAGCCCTTCCTGCAATCTGATGAAACTGACGAGGTGTCACTAGAACAGTTGTTTCACCGTCGTATTTACAAAGTTGCGTGAACAGTACGCTTCGGATGGGCACATTGACTCCGACTCCAAGTGTGTCGGTTCCGCATATACACGTAAGGTTCCCGGCTTGGGCCATCTGCTCTACAAGGCGCCGGTACTTTGGAAGCAACCCGGCATGGTGCAAGCCGATACCATTTATGAGCAGCTGCCTCAATCTGTCCCCGTAAGGAGTATCAAACTCCATGTCCTTCAATTGCTCCGCCAGGTCTTGCTTTCTTCTCTCACTCGGAGCGAGTTCTTTGCAGACCAGTGATTGTGCCAGCGTAGCGGCATCTTGCTGGGTAAAGCAAACTGCGTACACGGGTGTGCGTCCTGAGGCGACCAATTCGTCAATGGCATCTTTTGCTGTCTCGAAAAGGTAAGACCAATCAAGGGGAACCGGACGATCTGTGGATGTTATCGTCGTCACTTTGCGGCCTGTGTATGCCGTGAGGTTCGCATACAAGGCCTGATTGTCTCCCATCGTTGCAGACATGAGCAGAAACATTACCTGTGGCAGCCTGAAGAGGGGAACTTCCCATGCATAGCCACGGCCCTTGTCGTCAAAGAAGTGGAACTCGTCCATGACAGCGTAGCTAAGCTCTGCGGCCGGACCATCTCGCAGAGCCACATTGGCTAAAACTTCAGCCGTACAGCAAATCACAGGAGCAGCAGGGTTGATTGAAACCTCACCTGTTGCCATCCCAATCAACTCTGGGCCGAAGTCGTGGCACAAGGAAAAGAACTTTTCGCTAACCAGCGCTTTCACCGGGCACGTGTAATAGGCTCGTCTGCCCTCGGCAATTGAGCGGAACAGCATGGCTGATGCAACGAGGGACTTGCCACTGCCTGTCGGTGTACTGAGCACAACGTGAGAGTCTCCAAACACAGCATGGATGGCTTCCTCTTGCTTTGCATACAGCTGCAGCCCTTTGTCTGCAACAAAATCAAAGAAATCCTGCTGCATCCGAGCAGGATCATCTGGGCACTGTCGAGCACGCAGGAGGTATTTCTTCGATGCAGGCTCCGAAACCGGATGCTCCACTGACTCCACTGTAGGCTCATCCGTCACAGAAATCCTTCTGATCCATTGTGCAGAACCCTTGCGTTTGCTGATTCTGCCTGCGCAACACGCGCTCAGTGCCAGCGCCGTCGCACATCTCTGTCTGCACAGGAGTGGAGCCCTGACTCTTTCAGGACGCCCTGTCCGATGGGAGGTGCCAGCCAAGATCGGCACGCTGACATCAGTGGGTGCTGCTAGCGGAAACATCCGGGATTTGTGTGCTGCTCTGCTGGTTCTGATATTGGCAATGAAGTCGCTTCCACAAGCTGGGCAGGCATGTTTTGAAAAAGCCTAGCCTCGCTAACGGGTCTAAGCGAACGGGGCTCAGCTTTTTCCAGCTCGACCGCTGATTCGTCCTTTGGAGAATCGATTGCTTCAACACCTCCGCCTGCAAGTAACTTCTGAGCTTCGTCTGCCCTCCACCTGAAGCTCAAAATGCAAAATGACGAGACAGGGCCAGGGTCGGATCGCAAGAAATGCTGCTTGACCTGAAGATTTGAACCAAGCCCCAGGCTTGCACTCTTTGTCGACCACACTTACCATCTCCTTGCACAAGAAAGAGAGAGACAGAGAGAGAAAGATAGAAAGAGAGAGATAGAGAGAGGTAGAGAGAGATAGAGAGAGACAGAGAGAGATAGACAGAGAGAGAGAGAGAGAGCGCGAGAGAGAGACAGAGGCAGAGATAGAGAGAGACAGAGAGATAGAGAGAGAGAGAGACGGAGAGAGACTGAGAGAGAGGTGTGTGCGCTCAAGAAATCATCCGACTTAAAGCCCCCTCCGAGCTCGATGCGCGCTCTTGAAGAGGCTGAAACTTGTCGTGTCCAGCCTCGCAACGGCTTTTCTCACAGCACGGTTTCATCTACCGAAGAGGTGAACCGACCGAGGCTTGCTCCCACAGAATCTCGCCGTCGTGTCGGACCTGACATCGCAGCTTGTCGCAAATCTTTGGGAGAGGCATCCTCCGGTCCCAGTTACACACACGTTTATCCGGAAGCACTAGTCCGTTACGTCTCTGCGGTACGGAATAACATGAAGTGCGGACTTCACGGATGCATCACCTTTTTCACGGTTGGCTCAAGCAGCTCGGTCTGTGGCCCGGCTCGCGGATCTTCCGGAACCGGGCAACCGGACGAGCTACGGGATATATATTCGGTAACCGGGCAGATCCAGAGGATAGTCCCGGTACCGGAGAACAAGGCGGCTGGGTTAACGGCCTACGGAAGTGCAGACGGAAATCCAGCTGAAAAACACAGAAGGTCCAGAAAGTATGGATGGACCACCGAACGGAGGCGACAAGGGGACGGTGGCGGGAAACTTTCTAGCTGAACCGTACCGGCTGAGATGGCACGGACGGGCAGCTTAAGTCGAACGGCTGCGGTAGGACTTGCCGTTGCGATGCTTCCGGAATAAACAAACCACGAACATTCGAATCCCCGTTTATCCGGAAGCACTAGTCCGTTACGTCTCTGCGGTACGGAATAACATGAAGTGCGGACTTCACGGATGCATCACCTTTTTCACGGTTGGCTCAAGCAGCTCGGTCTGTGGCCCGGCTCGCGGATCTTCCGGAACCGGGCAACCGGACGAGCTACGGGATATATATTCGGTAACCGGGCAGATCCAGAGGATAGTCCCGGTACCGGAGAACAAGGCGGCTGGGTTAACGGCCAAACTAGTTAGTCCCTTGAGGTGGGGGACTACCCGAACCGGGGGAAACCCAGCCACATTTAGAAGTCCATAGCCGGAAAAAGGGACAGGTTCAGGGCACTCGACGGATGGTATGAAGGCCGAGGAGGCCGAGAGATGAGGGCCCACGGAATATCCACCCGGTCACAAGGTCGGAGTCCAAAGGTGGCCGGGTCAGCACCTCGGCTAAGACCGTCGGCAACAGTGTTCTGGAAACCCGGAACATGGTCAATATAAGTAGATATGCAGAATGCACGCTGCCAGGCAAAATAGGCCGGAAGGAGGGAACAAATTCCCCGGGCAGTGGAGAGGCCTTTCCACGAGGCAGAGTCGGAAGGGGAATTGTCACAGCGGGTGACAACGTGGATGGGGTGAAGGGAAACCGGAATCAAGAGACCAATCACCCAAAGGAGAGCGATCTGTCCGAGAAGTTCCCAGGCAGCAATGCAGGCTTGCGGAGAAGTGCCAACCGGAAACCAGGGGAATAAGGCAGCGAGCTCCGAAGCGGAAAACCGGTGTTGAAACCAGGCAGTCTTGCCGGAAGGAAGCGTGACGAAACCACCGATGCCGGCATGCTGTGCATCGGCACAGGCGTCCGCGAAAGCCTGGCAGGGGAATTCACGAGCCAGGGGCAGCGGGAACGTAGGGGCAGCATCGGCGAGGCAAGCGTGCCACATGTCCAGCACCGCCAAGGATTCTTTGGAAAGCTTCCGGTCGGATTCAGGTGGCATACGCACGGAAATCCAGGTGCGGCGTTCGCCAGGAAAGGACACCGGGACCTGGGAAAGTGAGGATACCTCACGGCCCGATACCGAAATCAGTGTGCATAACTTCGGACAGGATGCGAGACCCACGTCAGACTGCAGAACAAGGTGTGAGTCAAGCTTGGAGCGGAAGGAAGCCCATTTCTCCGGACTCAGAGCAACATGTACGACAGGGGGCTTGCCCTGGTCGGAGTACAGGGGAGCCAAACTGGGACGAAAAGGCCGAAACAGGGAGCAGACCCACAGTAGCTTGCCGGTGAGCTTGCGGAGAAGATGCAGCGGGACAGAATCTGACCCCCGGATTTTGGCCAGGAGGTCCCGCAGCCGGTCAAGCTTAGGAGCTTCCATGGTGGCAGAAAGGGAGTGGAGGCAGATAGACCAGCCAATCCACGTCGGCCGGGGGCCCAAGTAGGCCTTATGCCAGCTCATCGGAACGCGGAGAATGAGCAACATGATGCACATCAATGCTGCCCACACCGGGCCGGACGGGCCGGATAGCAGAGCAATCAAATCGTCAACATATATCAGCAGGCAATGCTTGACAAAGACCAGGCGGTGAAGTAGACGGGTCAGCAAGCCGGCCATCCGGGACCAGTAGAAGCCAGAGGCGCGTGCGCCAAAGTTAAGCGTTAAGCATTGGTACAGCCGGTTCCGGTGAAAGAAGCACAAAAGGCCACGGTCGGAGTCACGGATTTTGATCCGGCGGTGGGCTTTGCTGACGTCCAAAATCAACGCGATGAGCCATTCTATGGCGTGCTCCGGCGGAAGGCACTGGCGAAGACCGGAGATGGACGGATTTGCGGACTTGTTGGGAAGTGAGGTGTGTTCGGTCACACCGGAAACACTGCTATCGACGACCAGTCGATCCGGCCGGCCGGGGGATTTGACCAAGCCCAGCTTCCCAACAGCAGTCTGCTGGTAACGGGCTGTAAGCTCGTCCAGTCCACCGGGAACTTCGCGCACCCACCCTTCTGAAATCTCTTCGGAGAGAAGGCTATCCACGGATGCTTGATCCGACAAAGCGGAGCCCCAAGAAGAGGAACAATGTGTCAAGTCCATAGTTGGAGCGGACTGTCCGGCCGGGGGAAATAGGGTCGGACAGGAAGGCATCTCGGAATCAACGCCCAGGGGGACACCCTCGGTGAGCAAGTCCACAAAGGAGGTGTCGGGATCCTTGAAGACAGACAACAGCGCTTCCAACAGAAAGAGGCGGAAAGGTTGTCCCGGCGGGATGGACAAAAGCGTGTCGAAGTCCGTGGCGGACAGCCGAAGGAAGGATCGAAGGTCCTCAAGGAACGGGGCCAATTCTGGGTCCGACAGCGGAGGGGCCTTGGATCCGGAGGACAACTTGGCCTGGAACTGGGACAGGAAGTCCCCTGAAAGAATGCGGGCACACCAGGCTTTCCGGAGGGAGCCGAAGCAATCAGCACCTCTGGGAACAGACCAAGAGGCAGATGAACAAGTGCCGGCACCATCTTCCACACGATTCGCCGGAATGGGCCAGAAAAGTGTGGCAGGAAGAAGCGAATGCCAGGAACGAAAAGGAATCTCGCCGGTGTGTGACGAGAGCAACGGCTTGAAAAGGTCAGCAAGCGCAGAGCACAGTGACGAGGGATAACAGGCGGTATCCCGTGTGAGGAAAGCACCGGAGGCGGTCCGGCGTCCGGAAGTAGTCACATGAGAGCCGGGAGGATGTTGGCACACAGACGCGAGAGAGCTCAAATCCGAAAAGTTGGACACAAAAAGCCAGCTTTTGCGGTAGTCCAAGGCGTGGCTGCAAGCGGCAACTTCAACCGAATGCATGCAGTGGTGGCGGATCCAGGATCGGCAGCCCGGGACAAGCCAGAGTAAGCTGGAGGCCGGGTTTTCTAAGATGGCAATACCCCCAGCCAACATGACGAGCGTGAGCAACTCCCGGGTGAATGTGTGCAACCGGTCTGAGGCATCCAACTCGGCTTGTTGGCGTGGGGAAGGCCGGGGAATACCAGAAGGGTGTGCGGGTGTGCGCACCGCCGGCGGGCCCCCTGGACGGAGACGGGAACGGCTGAAGCTGGAACAAGGAGGAGCCGCAGCAGCCACAGCAATCAAACCACTGGAGCAGAGCCGGCGCAAGGAGGTTTGAGTGTCGGGGTCAAGCAAGTCCACATGCTCCCCGTGGAGACAATCGATGGGGGAAATGCGGTCCAGACCAAGAGCAGCGACTGCCCGGGAGAGCGGCGCCGAGGAGCCGGAAAACAAGTCAAGAAACACACGGTGCTTGCAGGGTGCAGGGTGAGACACAGGTTCCGGCAAGGTCTGTGTCAACGTCTCCGGGGCAGGAGGCGGGCCCGACACTGTGTGTTGTGTCGGTGGAGCGGTACAGCCAATGCGGCGTCCCAGCGGGACGCGAGGTGGTACAAAAGAGAAGGAAAATCCAAGGCGTGTCCGGCGCGGAGAGCGGGACCGTGCTCGAGTGTCCGAGGGAGCCAGAGGTCCAACCACCAGTGGAGCGGCAGGCCGCGTAACAGATGATGTCGGGGGGCACGGGCCGCACGGCGTGGGAGAGACAACGCACTCGGATTCATCGGAAGACGATGGAATGCACACAGGAGCAGGCGCGTTCAGAGCGCCGGGCACGGAGCCAGTAGGTAGTCAATGCGGGGTTTTGTTGTGCTTGTTGGCCGTATGCTTTTGCCCACAGGGCTTTCCGGACGGAAGCGGAATAGGGCACGTGTGGCTGAAGCGGCAGTTGGACAACTTGCACCGACCAACAACAAACCGGCGGCATATCTCTTTTCCGGATTCATCCACGGAGTGCCAAGAATCGTCCCATAGTTCGGAAATGGGCTTCTTCCCGGTGGCCTTCGCTTCGGCTTTAGCCTTACCCTTAGGTGTGGGACGGGGTTTCTTGGGCGGGCGTTCCGGAGCATCCTCCGGACGGGTGCGGTCAAGGTTCCGGAGTCCAGGTTCCCTAACCGGAGGGGCCGGGATGCTGCGCGGCCGGGCCACGAGAATGTTCGGGAGCATATGCCGCGTGACAGTAATCTCGGTGACCGAGTCCGGGAGGCTCCACTTCTCATCGCGCATCAGGGTGGCAACGTTCGACCACACGGTGCGTTCGGCAGCAATGACCTCCTGCATAGATGGAGGGCGGAGGGTAGTGTCGATAGGCTGCTCCACGGCAGCGGCCACAAATGCTTCAAGAAGCATTTTCCCGGCACGGAGGTGAAGGTCACCCAGGACGGCAAAAGCTGTAACCAACAATCCCAGATGGCGGCGCAACGTAGGTTCGACCGGGCCGGAGGTGGGAGCGGAGGATTGGGCCACCACAGGGTCCGGGACACCCTCAAGCAAGCCCCGCAACAACTGTGCATCCGAACGGGGCCGGCGGGATTCGTAGAAATGCTGCAGATCCGACTCAGATGTCCTCAAGCGCCACGGAATCCAGAGCGACGTTGGGGCATCAAGTTCGGACCGGAGACGGTTCAGA